TAATATGTATAATATTATAAAAAAACAAAATTGTGATTCGTCCGGTTTATAATGTGTGTTGATGAACGCGTCCGCGTTACGCAATTGTCGGCCCCGGGTCGATGGATGGATGGACGGACCGGTGAACACGAGATAGTCTACTTTTCCCAAAACTTTTTATATAACCGACGTATTTTATTGCTATAGGCGACTTGTCCAATAATAATAGTCTTAGAGTATGTAGTGGTATTGCGAAAAAAATTTCCAACGCTGGTCGTTTAAAGAAATTGGGTGCGCTACTGTGTTTTAGCTTGTTCCCCCCTCCCCCCGTAAGTCCCTTGGAAAAACGCTGTGTTATTGTTCAATTTGCAGTATTATAATCAATGAAAACACATTTTTTTTTTGTCCAAATAGAGCTAATAATTTCCTGTTATAGTGTTTCAAGCCTAAACATATACTTTTTGTCTTAATAAAATAATGTTTTGGCACTCGAAAACAAAATTACATAAACGTCCGACCTTATTGCGAAACACAATTGAACGAGCTCTGCCCATTCACGTTTGGTTGCTTAAATTGACCCAGCAGTCTGTAACAATCATCACTTGGCATAGAAATTGAATTTATTTAAATTAAATAATATTATCAATGAACATTTTTACTCGTAACAGTTTTAAAACATTGTATTAAGTTAAGAAAAAAATACTCCCAACACTTTTAGCATCTGTGTGACTTGTAATTATTGTGCACTAGTGCAAATGGCCGTCGGACTAAGCAGTAAATAATAATAAGAAAAAGTCTTGTAATTCATAGAAATCGGAAACAATAAAATAATATGCTGCGAATGGGGGTTTTTTTTTGTTGTGTTTCCACGTTATTTTATTGTGTTGTGTCTGGTAAACATTTTTGATATCAATACCGTCGTCTCGACAACTTATAAAAATAATAAAGCGTGGACTCGGGCACCCACCAAAAGCGTCGCTTACAGCGGCGAAAGTACAAAGAGACAATTTCAAAAAAAAAATAATAAATAATTATAAACAAATACTAAGCGATTAAGTACGTCGTGCCCGCCACTCGTTGGGTTTTTCTCGGTGGTTTTTCCATTCATTCGATTTTCATTTTTTCGGTCGCTTTACTATTGTTATTTTGATTATTATTATTAACTAGTATGTGTGTTATTATAACGGCAGAATACATAATTAATCGCTGTGTCCTAAAAAACATACATGATGTGTGTGGCCTAAAACGCGCCCGGCCAAGTTGGCCGTGGTCGGTTGTTTGTGTATATCGGTTTACCGTTGAGAGAGTTGAAACAATACCACCAATGTCGCCTCCAAGTCTCCTAACCTAGGATAATAATCGCACATTGTGTGTTGTACGTTGCTTTGGTCAATGAATTTGGATCACCCTGTTAGTTACTCGGGGGTCCACTTAGAATTTTTTGGTAGAAGAACTACTTTTGTCATGTTCGAGCTTAGTGTCCATTCGGTTCAGTTTTTTTATACGTATATGGCTTGTGTGTGTGTGTGTTTTCGCTCAAGTACACACACAACCCGAGAGGTGACCGGTAATCGAGAGAGGATTGCCCTTGTTCCGGCTACCATCGCCTCCAGCGGCCGTGTGTGTGTGTGCACCGTTAATCTGGTTTCGCATTTCTAATACATATGTGTGTGTACTACTACTGTGTATACCTATATAGTTTGGTATTATATACATGACGGTATGGGAGAAAAACGCGACTGACTGCGGCGGTCGTGAGTATAACGGCATGTGGTCGCGATTAATATCCGCGTGTGTAACGGAAATGGCAACAAGTGTCCCCCACTACGCCGCCATTGCCTGTCGTGACAATTTTGAATTTTTTTTGCAAACTGACCGATCTGAAACAGCAGTACCCATTTGCACGAGCACACACATTATTGAGGTGCTCTCGGCGGCGGACTATACAAAGAAATTTCAGGTGAACTGGGTCGTAGCTTGTTTAAGTGGAAAATAAAAACACTAGTTTCTCTGATAGGAATTTGGGTTGTTCCATGATTGTTATAGCTGGGTGCACTAGAGCAACGTTCATAAGTTGCCACATGTTTCGCTCGGTTTTCACGGTAATGCCTTTATGTTTTGTGCCTGTAAACCACATGGATAAAAAAACGGTTGCAAAAGTCCTTTTACCATCCCTCACCTCCTCAACCGTGTGAAACCCTCTGAATAAAATAATAGATCATAATCGGCCGGATCTAGCCAAAAATTGTAAAATCCCATTTTCCTCGGAGAACCACTAGGTCTTTTGGGTTCTTCAACTACCCTCCCCCCCCCAGCAAAGTTTTTATTATGTAATACATTGCAAAAATTGTGATTAATTCGTATTTATTACACAACATAAAAACGTCATTTGTCGATTTGTCATGTTTCAATTTTTTTTTGTATGTATTTTTTTCTTTCTTTTTTTGTAGAAATATAAAATATTAACCGGCGATTTCGAAACGAAGACATTAGCGACGCGCACAGTTTTTCGTGATCAGCCGTCGCTTTCTAAACGGTTTCACCGCGTTTGCTCTTACTGTCTTGTAAAATAACACAATCATTATATTAGAAAAGTGCTGCTGTGTACATTGCCACAACACTGCCCCGCCATGATTTCACCTGAAGCCCTAGTGTCACTACTTACTTCTTCTTCACTGAGCATTTCGCGATTTCTCGATTTGCTAAATACTTGTGTTGTTTCTCTTCATCGTGTGATATTCCAAACCTGCTAATGGGTGGTGGGCACACTAGTTAGCTTGACCACTGAAGTTTGTTAACAACAAAACGTTCCCTATAACTCCTGTTTTATCCTACCTAACTTGACCAGCCAATGTTTGGTACGCCACATTGTGTTTTATTAAAGAATGTTCAAAGGTTTGCATCACTTACACAGGATATAGCGCAGATTTTTAGTTAAAAAATAATATCAAATGTTGGTGGTTTGGGTTTTGGTGTTTTTGCTTTACTCTTGAAACAATGATGTCTCGATGGCCGTCGAGAAACGCACAGACAAGAGAATTCGGTCGGATCACAATAGATATTCTTGGATCACAGTGTGTGTGTGTGTGTGTGTGTGTGTGTATTAAAAATAATATACACCGTAGGAATGGGACGGGAAGTTTTTTAATTTTAGTGGCGGTGTGTGAACGTACGTTCTTGAACCCATGTAACTTCTCATCTCGTCTCCTTTTCTTCTTCAGCGAGAAACGGCCTCCGCCGCGGATGTCTTTGACCGGGCGGGCGCGTGGCTTCGGTGGCGGACAAAGACCGACCGGTTCATCGGGATGTCATCTCCACCTCCTCCTCTTTCTCCACCTCCTACTCTTCTCCTCCACAACGGAGGTGAACGACTTCTGGACCGGGACCAATATTTTTATTATATATATATATGTATACATATGTATATTTTTTCTAACAGGGGCCGGGTCGGTCTTAAATAAGAAGAACGTTTGTCGAATAGTTTGGCACGCGGACAGAGTAAAATAAAATAGAATTTAAACGAAATGTGGATACCCCTACTGAAGAAGGAATTTTTTAATTTATTTGAGTTTATTTTACCAACCAACGTCGTTGAAAAATAGGGGAACGAGCTTCTTGTGTGTTGAACTTTTTCTATTTTGAGCCTGTTGGAAAAGAACTATAAGCGCGTTTGTGCGAAAATAATTTGTATTATATTTGTACGCTGCTCGCGTAACCATTGCTGCTGTTGTTTACTCGCTTGGCCGTGTGTTGCAAACCGTCACTGTTAAACGTCACTTTTGCTCGCGAAAAATAGGTTTTATTTTACGCCAGTCTCCGAACAAAAGAAACCGATTTCGCCATCCCAACGACGGCAACGCAACTTGATTATTTTATTAATACTCTGAAAAAACCTTTCCTGGTGCAATCCGCCGATGATCGGTCGTGTGTCCAATTTGCGCTTAGGTCGGTTGACGTTGTTGAAACTATTCCAAAACGTTCGTCAGCCTAGTATTTTGTCTGTCTGTCGTTCAATAAAGAGCCTTAAATATTGGTTTTGTATACCTACACCAAAAAAATTGGGTCGGGTCGACTCGGATCTAAAACGGTCTCTATTGGCTGGTCCCCTTAAAAGTCTTTGTACTAGTTAAATTGAAAACACTGGTGTCGGTCCAAGTGATTTCCATAAAGCCTCGCCGGTCTGTGATATTTCATGTTGCATGTCGGACGACCGGAAAATATCTAAATCGAGTTCTGGTACATTTCTTGTAAGCATAGGTCGCGGCGGTTTTGGCGTTGTCGCTCGTGTCATTCAAAGGGTCCCGTCCGTTTTAAGTGGTTGAAACAATGAGAAGTCCTAAAAATACACATAAGTTTGTGTGTGTGTGTATGTGTTTTTGTCACTCGCCAACGACAAAACATAATTATCCTTTAACGATAAATTATTATATAGGTATTTCTTAGACACGGCAATATATAATACTGGAAATAAAATTAGACGTCGCATATGTTGTTGCGTGTACATTAAGAATCACTTGTAGTGCTCATACTGGTATTGTATTCTATAGAAATATATATTATATTTATATAAATCACTGACGACGGAAAACCTTACTCGATTTACATACATACACACCAATGTCAAATCTCACCCCCTTGAACGTCGTGTATAGCCGTTGGAATGAATATTATTACTATAACGTCGCTTTAAGTATTTTTCTCTGTGCTCTAGTGTAATATATTGAAATCCAACAGGTGGTTGTTGATGAAGTGTGCTCGAGGAGTTTTAGATTTGGGAAAAAAATCCAAACCCAACAGCAGCCCGGTTTACACACAAAAAGAACCCAAAACCGAGTCAGGCTTCCCGAGGGGGTTCCCCTACTCCGTAACGCAGATTGTATTGGCAGCCTATCGTGGGCAAGTCACGAGTCCTATTGCTCGATTGTAGCACTTTCCTTAGCTCTATATTACTACTCATACTCTCTCTGTACCTTCTTTACGTCACCCGTTAACGTCTTTTGTTTTTTTGTTTTGTTTTTTAGGCTGCCAGTGGTGAGTGAGTGCTCGCCGCAGCAGACAGCCAGAGTGTCGGTGGCAGCGGGATCTTCTGGATCGGTGAGCGCGGCCGCATCGGCTGCCGCCGCGGCCGCCGTCGTGGCCGGCGCTCCCAGCAGCAGCACCATGTCCGTATCCCGGGTACCCAGCCCGCCTCCTTCGTCCGAGGCGAACACACCCGTGGCGGAGAACTGGTGTTACACACAGGTTAGTAAAGTCCATATACTTACTACACTATTAAGCCTGAAATTTGACTTTGGTGTCCCCTATACGCTGTTTAAAGTCAAAGACCTGATAATTATATATTGCACATAAACCATTCGGATAGTTACTCGAGTTACTGAGTTCTAACGGCGGTTGTGATATCCACGACGGAATGCCCCAGAGGTCATTGTCGCTGGTCTACCGACGAAGGAAACGATGACTGTAAAAAAAAAACATTTTAAATGTATATAATACACATTACAAATAGGTACCGTAGTATTTCTGCTTCCGACCGGCCGAAACGTATTTTCGCACATAATATAGTAATTGTTGTCGTCGATGATGATAGGTAGCAATAATTATTATACCTAACCGTGTTGACGGGTAACGGTGTTGTTATTATTATTTATTTCTTTTTTTGCCCCGGACGGACGTTACCCATTACTACTATACATACACTACCATCGTCGTCATTGTTTGTGTCGTTGCCCGGCCGTTATATATTATTTGCAAACACACACACACATTATGAGATAGATATTTTAGTGAGGGTCTCCCGTTATACAACTCTTAGAAGAGACTCGACTATGACTGCAAACAGCAGCAGCAGCAGGTGAACGTCCTTACCCTTGGAGTTTGGACGACTGTATGTTGTGTGTAATATGTATGAAACAGCTTCCCGGGCGGCGACGGTATTTAAAGTTCGTTGGCCCATCGTACGGACCTCCGAAGCCATTGGCCTCTATACAACGTGGTCGGGGCCACGCCTATTAGTACCATCGTCATCGTTTTGTATATTACATTATTATTATTATTTTAACCGTCCGGCGGACACGGTAGGATTTGTTTAATGCCTCCAAATCGAGAAGAACGCGAGAAAAACAATTGGATTAGAATATTGTTATGTGTACGCGGGTCGACCGCCGATAATGGTGGTTGTCGCCCACTCTTGTGGCTGATGTCACATGTGTCGCTACTCGCACAGGTCCCAAGGACGCGCGCTTATAATATGCTGTATTTTCTATACTTGGGAGGTTTTGTGTACTTGGGCGTTTTTATTTTTTTGGGTAAAATTGTGCGTGCGCGGATGAAACTATGACAGAAGAGGCAGCGGCGAATCGATCTCGCGTTGCGGGTCAAACCTTTTGAGCGACGAGGCACCCTTTGTCGGTCGGAGGCGAGGCGAGGCGACCTGGGCCGAAGCTGTTTTTGCGCTCTGCAGATACCGCGGTCCGCTCGCCGACCGTCCGGCCCTTGAACGCGGTAGCGATCAATAACCGCGCCCAGCCGGGCGGACGGAATGTGGTAGCCGGTGGCTCAAAGGCCAAAAGTTCGAGTTCAAAAGTTCGCACACTTTCCATAACGGGTCACCGCCTAGGACGGCGGCAGTGGTGGCGAGATGCGGCATCACAGACGCACACACACCCCTACCATCCCAACTACTACCCCGCCGTCGCTTGTAAAAATAATTAAAATGTATATATTATTATAATTTATTATAACGGCCGGCCTTGTTTTTATGAACCCCTGACCGACCGCCGCCGGTCGACGACCTCTCCCCGCGTCACTACACATACACACACATAAGTGTCTGTCTTTTCTCTAATAATAATGAAAAAAAGATAAGACTATCCGAAAATTATCTGGGTACAAAATAAAAAACACCTCTGCGATAATAATAAACATTACATAAAAATATAAATTATGTACCTCCTAATTTAACTAGTGAAATGGCGCCAGACTTGTTTTTTTTTTTTAAGGAGGCCTGATCAGGATTTGGGACCAAACATACCGAAATAAAATATTTTAAATTTTTTCTTTGATTAATTTGAGGATTTTTTTTCCCTTATTATTATTCAATTTGTACAATGTCAATCTCTTGTCAAGCCCTATAAAAATATGTAGCTCGCTTCCGTGATACAATTGCTTAGATGTATCAATTAGATACGTGTATTTTAGTCATATTTTTTTCTGTTTTGAAAAATAATTAACCATTTTAAGATTTTACAAAATACTCATTAGCTAGTGTTTATTTACAATTATACACTTTACCTGTACAATTATTTTCCTATTTAACTTTTTTCCTACAAAGTAATTATATTATTTTTAAATCATTCAAAAATGTATTGTTATTTTGAGCAGTTTTTTTTTTATCAAAAACGTGGTATTGCTCAAATTAATAGTGTGCTGTGACATAATAAATCGCTTACACTCCATTGCGTTATTGTTTAAAAAAAAATTCCCGTCGTTTTATTATCAAATTAATTTACGTTGTGGATAAATAAATCCTAATACATTTTTTACAGCACGTGTTCTTTTCTTTCCAAATATGCTTTTAAACAATTTCAAACAAAACATTGTCGACCCCCACCCTACTACTGTGTTATTCCAGCGGTGAGGGCCAAGTTCTGGGGGTGGCAACGACTCGAGACCGGCCTATGGCCCGACCGGGAGCCTCCGAGGTTCATCGCTCCCCGCTTGCCCCCTCTTAAGTTTCGGTTTTAGACGGAACCCGTCCAAGAGGAGAAGAAGGAGGTACTTCCGATGTGTATTATTTTGATTAAATAGCTTTTCCGGTACTTCCCTTCTTCCGGATATATTAGACCGATTGTGCTGTGTGTGTGTGTGTGTGACGACCGGCAAGGTCAACGGTAGTGGCGTACCGAGTACGTTGGCCTTGGAGAGTTAGACACCGTGTGTGTGTGTGTGTGAGATAATGGGCCGAAAGAAAAAGCGCTGGCGGCGACGATGATCGGGGGTGGGGCCGATGACCGGCGTTCTCCCCTCCGCTCCGTCACCGGCGCCCAGAGCCGCGCGTTCGCGGGCCGCCGGTACTCCCTCTTTCTCTTTCTCTCTCTGTCTCACTGTTAGTCCCGGGCGATGTGACGGCGGCGGCGTATGACCCCGACACGCCGCCGCAGCCGTTTCAAGCGCCGCTGTCAAGGTCGCCGGTGCGTGTGTTTTTCGGGCCCTTTACATAAACCAAATAATTGTTACAACGCGTTTGGCCCAGCCACAGCCGCAGCTTGCGGCTCAAGAAACGCGCACACATATCACATTGGATTTTGCCAATACTATTGTAGTAGAGTTTTTTATTTTGTTTTCTAGATATTATTATTGAATATTTTTCGTTCAAACCTTACCTAAACACTTGTGTAAAGTATTTATTAACAAGTACAATGTTATTGACCAAACAACACGAGTACTTGTCCACTTATCTTTTTTACCATTGATAAAAAGCGGCGACAGTTGGGATTCAAACGACAATCATTATATATATACAATGTATTGTGGTATTATTATTGATGTGACCTTTTCGGCTATGACCTTTCGCGTATCTATCAACGATCAAATTATTTAATATATTATGATTTTATTTTAGCACGTTCACTTTCGGTATAAAATAATCTTATGCGAAACAATGATGTTACACACACACACTCCAAAGTGTTACAAAAAAAAAAAAATGATTGATAAAAAATTACAGTGATGATTTTTTTTTTTTTTGTATAAATATATATAAGTATAAAAATTGTTTTATACACATATTTTGAGGCTATTGTGTTTATAACGGAAACAACGCTGTTTTATTTCCCACAGATATTAGTATAATTATCGTGTCTTTTGAGGTAGGTAGTGTCCGAAAATTATACCAACATTAGGCGGAGATTTAATTATGTAAATCGTGGACGTTTATGCTGATAGGTTAGGATATAAATAATAATTTTTTCCCACAGAATGAACCTATTGAAATAATTTAACTAAGTAGAAGTATTTTTTTAATAAATCAGAAAAAACCTAAACTTTAAAAATTTGCAAGAACAAAATAAATTGATATATCTAAAAATATATTTTATGCAAATTTTTATACTTTGCGGTTACCTGTTAAGAAATTAGTGGCAACATTTTGGTGGTTTTTTTCGACGACATTAAGTGCGATTTTCAAATTTGGAATTTGGAAACAGTTTTGAAAATGATCGCCAACTCCGATCGGCACTGTTAAAACAAAAAACAGATATCAAAAAAAAAATTATAATAACTGCAATTACATTTGGGTCAAGGCGACAAAAATGTTTTATTGATATATTGGTATTGTTATAGTAGTGTAATATTATTCTAAGTGTTGGTGTGTCGGTGATTAGAAACGATTAACAAATATTATTATTACAGTATAAATAACGTTTGTTCCACTAGCACCACCGACCAATGCTTCTTTATATTTTGATATGCGACAGTGATGATTATAGTTTTTGCATCGTGCAATTTTTTATAAAATTGGTTTCGTTAGCCGAACGGTGCGTGGTGGTTATTTTCGCACTAGATTTTATTGCTATTGTATTTTTATTTAATTAAATCTAATTTTTTTTTTTACAGGTGAAGGTCGTGAAGTTTAGCTATATGTGGACGATAAATAATTTTAGCTTTTGCCGCGAAGAGATGGGCGAGGTGTTGAAATCGTCCACATTCTCCGCCGGAGTCAACGACAAATTAAAATGGTATGTATAGTAGTAATCTTTTACCTGACACCTTTCATTAAAATTCACATGATAATTGGTTGTTGTCATCCACTTGGCCGCGCACATTTACTAGGAAAAAAAACAAAAAACAACTAATTTGCCAATAATTGTGACTCGTTTGCACATTTTAAATTATGAACAATAGTATTTGCACAGGTAAATATTATATAGCTGTTAGGTAGCGCCCATTTTTAGGTAGATTTAACGTTTATTATAATAATTTAAAATAAACAATACAGTTCAACGAAGTAGGCGAAGAAGGCGACCGACAGTGTGACCAACTTAGATAAAAATAAATAATTTTTTGTAATAATATGTTAAACACTGCACGGTATAGTCCTGATCAATTAATTTCATAATATGATAATGTGACAGTACTATAACTGATAAGTTATATGCTTTTTGTGTATCACATGGTTGCAGTAGCGAAGCAAATTGAAAATATTTACCAGAGAAATTTAATTTCGTCATTTTGGTCAGACTGCAGCTCGCCCTTTAGCTTATTTCATAATACTATTTTACTTATTGCTACCCCTGGTTAAAACAGCGTATCCATCTTTTTGTAAAAGGCTTTAGGACCTTCTGTCTGGCAACTAAAATGCCCGGGCTAGTTGGTTTAACAGAACAGTTACCCATCAATTCATAAATTTAAAAAAAAAAGTAGTATTAAATAATATACTTACATTTAAAATCACCAATATATATTATTACAGTTTAAGTGGCTTACACGATTTTTTTTCGTATTAATAAGCAAAAATATTAATTCCTAGTACAGGAGGTTATGGTCGTGTATATATTAAGATAACGATGTGTGCAAACGATTTGTGTTTGTGTAAAAACGGGTACCTAACATGCGTTTTGTATTTATACTAGACTATAAGTTGGTGTTTATGTTGTTTTTTTTAGGTGTTTGCGAGTTAATCCTAAAGGCTTGGACGAGGAGAGCAAAGACTACCTGTCTTTGTATTTATTACTAGTCTCGTGCAATAAGACTGAGGTCAGAGCGAAATTCAAATTTTCCATACTGAACGCCAAACGCGAAGAAACTAAGGCGATGGGTGAGTTAACACTGTCTTAACTATACATAATTACTTTTAATTGTTTTAGCTGCTGTATCTAGCCAAGATACAACCTACAAGAAAAGTGTATAAATGTTTTTTTTTCGTTTTCAGAAAGCCAAAGAGCCTACAGATTCGTTCAAGGCAAGGACTGGGGCTTCAAAAAGTTCATTAGACGCGATTTCCTATTAGACGAAGCCAACGGCTTACTGCCCGACGATAAACTTACCATATTCTGCGAGGTAATTTATTTTTACAGAAAACAGCATTACTATTGGTTGGGCCCTAATAGCAACAAACACTGTATAGTTTATAAATATAAGACCTACCGGAATTTGCTCGGTATCCTAGTTAGCTATCTGACTGTGTCTTAACATACTATATTTATACATTTACACACAATGGTCTAAACGGTTATTGAATTTAACAAAAAAGTGGCACGAGTAATGACTTGACAGATGGCTCGTTTGCAGGTTAGCGTTGTAGCCGACAGCGTCAACATATCAGGCCAGTCCAACGCGGTTCAATTCAAAGTTCCCGAGTGCCGTTTACCGGACGATCTGGGCAATCTGTTTGAAATACAAAAGTTCAGCGACGTCACCCTGTCGGTTAGCGGCCGCGAGTTCCAAGCGCACAAAGCCATACTTGCAGGTAAGCCTGGTTATTTTTAAATAAAGTGTGAAAAGTCAGAGCATTTATAAAGAAAAAAACTTAGTCTTATATAAGAAGGTTCATTTTCCTCGATAATCTCTTTATCAACTGATTTTCTTATCAATAATCCCCTCTCTCCCCCTCAGTCAATTGGCTTACAATACTCTTATCAGGCCCCAGACACTGATAAAAATGAACAAGGGGAAGAAACTCATTACATAAAAACGCGACGGCAATAGTATTTTAATAAACAATTTTAACAATCAATTGGTACTAATTAAATACGTAGCTCAAAAATTTATTTAAATATTATTTTGAAAAATTAAGAGAAAGAATTTACTGACTGGTTTTTTAATTTATGAGATGAGTACCTACAATTTCTTTAGCAGTACATGTATATGCTATTAATAATATTCATTTTATCACGATAAATAATATTTACAAATTAATATGGTCAAATAAGTTAGATAGATCTTCAGTGTCATATTTTACATATCGTCACTGAAAAGCGCTTTTTTGGTTAGTGAACTTTTGTCGAGTAGCTTTTTATCGGGCGGGGTTTTGAGGTGTTGACATAAAAAAACTATTTGATAATTTCTTATCAATAATCATCAGGCTCCGGACACTGATAAAAATTAACATGGGGACAAGGTGGATTATAAATCCACTTTGCATAGGGAAGATACTTATCACATAAAAACGCGATGGCCATAGTCTTAGAGCGTCGCAGTGTGACCATTTTCGTAAAACTTAAAGTAGAATATAATGTTTATACGAAAGTCCAAAACAATAATTCATTTAATGACTAGAAAAATTGCTTTAAGAGGTTATAATATGTATTAGCAATTAAAAAAATTAAGTTATAGCTAATTTAAACAAATATATTTTATAAAAGACAAACCGTATTATCAATAATTTAAACTGGTAATACTAAAAAGATAAAAAAAGGTAAGGTTATGGTCATTGTATGCCCTTTCAACATGGCCGTCATGTTTTTGCTTACTTTAAGAGTGACCCTTTTGCTTTTTTCTATTCTGTGTCTTCACTAAGTGATAAATGATGAGTAAAATTTGTCTTGGTCTTGCATTTATTAAAAATCTTTCAAAACTAGAATTCTACTAGTCCCATGGAATTTACTTGGAATTTATTTACCGGAAAATACAGCTATATAAACTCTGTAATATATAACTCTGTGAGTTTTGGTTAGCTTCTTAGGCCTTAGACCATCAAATTAGTCAACAATATATCAAAATTTTCAATTGAATAACCTAGGCTTCTTGAACAATTTTAAATAATGTTTTAGGGGTTCATATATTTCTAGTCTCCCTCTGAAATTGCGTTATTTTCAACTGTGTTGTTTTATTTGCCTTCAGCGAGAAGTCCTGTGTTCGCCGCCATGTTTGAACACGAGATGGAAGAACGGAAACAGAATCGCGTTGCCATCACCGACGTAGACCACGAAGTTCTCAGAGAGATGCTCCGGTTTATATACACCGGCCGGGCAGCAAACCTGGAACGAATGGCTGACGACTTGTTGGCGGCCGCAGACAAAGTAAGTTTTTCCAAATGGACTTGTTATTTTAACGGGTCGGACAGTAGGTACTTTTGCAAACAGCTGGTGTGGGGGGACATTCAATGGTTATAGAGTCTATACAATGAATGAAACCCCAAGAAAAAAGATATCACTGCTACACCGAAAAACAGAATCGTAGATATGTTTTTTCTCTTCCCCTCCTTCCCCTAACCCAAGCTCGACCCCACTACTGTGCCGGTTGTTATAGTTGTCATTACTAATGTTTTCTTTCTCCATTCTAGTACGCCCTGGAAAGGCTAAAAGTGATGTGCGAAGAAGCCTTGTGTAACAATCTGTCGGTAGATAACGCTGCCGACATACTGATATTGGCCGACCTGCACAGCGCCGACCAGCTTAAAGTACAAACGATTGAGTTCATAAATACGTACGTATCCCGGTTGAAACAGCACTGTTTTTATATATGTAAATTATAATAATTTCAATTTATAATTCATTTTGTTATGTTTATACGTACATATTATATAAATAAATTCTGATTTGGTTTCTCATGTGTTAATTTTTTTTTTGCTTTTTATATCGTTTAGCCATGCGACTGACGTGATGGATACCACAGGCTGGAAAACTATGATACAGTCGCATCCGCACCTGATAGCCGAAGCGTTTCGTGCGCTAGCCACACAGCAAATACCGCCGATCGGACCACCTCGAAAACGGGTTAAACAAAGCTGAAACAACGTACCGTCCACAGCGGTGATGCAGACTTACGATCTCACCAGCCCACCACCCCCACCCATAAACTCTTCCAGGGCACACATTTTGTAAATTTATATAATTTTTTTTTCTCTTTCAAAAAGCTTACGATTGTAATATTTTTTTTTTATTATTATTATTTTTTTTATTTGTATAAAAATATAATATTTCTAAAGATAAGAAAATTCCTATAAAAAAAAAAATGCAAGTTGCGATTTGTTTTTGCTGGTAATGCGTTTGGACACGTTTGTATTTCTCACAATGTATTGTATAAAAAAAAAAAAAAAATGAAGAAGAAGAAGGTAACGGCAACGGCTGTTTAGTAAACGGCACACGTGATATGAGTGATATTTGCAGCCAAGACCTCGTTTTTTTTTTTTTAATTTTATGTAATATTATATATAAATTCATAATTATATACAATTACTATTATATTTTAGTTAGTTCTATTATCTATTATCGTTACGTATATTATTATTATTATTGTGTACAAGCCGAGAATTGCATAAAATGATTATATAAAAGTATAAAACAGACAACGGTTTTCTCAGTTCATTTTTGTTATAATATGAATATAACAATATATAAAAAAATTACATACATATATATCAATTTATGTCAAATTTTTCGGGTTTTTAAAAAGCCGGTGGCTGATTTTTTTTGGTTTTATGCAAGCCGGCAAAACAATTTTAACAAAACAAGCAAACTTTAGATGTGTTAACATAAGTAAATTAGGTGTCGTTTAAAAAATTATTTTTTTTCCCCTTTGAAACCGTTTAAAATGGACGCCCGTCATATTTTATTGATTAATATCATTAAACTATTTCACAACGGACAGTATCCGTTTCTTTTAAATTCTAACTATATTTGTTTTATTTTTATTATTATATAATATCTTTTGTGTGTTCATAAATAATAATAATAATAATTACATATTTTAGGTGTAAATAATAATAATTTTTTTTTTTAAGAATACTCTTAACTGAGGAAAGAGGCTGAAGAGGTTTCCTTTAATCGTTAATGTATACCTCAATTAGAAAAAATAATAAGCGATTGCGACACGTTCACTATTACGCGATTATATTAAACATAAACGATCCAATTGAGGTTATAATAATTTTGATTTATTTATTTTGTTCATTTTTTTTAAAAATTGTAAATCTATTATTTTTTTTTTCATTATTATGTATAATGACAATTATTATTATTATTATTATACCGCTCGATGGAGATCGTGTGGCATCGTCGATTAGTGGTCGACCAAGTTTCTGTTCCTCGTAATTTGTACATAAGAATAATATATTAGTCCTCTTTTCTCAGCGTTATATTAATTTACTTTTCTCTCGGTCGCATTATACACATGTATTTGTATACATAATATATACTTACTTATTTTAAAGGTGTAAAAAAAAAAAAAAAAGTAATCAAACTCGAGCCTTTCCATCTTTATTGTAATAATAATTTGTTTTCCGAATTCTTTTTGTTTTACTCGTGTGATTCGCTTTGTTGTGTGTTTACCTGTTTTTACGACATTATCTACGTCATTCGATTATAATAATAATATTAGTTATATTTACTACGAATATTGTAAATAAGTTTAGACTAGACAATTTTTTTTTTTTTTCAAAAATAAAAACTCGTCTTTCAAAATCCTATTTGAAAATGTGTACAAATTATTGACAAACGAATAAAAAAAAAATATATTTAATGAATTACAGTGAGATGTGAATTACGAAAATTAAAATAATATATTCTACAGTATTTGGTGTTAAATAAAAAGAAATAATATATTTTTTTAATTTTAAAAAATTTACACAATAGTGAAATAAAACTGAAAGTCAATAGGTCGGTAAATTGGCTATGGCAATTTTTCTTTTGCAAACTTGCGCCGGTGTGTTGATTAGAAAACGATGACTAACAGTGTAAAAAGAAAAAACGACTCGTCTCATGCCGAATTTTAGGCTCAAATGGATTCTTGGGATTAGGTAACACACATTATTACACTGTATTTTTTCAATTTTAGTACTTGTAAGTTGAGTATTAAACTAATGTTAACAAAATATAGTTGTTTATTTGAAATATTATGCTATAATAGCTATAACGTAAAGTGAAAACCATAACTTAATCTTCTTAAAAGATACTCCTAATAGATAATTCTAGTTTTTGTGGTTTTTTTTGTGTGACCTCGTTGATAATTTTGATTGGCGGTAAAGGTTTAATTTTACGACCAAAACGACCTGTTTTTCTTTGCCAGAGTCCTGATCTTGGCCGATTACCTAACTCTCGATTACGATTCGGACTGCCAATGTGTTCTTTGAAATGATTTTCATTTGACAATTGACCTGTAAACAAAATACCGATACTGATGAACTTTGTTTTAAGAGCTACGTAACCAGTTTATGTGATAATGTGCAAACACACAATTTGAATTGTACTATTTTTCACATGGAGCAGAATATATATTACAAGAGTGATTTTTTAACAGCTAAAAACAGTACAAATTGTATGGCAAGTATAATGGAATTTAAGAGACAAATATTGTGTGCTTCTACGTACCAACTGTAGCCATACAGTGTTTAGGAAGTGAGACTTGTAATTTTGAAGGCAATTGTACAATAACTCTATCATCTACGTGTCTCAATACTGTAGCGGCTGATCCTGCTGTCATAACAAAATGTCCACCTTGACCAGGCACTTTTTCTACACAGTGCACAAGAGTTCCTTTGGATAATGCACCAAGTGGATAGCAATCACCTTCGTTTGGATTTACTGGAGAATACGAGTTAAAAAACTATTCAGTGATTAGAATTCATAGAGTACAAAAACAAAAGGTATAAAGTTAATACCTTTAATAATGATTATTTTAATAAAATACGTATCGAAAAATAATGAGTTATATATATCTGGATACCTGGAATACGAGGAATAAATCCAGAAGTAACTAACAAATCTCCTGGTTTCATGTTCACTGTTGCTAAAATGTATTTTAAATTTGTTCCACTTCCGACTAGGGCAACTTTGGCTGTACGACAGCCACAATCTAATAATTCGATGACCTTATCAATTTTTGGAGGATCATTCTCGCCAGTTGGTCCGAACCGTTTAAGATCTACCCAATGGTACTTTTGTTTTATACCACCACCTAGGCCTTTGACGACAACTCTCCCTGTGAAATACAAACGTTTAAAGAACAATACTCACTTAAATAAAGTGTTAAATTATGATGTATAACACACCTGTCACGGGATCTCTTCCTGCTAAATGTTTATTGTTTAATGGTTTGACAGTATACTTTTCAGGCCATTCAATTTCTCGCCTGAAATTTCTAGATTTTGGATCTGGTAGCTCCATGTGTGTGAAATTCCATTTATTTCGTATTGAATTGAAAAACACCGAATTTAATTTTGTCGATTCTACTAACACTGAGCATCTTAAAGAAGACATTCCAAAAGATGCAAACATGTTTATAATATGATACACAAAATGTGACAGAGTGTAATTACAGAGTTGTAATTAGTTTAAGCTTTAGAGAATAGAGCATATAATATATAATTTATATCGAGCACGAAAATCGAAATAGAAAATTCGGCTGCCTCATGTTAATGCTGGATTTTGAAGGTATCATAATATCACAGAATAGACTAAATTTATTCAATTCTGTGATAATATAGTGATGATAACACAGAATAGATAAAAGAAGAAGGGTCACTCTTAAAGTAAACAAAAACTTGACGGCCATGTTGAAATCAATTTAAAATATTGATACTACGGTTTGTATTTTATAAAATATATTTTATATATATTAGTTATAACTTAAATGTTTGAATTGCCAATACATGTTAAAACCTCTTAAAGCAATTTTTCTAGTCATTAAATGAATTATTGTTTTGGACTTTCGTATAAAAATTATATTCTGCTTTAAGTTTTACGAAAATGGTCACATTGCGACGCTCTAAGACTATGGCCGTCGCGTTTTTATGTGATAAGCACGATGTAGAGAAGGTATCTTCTCTACATCGTGGTGATAAGTATCTTCCCCATGTTAATTTTTATCAGTGACCGGAGCCTGATGATTATTGTTAATAAATTATCAAATAATTTTTTTATGTCTACACCTCAAAACCCCGCCCAAAAAAAAGGTATACTCGACAAAAGTTCACTAACCAAAAAAGCGCTTTTCAGTGTCGATATGTAAAATATGACACTGAAGATCTATCTTACTTATTTGACCATATTAATTTGTAAATATTATTTATCGTGATAAAATGAATATTATTAATAGCATATACCTGTACTGCTAAAGAAATTGTAGGTACTCATCTCATAAATTAAAAAACCAGTCAGTAAATTCTTTCTCTTAATTTTTCAAAATAATATTTAAATAAATTTTTGAGCTACGTATTTAATTAGTACCAATTGATTGTTAAAATTGTTTATTAAAATACATTGATACTTTAAAAATGAACTAAGAATATAAAATTGGTTTATTGAATAATTACTGATAGAGAAAAAACTAAAAAAATACTTTTAAAGAAAGCCAGGTTTTTAAGTTTAACATATATGATCATTTAAAATATTTTATGTAATTAGTAGAGAACTTTGTTTTTCAAATTTTTTAGTAAAATAGTATTTGATACTAATATAGTACTTAAAAACTATTTAAATTGATTTATTCAAATACCTTACAATTTTGTGAGTATTATTATTAGAGTTATAATAAAATAATGGAACTTGACAATAATCAGTGTTGATAATTTTTTTTAAATTATTATATTATTAAAAATTTGGTGATTAAACACACACACAATGGTTTCAAAAACAATTATAATGTTCACACAAAAATATAAATCACCGTTTTTGTATAAGCATAGATTTTTATTTTTATGGTTAAGGGTTTAAATATTAATTTTTTTACTATGAGAAATTATAGCATTATTTTATGGATCTAAAAATTACAATAGCTTAAAATTTATTCTTCATCATCAAGCTTAACGAGCCTTTAAGGCCCAATGCTATCATCATGAGATGATGGTTTCTAGACGAATTCGCTGTCAGGGACGAGTCGTCAGTCCGTCGCCGGAGAGGAGAGTTGTGGTTCCTTTTCACTGGACGTTGCTCGCCCGGCAAACAGAGTATAATTGTATATAATTACATAATGTCAAAAAAATATTTTTACAGTTTGGATAAAACTCAATTCTCGGACTGGTGTTGAATAAAAGTGTACTCATATATAAGTATAAAAAAATTGTATTCAACTATTTACAATCATCGCACTTATAAAAATTATGTCCCTAGTTATAAAGTTATTAAACAAAATAAGTATTATTCAGTAAATGCTCCTAAATTGCCGAATAGTTCAGCTGGTACTTCTTTTTTAGTAGGTAGATCTTTATCTTTGACCTCATTTTCTTTATCTCCGTCAGCTTCTTCGTCATCACCATCATTATCATCATCATCATCATCACTGAATTCAATTTCATCTGGATTTTTCACTGATGCTTTAGGAAGACATTCCTGTTCACTACCCAAAACAAAACTGATAGGCTCTAAAGTTTTTTCTTTGGTTTCTAATGCCTTTTCTTCTAACAATTTCATTCCACTCTTTTCTGGCTCAACGTTAATTACAGACATCATCTGAGCAGACATCATATTTACTTGAATGTTGTACATTGCTTGAACACTTCGTTTTATTCTCAACATTTCGCGAAGTGTATCTTCATTACCATGTGCAACTTCAAAATTAGTCCAGGTTTGCCAAAATTCTTCAGTCACTCGAGGGTCACATATTTGACTACAATGCGAGTAAATAGCTCTTGCACGGTCAATTTCACCTAATTTTGTTTCGAGTTCTGCAAATCTTTGATACATGATTCGCGCTTGGTTATTACTTAAAACTTCTAGAGCTTTCATATATATTTCTCTGGTTTTAGGTATTCCAGATATTTCAGCTGCTTTTTTAATGTATATATTGAACATTTCAAACTTCTCTTCTGGTAGAACGGCTTCGGTAGCCCTTTCATAGACAGCCATTGCTCGTCTGCCTAAACCATGTTTCTCTTCGAGTTTGGCATACAATAGGAAAATGCACTTGGCAAACTGCGGAGGACAACCTTCTAAACATTCTTCAAATAAATCACGAGCTCTTTCCAATTTTGTTCCACCATAACGATCCAAAAACTTTGTTAAGTATGTATTCCATATGTCAAAAACATTTGGCCATTTAAATAAAGCTACTCCTTTTTCGTATGCTTTAAACATTTCTTCAAAATACTTATTTTCCTCCAAAAATAACCCATAGTTAATAATAGTTTGAGGAGTAGCAATTCGTAAATCAATAACACGATCATAACAAGCCATTGTGGACTTAACCGTTCCAAAACTTTCTTCCATATCTAGATACAAAGACCACAACTTTAATGATTTATGCAATCGTATTTGTACAGTTTCTGTATCGTCGTGATAAGCAACTTTGCGAGACGGCATGGCCGTGGCTTGTCTCATTAACTTCATTGCTTCATTAAAGTTATCATGTCTTAATTCCATTTCTACCCATTCACACCAAACACTAGCCAGATGCTCAACTTTTATATAATGAACCAACACAGCTTTCTTGAACACTAATCGTGCTTCTTCTAGTTGATTAGCTTTTTCATAAAATTTAGCGAATTCTACCCAAACTGTATGCAAACGGCCAACAGCTTTTTGGGGATCGACTGTTTCTACAGCTTCCGTAAATGTATTTATTACTTGTACATCATTGCCTTCGTATAACTGGACACGTTTTAGCCATTCTTTAACATTGTGAGGGTTTTGTCTAAGCAGAACGGAATTCAAAAGTAACAATCGTCTTTCAATTAAATTCTCCAATCTAGCCATGCGTAAATCAATTTCGCGATCGTCTTTTTCCGTACTGTTTTGGTTAGAGTGTACCACTTCCATACGTTTTTGTAAACTTAATTCTTCAAATTGAGCATAAGCATCATACACTTGTGTAAAATCACGAACAGTTGTAACTGTTTGAATCGCTTCTTCATATATATCTCTGGCTCGTTCAAATAAACCACTTCGTATGTAATAATCTGCCAATGAATTCCATAAATGACCTAATTGATCAGTGTAACGTCTTAATCCACTACGAATTATCGCATCTACATTTAAGGATTTAATTTCAAGAGGATTTTTAGAAATTAAATTACATAGCTCATTCCAAAGCTGGTGTTTAGATTTTCCATGTTTAGAGACAAAACTATCATTATTGACTATTTCGGACAGTTGAACAGCAGCTTCGTCCAGCCTACCAGAGGTTGTCAGATACTCAATATAATCTTCGGCATCTTCTGGAAAAAGTTTCAAATACCTCCTATATATTTTGACAGCAACTTCAGGATCATGATTTTGTTTAATAAAACTCAAATACAATGGCCAGATACGAACATGTTGTGTGATAGGCAACGCTCTGAGCGCTCGATCAAATAATCGCCGCGCCACAGTAAGTTTTGGCTGTTTTACCATGAATGTACAAAACTCAATCCATATCCGAGGCATCTTATTCATATAAACTAAAGCTCTTTCATACACATTGTTGATCTCTTCATAATCTGGATTATCAATTTTTTTTAAATACTTGCGACGAATTTTCAAGTAATTGTGCCATAGTTTATAACTGCCTGGAAGTTGTTTTAATGCACGTTCATAAAGTACACACACCTTATTGTAAGGTCCCAATTTATAGTTGTCAATGTACCTCATCCAACATTTTACGGAATTTGGATTTCTCAAGATATCTTGTTCGAATTCTACATCCCTTTTATTCAGTTTATAAGTTTGAAATATAAATGCATCTGACTTATAATTATTACTGTCTACAACCATGTTCTCACCGTCAATCATTTTCAAAATCTCCTGAAAGATAAATTTATATTAATATTATTGTTGACGAAAAATTCTTGTATATCTTACGGTTTATAACAGTTGTGTTCGGTCTGCAAAATATTCATTAACACGTTAAAAACCAAACGCAAAATAATTTTTACTTATAGGTAGGTATTATGAGTCAAGTAACATAAATTGCAATTTCCGAGGAACCGAAGTAAATAGTAATAATGCTTAATAGAAGTTAAAACTCAAGTCGGAACGTTTGATAACGACCTGCGTCAAATACAGTTTCTTTTAAACTAAACAGAAGTTGGGAACGTTTACAATATTTCCTACAACCTAACCGGCGGGTATGGTTAGGTAAAAACACGATGTAGAGAAGATAAGGTGACGCCACTCCAACCAAATCAGTGGGTCAAGAAATTACGGCATTTTGGTAGTACAGTTTTGTCACGCAGATAGCGCCACCATTCGCCCGTAGGCCGACTTTTACATGGAGCTAATAGGGTTTTTTACACATTATTATACGTTACTGTCATTTTTATTACTAAATAAAAATATATTACATGTCATTTTATTTGATTACAGGACTATAGATTATATATTATTTTAAAAACCACAATATTCGTATATGTAGTCTAATCTAATGTACTATTTATTCTAATTCCTATTCCACAAAATACGTTTATAGTCGAACGATGACTATCCTTTTATAACAATACATGAAATTATTCTATACGATATATTATATAATAACACGTATTATGTACAAGAAAAAAAATTTCTTCAACCCCTCCCTCCCCCTTCCTATATCGAATTTTAAGCACCAGAGAAGTTTTTTCAAATTGAGTTTATAGTTGTTGAAGGTCTAACGAATAATTCGTTATAAAGAATAACGAAATTTTTGGACTTATAGTTCCGAAGATATTTTAATTCTTACTTAGGTAGCCGCAATTCCCCTTAACACTTAATAATTAAAATATAATTATTAAATTATTATTTATTTACTTCAAGTTCTAAATTACTTCAGAGAGTAACATTGTAACAGTTATATAATAAATACCTATAATATATTACTTAAAACACATTTTTTTTTGGCTCTGGGGGGTTAAAACCCGACCCCCCCCCCTGTAATACACCACTGTACATAACAATACATTCTTTCCGATTATTTTAATTTACCCCCGAAAAATAAGCATCGCTTGTGTAAGGTGGATATTAATTACTTAATAAACCCCAATTAAGTGTCTTCGAAAGCCTGACTACCGTGTAATTCAAGCCCAACCATACGTGCAATGCCTAGGGACGAAGTAGTGACATATTCCCTGCATTGTGTTCCTAGAGATGATATTTGCATCACAAATAATTGTTTATATTTTGTGTCTACATAATAAACCGCGGCATATATAATTATAAAATACTGTTGTTCTTATTCATTTTTACAAATAACATTCATTGACTAATGTAGCTCTTTTAGATTTATAATTTATTGGCAATATTTGCTCTACTATTGTTTTATTCTATTACTCTGATCTAGAATTTAGAAATTATGACCATGTATACTAATGACTAATTAGTATTGGAATACTACTTTATATTAGTAGAGTAGCTAAAATAATAAAATAAATAACTGTGCTGGGCAAAGACTAGATCAGAATAAATTTAATTTAATTAATTATGAAAGCTATATTCTAGTGCTAATATTTACTTTAATGCCGTTAAAAAACACAGTTTTCGCAATTAAAAAGTTAACAAAATAATTACTTAATACTAAATAAGACAATAAAAATAATAAAAACTCCAAATAAAGAATAATTAACATAAAAATAAAAAATAAAACGTTTATTGTTCCTAAGCCGCATAGAAAATATCGGCCTCCGGGCGAATGGTGGCGCCACCTGTACAGCGAAGCTGAACTACCAAAGTGCCTGAAGCATTCGACCCCAGATTTTTACTGATAAGAAGTTGAGTGGTGTCACCTTATCTTCTCTACATCGTGGGTAAAAATGTGCTCAGCCAGCATATTACAGTATGAAGGTATATTCGAATTAGCAAAGTATTTTAGAATCATATCAAAAGTAATAGGTGTATTAGACACTCTTGTAACCAAAAAATGGCTGCCGGTGTTTTCAACGGACGTGTATTTCATCCGACAGAACACTAGCGGCCATTGTAAAAATTGATAACACGAACTGTTGAAATACCTATTTATTTTGTGTTGTTAATAGACATTTTCCACCTTGATAGAAAGATTACAAATTTTAAATTGGTGTTCTTAGTTCTTACATTAATTTTCTTGTATTTGTTACCTAAATTATAATATATGTAATGAATAATAGTGTATAATCATTAAACTAAAATCATTTCAATGACCCAATGAACAATAAAAGTTTTATATAATTTGGAAAAGTGATCATTAGTTAAAAAATATTTATTAAAAACAGTTTCGGTTATTGAGCTGGAAAAATAACAAAAAGAAAATATGTTGGGTCACAGTAAAAACGTGACTTGCAAATTGGTTAAAAGTAAGTTTTTAGTCGTAAAATAAAATCATGTAAGTTTTTAAGTTATTATTATGTAAACAATGTATGGTAATTATCAGGTATCGCTAGTCCTTTGGTAAGCACCGTTCGAGGTCTTAAAAACTTCAAGCCTCCTGTAAAATATGACCGTAAGTATGTCTTATAATTAAGAATAAAATATGCTTTAAAATGTATATAACTTAAAATTATAGACATTCAGATGCCCGAAAGACCTAAACTTCACTATATTGATCGTCATCCTGTGTACAATACCAATTTGAAGCCTCCCAAAATGCATAAAATGTTAAATTTAATGAGAGGTCCAGAACTGATTCATAATAAATTAATACACAAACAATATGGGATACAGGTAATATAAATATTATAATGATTTAAATTATCATAGAGTGTGTAGAAGGTCATATAGTTGCAGTGTGCAGTTCTCACTGTAGCTTGGTCGACGTTCAGTTATGTGGGCAGTCCTGTTTTCTGGGCTAGAAAATCATCCAAAGAAGATGTTTCTTTTAAGTATTCGCAATAAATTCAACATATACTCTCATGAGAGAAAGGTACTGCGTAAAAATTAAAACTCCTGTTATTCCTATTTACTTTTGTCTACTCGAGTGCTTACGACAGTGATGCGTTTTGATTTCTGCGCAGTACTGTAGTCTCTCGTGAGACAGAAAAAAAGAGACGATTTCACAACCAGCTAACAGAGCCGCTCATAACTAAATGCATTGCAACTTGTCTTCTGTAAATTATGCTTAGTTGAAGTCAAAAAATATTTAATATTCTAGCTGTTACATTGAGTAAACCTTCATGAAGTAATTATTTTAGGCAACCGGAGGAGGTCGTATGAAGTTTGTTCACTTTGAAATGATTCGAATGGGTATATTAAGAAAATTAGATTGGTCTAGAATATTTGCAATTTGGAGGGTAGATTCACCATGGCAAGCAGTTACTAAAAAAGTTGAGTATTTTAACTAAGTAATATATGTATTATGTATTTCTATCATAGATTTAAAAATAAACTAAAGATGAACAACACTTTTATATAAGTAAAAAAAAAAATTGATTTGATATTTTTTATTTTGGATCAGTTGTTACATTAGTAACAATATTATCGGTAGTATTTTTAATCTATATAAATCTACCTACTACAAAATCCTATTAGAAGCACTAAATAAAGTGTTTTGTATTGAATTTGTTAATTAAAATCTTAATTTTTAACTCTAAAATTAATATTATTAGGGTCAAGGACAACGTATGGGCGGCGGCAAGGGAAGCATCGATCATTATGTAACTCCTGTTAAGGCTGGAAGAATAATTGTTGAAGTGGCTGGTCATTGCGAGTATATAGAAGTACGTATAATTTTTAGATGACCTGTAATTTGTACATTTTTTTTTTATTTATATATTTCTGTATTACAGGTAAAAGATATTTTAAGTAAAATTGCGGAAAAACTTCCTTTTAAAGCTCAGGCTGTTAGTCAAGAAACATTGGAATGGGATAATGCAAATGAAAAATGGAAAGAAGAAAACAATAAAAATCCTTACACGATGGAATACTTAATAAAAAACAATATGGATGATTTGCAACGCAAAATTAAACGAATCGACCATTTTTATTTTGGAAAGTATAAGTAAAAAGTGTAATATTTTGTGTAAACAAATGTTATTTAGTATATATGTCTAAATATAAATAAAAATATTAAATTTTAAATGTATCAACATTTTTAATATATTTACCAACTCTACAGTTGAAAGTTTAGTCCAAATAGTGCCAAAACTTTTATTAATAGTTTCATGCCTATGCACGTTAATTATGTGCGATAAGAAAATTCTGGGAAGTGTTATGATTTGGTTTGGAGCACAATAATCCGTAAAAAAATAAAAACCGAAAAAGTGATCAATAGCATGTTTTATTTGGACCAAACCTTCAAATATAATATTCCGTACTACTCTTGCCTTGGATACAAACTGTTTGATATTGTTTAAGTTATAACAAATATTTCAATTTTCAGAATGTATATTTGAATAATCATAATTCATAATAACTTGATAAATAAATGCTAATTTCTAATAATAAAAAAATAATAATTTTTATACGATTGATTAGTGTAAAGATACATTAGTCATTGTTTTTTCGATACCAGTTCAGTTTAGTACTGTAAAATGTAAGGCACTAACATTTTATTATTGCCTTTGTTGCACAGCACAACAATAATAATTAATTTTAAAAGAGCAAGCTAGATTTTGCTATTTTAATATAGTAAAAAAAAAACACTTTTATTATATTTTACAACGAACAGCGAAAAATGCAAATAATATAATTACACGTTTATACAAACAATATAGTTTAAGAGTAAAAAATTATAACATGTATGGGAAAAGGAATATCATGTATAAAAAGTGCATTAAAAACTATGATTGTAATGCGCATTGTTGTTCAATTTAAACGGACGGTCTAGTGTCGATGTCAGCTGTTGGCTGAACTTTCTTTTTTTGTTCGGAAAACAACAGCACGTTCGTTATGATGTTCAGAGCGGCCATAAACGCGAAGAACACGAATATCCACCAACCCAGATAGGCGTGCGCGTACGGATAACACTTGACGACTGCAAACCCGACGAGATAGCTGAAACCCAACGCGACGTGTTCGCCTTTGGTGTTGTTGGTCGGCAGGGTGGGCACGAGCGCCACGCAACACGACGTGACCAACAACAACATGCCCAGCAACGGTACGAAGCTCAACAGCTGCGCGCCAAACCGGTTGAGCACTAGACGCCTGATCAAGTTGTACGAGCCGATGACGGCGCCGGATATCAGGATGCCCGTCGAGGACAGTATGGTAGTGGATTCCCGATGGTCCATGGCGGTCGATATCAAAGCTCCCATCACCATGAACGCGGACAGCACGATGACGATAAAGTAAGAGTTCAGTATTCTCACGCCCGAATCACCGACGACGTCAACGGCGTACGACAGGACGGCCAACGGACCGGACAACTGTTGGAGGGTCAGGTGCAGACACAACGCCATGAACGGTTTGTACACATTGGGCTGCCTTAGGTTCCGGACAAAATTCAGTCCGGGCTGGTCGTTGGAGTCTGCGACCGCCGCCGGCGTTTCAGTAATTTTGAGTTTCAGCTTGGAGTACTCGGCGTCGCCCATTCTACCGCGAGACTCCAACCAAGCCGGGCTTTCCGGCACGTACGTTCTGACCAGCACAAACGACACGGCCGTGCCGACTACCGCCAACAAGGCCGTCTGTCTGTAGTTGAGCAGTGAACCGACAAAGTAGACGCTCAACACGCCCAGTGCCGTGTAAACGACGGGTCGGGCCGAAAGACGTTTGGGAAAACACTCGGTACAATACGCGCTGACGGATATCGACGTGATGCCCACAAAGCATCCGGTTAGAAAGCGGCCTATGAGGAAATTGACCGTAGTCAAACTGCTGATGGTTAGGATCCAGCCGATTATGCCGACTACGTGACTGAGGACAGTGGTGCCTCGAGGTCCGAACGCGTTGATCATGCTGTGGCACACAAGGCATCCTCCAGCAGCTCCTAGGGCGGCGAGACTTGCTGAAAATATAACGTCGATCATATTATTGTTACATAGTTTTCAGACACTCTTACTGTGCAGAGTTGTGGAAATGTCATGTTGTAGTAATTTTATAAATGAAAAAAATTGTTTTAACATACAAAGTCGTCTATAATCAAAAATAGCTTATAAGAGGGCGTCGCACCGGTGATTTTCAGTGGTAAAAACTTGTTTACGCCAACTGAAAATAACTCCCTTAATTTTGGTTTTGGAGTGAAAGCACCCATTATAAAATTAAAAGAGATCAATATTCCGGAGGGCACCACGGTGAGTTTTAAAATTCATTTTTTGAAAAGTTACAGTAATTTAACAATGTTAAAATATTCGTTATTTCTAAACGATGTATTGAGCGTTATACTTGGAATAATGAAAAAAACGCACCGTGGTGCCAACCGGAATATTGTTCTCTTTTAATTTTATTATGGGTGCTTTTACTCTAAAACCAAAATTAAGCGAGTTATTTTCAGTCTGCTTAAACATGTATAGATGAAAAAACATTTTTAAATCGCTATCAAGGATGCTGTGATAGTCCGAAAAATGAATTAACTACTAAAATAGAGTCTTACTCGTTGAACTAATAATTACACATCACAGTTAAACCTTTAAATTAAGATTTTGTAAAAAATTGCCTATACTTTACTCCTTAAAAATGGCGGTGCGACGCCCTCTTAACGTTCAAATTGAAAATATTATTTTAAAGTTTAGTTTTAGACTACTCTAAACATTTAAAAATCAAACTGCAACATGCATATTTGATTTGCCTACTAATATCATGATGATATAGGTAATACAAATAATGACTTCGATAGGGTATAAACCCGATTTGACAGTACTTTCAATGTTATTATTGAAGGCGAGGTAGATTAATGGTAATTATTCAAATTTCAAAACTATAGTTATAACGATGAATTTTTAAATTAATCGTTCGAAAGATTTTTTAAGGTTTATTTCGATAACATCGATTGATTTCAATGGAAAATATTAATTCCCAAAAATATGAAAAATCCAAAGAACCTTAAAGCACTCTTAACTAATACTTTAATCAATATACTATTGTCGTGGTTACTTAGCATATCCAGTTTTTTAAATTATCAACCTCAAAATTGTTTGCGTTTCTTATATTAATAGTAACAAAGACGGGAGCTTTGTAATTTTTTCAATCTAAACGCATTAGACAAAATTATTTCTTTTTCTAACAATGATTACGTTAAACGTTTTTCATTTTAGTTTTGGCGGCTTTATTTTAATTATGGCTTAGACCAGCTAATGTGTGGGGGTGATGATAATAAACGAATGACAAAAATCTTACCGAACCATGTTTTATTACTGTAAGAAATTGGCAATTCCGAAAGTGTGACACCGGTGAATCCCAAAATGGCTCCTGACAAAATACACGGCAATAACGATAGTATAGCTAATATACCCTGTAAAAAAAAAACACATTTTCATTGACAAATTATTTGTGAATACATTTTTAAAATAAATGTTATTACTGATTGTTTAATTATCATCAAACCTAGTAGACTTACCGGTGAAATGGATGAATTGTACAACGGTTTTTGGATGACCACGGTGGGCTCAGGTTTAGACGGTGCACTAGGACCTGGTTGATTTTCCATTTTTCAAAAAAAAAAAGCACTTTGTAGTAGTATTTTTCAAAAGCTCTACTCGGCTTCGTAGTATTATTATTATTATATGAGTACACTAAGCTTTGGTGGTGTATTCTCTCCAGAAATACACGGGCATTTGAACGGCTTCAAAACGGTATCAGGTGACCGTAAATGGGTGGGTATATATTATATTAAATGCAATGTGTAACAAGAAACTGTATAGTGAATAGATATAATCAAATAATGACACAACACCAATTAGTCAGAAAAACATTTTTGTTATTATGTTTACGTGTACCACAGTGCAATTATATATGTGATTTACTTATTTTTATATTCAATGTTGTAAAAATTAATTATACGCTCATAACACACACACGAGGAGCAGTTATTATTCCAACGACGATAACAAAACGGTTGATTTATTAAAACAATTTTAAGAGAGCGAGCCATACATATATACATATATTTTGTTTTCTACTGTATAGACACATAGCATCAGTAGGATTTAAGCATCGTTTGAACCGCTCCTAAAATAAACCATTCCTATAGATAAGATATATTACACACATTATATTACTACAATTATTATTGTTATTATCATTATTATTACAAAACAAATCTGTTTATCATTCAGTTTAAAGTGTGCAAGCGATGCTTCAGACGAAAACATCGATGATTCCATCATGCACAATAACACAGAACTTATCGACGGATTAGACAATTACATACGGGGAGATTCAAGTAAAATTGGTCTATTATATTAACTACAATAATAATTTGTGTATTAATTATAAACATAGATAATAATTTGATTAATAATAAATTGTTAAAGTCAGACCAACAAATGACTGCGGCGTTACACATAAAAGAATCAGAACGGGAGCCAATGCCAGAGAACGAGACCGGACTCAAAGGTAAGTATTGATCCAGACTTATTTATTGAATTTTAAGTAATATTATAACTATTGACTATTGTCCATAGCGTAAATGCGGCCTTTGATCTACTCCGATCGACCATACCCATTGATCCACCAGATCGCAGTCTTTCTAAAATCGAAACTCTACAGTTGGCCATGAAGTACATAAATCATTTATCTCGAATCTCGTCTTGCGGTAATTATTATGATTAATAAATATTGGGCTTCTATTAAATACTGCAATTTCACAGTGTTGCAGCTAGGACTTATACCACCCCATCACCCCTAAAAACTACCCTCTACAAGTTAAACGATTTTAGCATGGAACATGCTTTAGCCTTGGCCCCCCAGCCCGAAAACGACACTAAAGTAGCACAATAACTAAACAACAATATTATAACTAAGACTATACAATCTTCATAAATCACAAAGAGATTATAGTTCACAAATAATCACTATTCAGGAGCCAGCAGACTAAAACATGTTTCATGTTTTATAATTTTAGCCTGTAACTTTCTTTAAAAATTATCCTGGGAATTTTAGACTGTCAAAAACATTTGGATATTTCAATAGTAGTGTTTTTAATTCTATTTCTTTGCTAAATTCAGAACTGGTCTCAAAATTGAAGCCTTAAACTACGTTGTAGTTCTAAATTAATTTCCTATGTTGTAGGAAATGATGAAGAAGACTGCAGTGCATATGAAATATGTATATTTTGCTTAGCAAATAAACCCATTACAAATAATGAACAAAATGATACACAATGTATAATCACCAAAAATGGTTTATTATGATACACTTTCGATATTTTTTTTTACTCTTCATAAATCAAACAAATGTTAAACTAAAAAAATATGTGTGTATGTACATCACTTACATTAAATTATATAAAAAAATATAGTTTAAATTATGTTATTTATTTTTAAAATTAATTATAAATAATGCTGTGCAAGGTATTTAGACCAAACTTATACTATTTAAAAAAAAAAAAAAAATGGAGACCACGCTAAAATAAACAAACACAATTAATTATAAACCAAACTTTATAAATATAAATACATTTTTTTATTTAAACTGATTATTGCGTATGTTACTTATTTATTCCTTGTCCATTACACTAATACAATAAGAAGAACAATTGAAAAACAAAACAAACCATACTTTTAACTCTTTATAATCAATTTATATGTGATAATAATAATATTTATCTAAATAATCGCAAATAGAAATTATATTATGCATATCAACAGCTATATTTAATTTAACTACAGCAGATTATTGAATTAAAATTTCGCTACAATATAATAGCACCATAAATTGTTGGTAAGTGTTCTAAAGTTTTTTTTTTTTTTTTGTAATAGCGATTAGTTATACTTAAGAGATTTTTTTATAGACTAGTTTATACAAATATGATATATTAATAATAATACACTTTATTTAGAGTAATTTTTACAAGGAATAAAACAAGTTAAAAAAGAGCATTCAGTAAAATTTTGTTATAATTAAGTAAATGAACATAGATTTTAAGAAAAAAACTTCTAAATTAATAAAATAAGCATTTTACAACGGTATTTATTAATCAATTAATCCATCAAAAAACTAGTGATTAGTTTTTTAAATATATTAAATACATTATTAGTCAAGCATAGTCTTTATAAAAAAAAAAGTAAGTACAATTGGGTCAAACTTTTAACTAATAGAAAATTATCTAAGATACATATTTAATATTTTTTTTTAAAAAAATACCATAATTAAATAATTTATATTTATAATATATGTGTTAAAATTTTAAATACTAATAAATCAATTTTTTAAATTGGTAATAAAACCGAAGAAAAAAACCACATCAAAACACTTAATAGTTTGTTTTATATATTTAAAAATTAATTAATTAAAAAACTACTTTTGAACTTTGAGCTAACAATACAAAAAAATGCTACGACCTATTGAAAACATCAATTAAATAAGCATTCCTAATTTTTAAGTGCGACGGATTAAATTTGATAAGGGTGCGGCAAATACAAAAATGTATATTGCTCATAGAAATTATCTAGTTGCTAATTACATATTTATATAAATAATTTATATTTTCTTTAATTAAAAATTTTAAACAAGTATTAATAAAAAGTAATTATAAATTTGGGCAATTTATTTTTTACAAAATAGTAAACTAATTTAAAATTTGATTAAGAAAATAACTAATAATTATTTAAGTATTATACTTTTTTTTTTTTTAAACAATATATTTTTAAAGATATATGCGAAAATGTATAAGTTACAACTATACAATAAATTATATAAGCTTAATTATAAGCTAACATAAAAAAAATATTGATCAATACTTTAAAAGGCCCAACATGCGAGTTAAAAATATTCTAACTCTCGGGATTAGAATAGATAATTTATACTTTATTAGTCTTGTTATTCTAAAGCAGGTATTTTTAATCATTATTATATTAGAAATTTTAAATCAGTACAACTATTGATACCTTTTAAAATTCTGTTTTTAGAATACATTAAAATTAGATTCATTTATCATGTACCTGTGGTTAATTGATAAAGACTTAAATAATTAGGGTCTACCGCGGGCAGCTTCTTCAAGAGCACGAACTTTCATTTCTCGTTCTCTTTGTTGTTGTTGCCTTAAAACAAAAATTAACACGCTTAATTCTTAAAAAAACACAAATAAATGTTGAATGGGAGTTATATAACTTTTTTTCAATACAGAAATGTAATAAAACTCATTAAAAATCTCACTGATAGCCGTCATCACAAGTGTAATGGTATAACACTAGTGAAAATGGCAATAAGTCTTATTATTTAAATTTTTTGGATGTAATAAAAGATTCCAATTCTAAAATTATTTATTATTAGTCTTAAATAGGAAAATAATTGGACTTAAGTCTTCTTAATGACAAAAAATGAGGGTTAAATTACAAACACAACACTTATATATATATATGAAAAAAAATTATCAACTGTCGCTACATTAAACATTTTAATAGTCAAATGTTTAAAATTTGAGGAGAATAATTGTAATAAAAAAATATATTTACATTATTGTGTTATACCTAATAAACTCTTCATGAGCCATTAGTGCGGGATGTGGAAATCGTTCACGTTCCATCATCATTTGTCTTTGGAAATGTTCATGTGCAACCTAAATTGTTTTGTCAATATTAATGATTAATACATACATAAAATAATATTGTAAGTGGAGTTCTCACTAATGACAATAAAAAAAGGTAAGAGTGAAAATATTTTTTTAAAACAATTTTTTGGATGATGCTAAATTTGTTGTTCATACTTGATCCGCGAATGGCCGAGCTAAAACATCACTTGGATGATGAAGACCTAACGAAGGATCACGACCTGCCATAAGATTAGGTCGAGGGTATACTCCTGGACCAGAAGCTAAAAAAAAAAAAACGTATAAAAATGTATTATATTTAGTTTACTTTTTCTTTTAAAAGCATTGATTCAATTTTTTTTTAGTAAAGGTCAAATGCTGAACACTAAATGTTTTTGAGTACAGTGTGATTAAAAAGAAAAATAATAAAATATTCTCTTAGGAAATTCCTCCAAAAAATATATTTACTATTAGCTTTGCTGTAAAACAGAAAAGTATTTGATTTTTATAACTGTAATTTTTATTAAGTTCACTGTTGAGTTTCTTAAATTTGCGGGATATGTTAAGATCAAATTGTTTTATTAACTTTTTGGGTACGAGTTATAAGGAGTTTCTAAAAAAAAAACTTACAGCCAAGTGGGAAAACTGATGGTGAAGTTGCAGATACAGCTGCACTATCGGCAGCTGCAGCAGCGGCTGCTTGTTGTCCTGGATGAAGGTGTAAGTGTGTATGTGAATGTGCATGAGTATGTGCGTGATATTCAGGAGAAATTCCAGCAAGCTGCAATCTCACCATCGGATCTGTTGCCAACGCTAAACGATTAGCTTCTTCTGCAGCAGACCCTGGTGGGCCACCACTTGAATTATTTTGGTTTGGGTTTGCATTAGGACCATTCGCTATAGCAATCAAAGTGAACATTTTTGATTATCAAGTATAATATAATGTATATAAAAATATTACATACCAAGCCTGTCCATTCTTTCTCGTTCCATTGGATTTAGATTACCTGGCGTTGGAGGTTGACTAGGAGCTCCAGGCGACGGATATAATCCAAACGGATGTAATCCTGGTGTACCTCCGTATCTACGTTGTAGTTCTATCCAATGCGGATCAATTCTAGGTGGACCAGACGACCCAGATTTTAAAAATTCATCCTTTAGTCTTTCGTTTAATTCTTTTTCTCGCAACTCCCTTAATTCTCTTTCACGTTTTTCTCTTTCCATCTGTTCATACTCGAATCTAAACCAGAATTAGAACATGAAATAATTATACAGTTTTAATATACATATATAACTATAAAAATACCTGTCTCTTGGATACATGTTGAACTGGTAATGCAACATGGGATCAATACAATGTGGTGGTAATCCCAAACCAGGTGCAGAACGCTGTAATGACAATGGAGAAAAACCTGCATGCGGTCTTGCATATTCACTGTAAAATTTAATTTTGTTGTTTATTCCAAAATATCTCACATGTAGTAAACCAAAAATGTTTTTAAAAAAACTATATTGATGTAATCGTTAAATGATAATATAAATTGAAATTGAAATAACACAATAAATATTTAAACATAATATTAACAGTGGCACTACTAGACATCTGGGGGGCCTTATAGTATTATGAAATTTAATTATTAAAAATAGTTAATTACTTAACTCAAATTATACTTTATTAAAATATATATTTATTATATATAATTATTATTATTATAACTTAATTATTATTTAAATTTTCATTTGGATAAAAAAATTATTTGAGTTATTAATTTAAAATGTTATTTAAATATGTTTTAAAATCATTCTTTAAATTTGTTTAAAACAGCATACAAAATTTAATGTTGGTGTAAACAAAATTCAGAAAACTCCTAGATGCAAAGTCAATTGGAATACAATTTGGCATGGCATACTACATATATATTATTAAATATATATTTTTAAGGTTGATATAATATTATAAAATGTTTATCTACTTTTTTTTTTTACTTGTACTGTGGTTGTCATTTTTGAGAATCCAAAGTTTCACTTTGTTAACTTATTAGCTAGTTGCACCACTGTTTATCAAATAGTAAAAGTATTACCTAAGCTGTCGCAATGCAGGTGTATCTGGATAAACTGGTGCATTTGCTGGTGTTCCACGATGTTGGTAACTACTCACTCTATCATAAGGTGATTGGAGAGATTCAATACCTCCTCGAGAAGGTGGTTTTGATATTTGTTCATTAGAGGCTTGCATGTGTTTATCACTGTTTGAACTTTTTCTCTAGAAAATTTAATATTGATTTAAATTAACATTATAAAGATTTTAATTATTGTTTTAATAATGTTAAAATGTACTACCGAATGTGATTTATCACGTTCATCTCGTTCTTTCTCAGCTTGTCGCCTGGTACGTTCTTCTCGCTTCCTACTGAGTTTTGATTCTGGAACTGGCTTAAATGTTAAGTCCGTACGACAGCAAGAATTGTGTTCTCCTCTATTCCAATGCCTCAAAAATCTAAAATAAAACATTTTAATGAAAAAGCAATTAACAAATGGTTATGTGTGTGAAAAAGTACTATTCATATATGTTATAAATAAATGGAAATGAATAAATAGGTATTGTTATAACTTATATTATTTTACACCTTGCATATATGAATTAAATAAATTGTGATTAATAATAAAAAAAAAAGTTTTTGGGGTTTCAATAATATTTCTTGTAATGTTCAGTAATAATTTTTTAAGCTTTCAAGACATTAGTTCTGTTTATTTTAAAACGTCCAGCATGTTTTTTCACTAACTATTTAAATTTTATATCCATTAGAAGACTACTTAAGATATTGCGTGTATTTTTAATTATTAAATAGATATCTTGATTGTCCTGAGTCAATTATGAGAATAGGATTTAAAGTACCTAGTTTTAACAGTATGATAGCAAGCCCTTCTATATTCCATTCCACCACCAAAAATATAGTTGCAATAATCTGATTGATAGAACGCTAAGTTCATTTAATCATTTTTATAATTTTTTTACAATGTTTTTAGTAATGTATAACTTTAAGATTTGTCTGTACTCCTGCCCCACAGGGTGACATTATAATAATAACAACCATAATTTTATAGAAGATGGAAAATAGTGAACATACTTTTAAATGAAAATCTTTGGCAACTCTGAACTTAGAAGATAAGTGTCTGTGACGTGTCTAAAATAACTTATTTATAACTGGGGAAAGTTTTCTAGATTTGGATAGACAACTCTTTTTGAGTTTTTTGGTTTTGTGTAGTGGAACTATTTTTTTTTTTTTTTGATAACAAATATGATATATATAATCTGGTTTAGGGTCTCAAAACATTTCAGTTTTTAAAGATTCACTTAGTTTTTTGATTCCCTCTTTATAATAAATAACTGGACAAAAACAGAAAATTACCATTTCCAATCCCTTTATTACTACATACAATTTATAAATTAATTAACAAAATAACTTACATTGCATTGTTACTACGATGACATTCGCTATCCTCTATCTTAGATTCAGGTGACGGTCCTCGTGGAATATGTACATTTGGGCTTGATAATCGCTCGTCATCATTATTTCCATCGTCAGTACTCTGACTCATTATTTGATCTGGTTTTATCATTTCCATGCTAGGCGGCATTCCCGTAGCTAGTTCCATAGCTCCCATGTAACCTTGTATTGAGGGACAACAAAATATGTTACATGAGTACAAAATATATACATTTAATCGGTACATGATTTATGTATCTTTTAATATGCATTTTATTTTGACTTAGTGAAAACTTATAAAATGTTTAAATAAGAAACTTAAAACTGTGTGTTTGTATATTAAAAGATAAATCATAATAATCTAGTTTTAAATTTTTACCATGTAATGCTGTATGAGCTCTAAGAGCTTCCAAAGATAATGGTGTGTGGTGTGGCATACTTTTAATAGCAGCAGCTTGAGGAGGTAAATTTCGACTTGATCCTGAATTAATAGTTTTAAATATTTTTTTAAATGTTTAAATTTATATAATTATTTCCAAAAAAAAACTTACCGTGTACAGAAGAAGAGGCGTGCTGGTGATGATGTGTATGCTGATGATGGTGTGTATGACTACCATTACCCACGTTACCAGTACCACCGTGTGTAGATAAAGACGAAGAGGTAGTATGGGAAAGTGTTGCAGATATATGACTCGAACCAGACTGAGGACTATTCCCTCTTTTCAATTTGTGCTGGACTAACTGTGATGACGAGGTAGTAGAATGCGATAAGGTGTGCTTATCCGTTGAACTCGAAAGATGCTGTACTGAAGTCGAACTTGAATGATGAGTTATTTCTTCATCTATACGGCTGCTCGTACTGACTGAATGATGATGATGAGCGGTCATTGTTGTAGTTTCATCAGGACCTCGTTTGGTTGGCGGCGGAATAGGATATGGGGCGTATGGAAAACCATAAGGAGGATACCCAGCATATGCAGGATGAGCATGTGGATGAAAAGGAAGAGGTGGATGGCCCAATGCTGCGGCAGCAATTAACGAATGTGGATGCATTAATGGATGGTGTGGATGCATAGCAGCAAATGGATGGTGAGGAGGAACTCCACCGGCTGGAGACATTCGATTGAGGGGAGATATTTGTTGAGATGGATGCATAGTTGGTTGAGGAACAGATGACGGGGGAGCAAACATAGGGGCAGATGAATTTTGTGTATGCGCTTTAGCCTGCAATGGAGATTTCATTTCCGGTTCTTTTTTAATACTCTCAACTGACATGTTAGCCAAGTCTGTATTAACACTAATATTAGAGTTGGTAGCTTGTAATGGCTGAGATACAGAACCGGCACCAGTGTAGCCTGGCACTTTAACCTCTTTCAAAGATTGTAATGGGTCTGAGATTTCTTGCTTAATTTTTAAGTTTTGAGGTTCTAATTGTGTTTCATACATAGGTGCATGTATTTTGTCCGGCATTTGATTGCTATAAGGGTAAAACGAAGAATTAAAAGGTTGTGTGACCGGAGTAGGCCCAGAAGAAACATTTAACAGGTGTTTATCACTGACTCTTTCTGAATCATTAAACGGTTGTTGATATGTTGATACAAGTATTTGAGATGGGTTTGGAGTAGGAGGTTTAGTGGGCTCTGATCGTCTTGGCGAGTACGAAGTTAGAGCAATTGGCGAATTCATGCTATCTTCTTGAATAGGTGGCTCTACTTGTACATGAGACGTCTCTTCAGATGAATTAGCAGTATTTAATTCAAGTTTCACGTCCACATTGGTATCTGTAACTGTTGCGTTGTCAGAGGTTAAATGAAGATTTTGCGAACTAAACATACATTTTTCCGCAGATTCTTTTTCGGTTTCTTCAGTTGAGGTTACGGATTGTTGAGATTCCTCAGGAGCATCGATGTTCATTGGTTCTTCATTAGTTTCATCTTTAATAGCTACATTTTCATTCTTATTAACATTTTCGGCTGAAACTAAAACTGTATCTTCCGGTTGAGATTCAGTGTTTTGTTCTTGGATTGGTTCTTCTTTAGGAACAACGTCAGATGACAGCTCAGAATCGGGAATGGGTTCAATTTGCATAGCTTCAGATACTTCAGCTTCTTGATTTGTCGATTCACTTGAAGCTATCGTAGCAATTTGTGTATCATCATCATTAGCAGAATAACCATCCGAACTAGTGCTTTCTGAATTATTGGACTCTCTTTTCATAGGACTCTCTTCTTCGCCATCAGTATCTAATGATCGTTTTTTAGGCGTTTCATTTAAATTTACCTAAATAAATTTAAATGATTTAAGTTGAGTTACTTGATAATGAGCAGGGCTTTTTGTGTTAGCTACCCGTTCGGTTTAAATACCCATTTTAATAAAAGTTATTAAAATGTGAACCACCAAATACCTGATGGTGATCATACTGACTGTTTACAATAATATATACACCAAGGACATGTTACTCTAAAATTGTTCGCATTGATTATAGCGGTATTATGACAGTTAGCTTTAAAAAAATATTAACAAAAATAATAGATATTTGAACCCAATGGGTACCCCCCAAAAATCTTGTACTCTGGTATTATCTAGTGAAAAATAAAAACTCTAATCAGTACCCACAAAACCTAAACCCCTCAAAAAATATATTGATTTAAAACCTTTATAATGAAATCATTACGATCATAACGATATAAGATTAACATAAAAAGATTCAATTTTTTTATTTCAATAAACTAAAAATTATGTTTTGGCTCAAGTTTGAGCGTAAACAAAATTAAGGACAGACTTACTTTGGCTTTTATTTTTTCAGTTGAAGGTGACGCCACGGATGCTTCTTTTTTCTCATTCTCTTGACTTATTTCAGGTGTATTAGCTCTACTGCGTTTAGAACGACCTTGTGTACTTTTAGTAGGCTGTTCAAAAAAATCAAATACACACAATTAAATTTAATAATACAAATAAATATTCTGAATAGTAATTACTGTTTCTTTTGATTTATTGCGTGTACGCATCCTGCTGGGCGAATCAGCAGTGACTGTGACATCAGAAGTTGCTGGACTTGGACACTCAGCAGGCGATTGTGGTGTTGGAGGCAATTCCCCATATTTCTTGTTGTAACTTCGACACTCAAAACATAGTAGATTTCCTTGTTTAGGTCCAATTGCTGCATTTTGCCAATCCCTGGTACCTAAATAAATTTTAACAAGTATTAAATTTCATACTAAGAAAATTTATGCACTACGCTAATTTTTATATTTACTTGTTGCAAAACAATGATGACATCTAAATAACGTAGTGTTATCTCTTGAGTCAGAATCATCTTCAGTATTTCCACCATCGTCTTCACTAACACCAGAACTTCCATCACCTTTAAAATACATTTTCGGGAAATTAAAATTTAAAATTTTTAAGGTTTTAATAAAAAATGTTAGAAAACATACCTGTTTCTTTTGAGATTGGCGATGGGCGAGGTCCTGTACCTGAAAATTTGAATGAAGTAATCATTTTTTAATACAGAATAATACATACAAAATTATAAAATATTTAGCATACAAAACAAAACTGAAAAATAATGGTTTTCAATCCACATTAATCTAAAAATGTTTATTATTTATATAATTATTATAGGTAATAGTTCTTACTGGCATCATCTTTCTGTGCACTTGAAGGTCTTGTTGCTCTAGTAGCTCTGATTCTTCTCAGAGAACCTTGTCTTCTTCTACGATGTGGTCTATTATTATTTGCACCCGGTGTTTTCTTCCATAAATAGTAATATTCCACTAATTCTGGCTACGATTCAAAAATAAGTTAAAATTAAAACTAAATAGATGATATTTTTATTAAATTAAAAAAAAATCTCATTTAACACTCACAGTATCTTTATGCGGAAGTAAGTCCTTTCTGATTCTATGGAAATTTTTCCCATATTGTCTTAATCCTTTTACAAATTTTTTCTAAAAAAATATTTTTAAAAATTATAAAATAATTATAGAACAATGCTTAAATTGTATTATTATTACAGTTTCTTCTTCAGACCACTTCTTGTCTATTCCTTTAGGCATAGGACATTTTACTAAAGCCTGTAGAGCTTTTCCAGGATCGTAACCGGAATCATGCAACTAAAAAATAAAAACAAATAGATTATTTAAATAAAATAGTATTTTTTAAGTATATTATCTTAAACCAGAATTAAATTTTAATTAATTATTTTGGGCAAATACCATTTTTAAAGTATTTTCAAATTTTAACATGGATTAGTTAATATCCAATTTTTAATAAAACTCCAAGAACTTATGAAATAGTGAATTACATGGTGGTTTAAACTTTTAATAATTGTGCAATTCAAAATTACTTATTATAATTTTAGTTTTTACTTACAATGTGAAAAGCGTTTATAGTAGTATCATCACGTGACGCGGCTATACAGCCCTCGTCAGCTGATCCACCATCACACATACCAGCGTATGCGGCCATTGAACGTGCAGCTCGTAAATATACTAACAAATCTCTATCTCTAACGGTACCCGATACCCAACGGGCTTCTTCTCGATCTTCTCCGACTATTCCATTGGTACTCGTGCCAGCTGTTCGAAAATCTGGTAACCTTGCCTAATTTACAAAGTTGTTTTAAATTAACAATGTATAATTAACGAATAATAAAATGAATAAAATATTATTACCTGATGTGAAGGCCCAACTCTAATCTCCCCTTGGGTCGAGCCCATTGTTCATTCGGGTTATTACGGTTTCCACTTTACTAAATCATACTGCAGGGTCACTGAAGATTAATGTTATACTTAAAGTCTCCTGAAAAAATATTTTTTGAATTGTATTATAGGTTCATTTAACTTATCTGATTTATAAAATACCCACTTAATGATGGTTTACTATGTCATTATACAAACTCGCCAAACACATTAGTTCCATAACCATTAAGTCATAAAACTAAATATTTAAATAATTGGTAATCACATGAATACTATCTTTTATATGTTTACTATTCAATTAAATGATACATACAGTAATAGGTTATCATTTAATATAGTACTTTCCGAGCCAAACACATAAATAGTTTGTTATATTGATTATTGATAGCAATGATAAAGTTGTATTCAGTATTGTAACGTACCTACTGTCTGGTTAAGTGCAGTGGTCGTCGATAAGGCTAAGGATGTGGATCCCTGGCACGGAAAACGGTTGGCTAAGCCGTGTGCTACACGCAATAACCTTAAAGTCCCTTTTAAAACTTAGTATATCGCCCGAAGGGCTTAAACGGGTGGTCACGCTAATAAGGTAGTCGACTCTCAAGTGCAAGCTACAAGGTATTTATTAAAGTTACTAAATAAAATAAAGTTATAGTACACGCACAAAATAAATATATAAATATTTACACTCTGACCTGAGTCCGGATGATTGTGGTATGACGGGGCAGAGCGGAGTTGAGGTGCACACACAGATGATGGCGTACGGCAGTAGGCGGGTGCGCGAATTAGAACACAAGGTCGTTGCGAAATGTGTTAGCACGGATGGTAGTTATCAACTGGTCTTGCAATGGGATGACGCGCTAGCCGTCATCTCTGTGTGTCAACACTGCTCTCCCCCCTAAACGGGTTAATTAGTGTCTGTGTACGTGTGGTCCGGAGTCAACAGGAACGGTTAGATAATGTAACCGTTACAGTATTATGTGAACATATTATGTGAATACATATTTAGTGGGCATTAAATATGTATTATACATAAATATAATCAAAATTAGTAAAATTTCCAATTTTGATTTCTAGGTAATCTATTGACCCGTATAATACAATTAATGTACGTAGGGAATAAAAGTTAAGCCACAACTTGAAACTTAATAATATTTTTAACAACACCGTGGGCATTAAATATATATTAAATATATTAGGATATATAAGGATATATATAAGGATGAGTATTTTAAATGACACATGAAACAAATTGGTATTTGTTAAGTATTTATATAGTTTTTACCAAAATAATAATAGTTTTTTACAATTATAGGATAATAATCAAAAGGAAAAACAATTACTCATAAATAATAAAAGTAACATTTTGCTAATTTGCCACAAATATACACTTTTTGTAGGGCAATATTACTGAGATTCAAAGCGATTTGCTAAATAGGTTTGTATACATTTTAAAGACTTGTAACCGATCATTAATTGTGAAAAACTATTGTTAATTCGCCAAAGTTGAATACTTATTAAGCTAATAAGAAGTTCAAATCTTTTAGAATATTTAAAAATACCCCGAGCTCAACTTTGCTACAATATCTGGCAGTTGAGAAATTATACGCAGAAAACACATTCATAGCAATGTTCAAATAACAAGTACGCAATTTTTTTAAATAATCCCACTTATCAAAATAATTATAAAATTTGATATCAATTATGTCTAGATTTTATGTGAAAGAAATGGATTTTTAACTTATACTACCTTAGGTCATTTTTAGTGTTTCAACATTATTAAAAAAAAAAAAATGTCTCAAAATCCACTGTAAGCTACATCATTCTTCCTTTTGTACTATTATCATGTTTTACTATAACATATTACTAAAACCAATTTTTTAAAACTTATAATAACTGAATATAAATTAGTATTAAAGTAATGAAGCTAACTAATTAAATCTTAATGGAAACCTTGGATAATTTAAGTTTCTTTAGATTTTTGTTTAGAAGTAATACTATAATTATTATATATTATATATATATATATATATAGTATATATATTAAGTAAGATTAGATAATTTATTATTATCTAAAACAAACAAGTATCTAATAAAGTACCAAGTTAAATGATAACAGTTAAAAAACATTAAGATGCCTTTTTATAGAAGATTAATTTAATTGAACCTAATACAAAATTAAAAATAATGATGCAGTCAGTATAGTTTTCATGTTAATAACACGAGCATTTATTAAAGCGATTAGATTGCAATAATAAGTAACTATCCAACTATAAAACTTATATAAACATAATATAATTTATAGAATTAAATACCTGAACGTGCCGCTTATATTTTAATCCTGTTTGTGTATATTTGTTGAAAATAATTAGCTGTGATCATAACTACCTATGTAACACTACACTGCAAATTAAATGCAAGGAACGCATATAAACAATTTCGGTAGTACAAGAAATTGGCGAATTACGAATAAACATTAAGCAGACACACTTTTCTAGCAATAACAATAATAAAGTAATATATTACATTTTATTACATAGATATTTAATAATCATAATCATATTATTATTGTAATAAAAATTAATCACTCTGACGCCATTTTAAATTAAACACAGTTTCTCCAACTATTGAACAAAATGTATAGCACACTCAAAGTACGTGACACACTGTTATCAAAATTTACCATTGATCATGATGAAATAGATAGGTAAGTCAGCAAGTTGTAATGGCCGTCAAATGACTGCCGATAAAAACAGACTACCATATTGAAAAGATTGATAACATAGGTTACCGACATACCTATTTATTTTGTCACGCTATTTAATAATATTAAACATTTTCTAGTGTCAAAAAAAAAATCACAGTAATATAATATAAAACATAATTTTTACTTTTTGGTACAATAGAGATATTAAAGAAAAAGAAAAACAACATGATTTCATGTTTCATTCTATGTAAGCATAGTTGTACATAACATAAGTCAAAATTATTTTTTTAATATTCATATTTTTCAGAGAAGTTGCTAGATGCCCCTGCGGTTATAGCGGGCCAAATGGTCTCATTTTATAAACGACTTTCCTTATAAAAAACTGACTGCAAATGAACCTTATTTGCATACCATTGATAATTTACTTCCTAAATAGCATTATTGGCATAATTACAGTGTTTGGAAATTATTTTTAAAAATTAATGATTTTCATAACTCATTCATAATTCACAGTCATTTTTCAAAATTGTACAATAATTGTATTAACATTCTCATTTATTTAAAAATGAAATGCATTCAAAATAAAACAAATTTAGATTTGAGTAAAAAATTAAAGTGTGTGGTGGTAATATAGAATTTATTAAAAATATATAATAACTCAACGCTTCTATATACACATATTTCAGTGTAACCGAGGTCACAGATAATAATCATCGTATTATTATCTTAAACTTTTAAGTACTAACAATGTGATTATTATTTTTAGAATAAAATAAAAATGACTAAGTGAGAGGCATTATAGGAAATTTTTGAGCTTAAATCTTGTGAAGTGTACATTTGAAATACACTGCTGAAGTAATTGTATATTTTATATAATGACAAGCTCTTAAAATTTGTATTTTCATTAACCCCAAGTATTCACAATTATCCCTTAATTTTAAAGAAAATATAATTAATGCGTGTTTATATTGCACACGCATTTTTCAAAAAATTGGATAACAGTTTAATTACAAATATATTTCTATGGTTTACTGTATAGTGAATTTATATATAATTGCAATGTCGTAAGCCATAGCTAGTAGTATAGCTAGGAGGTCTTACCTAACTGGTTAGAAACCTAACCTAACCAAAGACACATGCCTCTACTTAAAATGTTGACGGTTAATAATTCATATCCTATAAAAAAAAGTGCTGAATATGGTACTGATGTCAATAGTTAGGCTATTAATATTTAAAAAAGTATTCAAAGTACAGTTCAAAGATTTTATGACATTATTTTTCAATATTTTAATTGTCCGCTTGTTTTCAATTAGAACTCTCCATTTCCATGGAATGCCTTCCTGGACATTCTTTCCAAACACTACATAATAATTTTGTGGCTTGGAGCAAGAAGGGCCAATGTCAATTTTGTGCATAAACGAATTAGTCCGCTAAGAAAAATTTAATAACTCTTTATATATTGTGAAAAAATCACACTCTGAGGCCAAAAAATGAATTACTCATGAAGAGTTTGATAAAAAAATTAACATAAAGCCTAATGGAAAATAAATACTTCAAAGCTCATTTTCCGAAAGTTGCAAAAAGTGACATTGGCTCTTCTTGCTCCAAGCCACAAAATTAATTAATATGGAAATAGAATACAGAATAGAAACACACCTAATGCACTATATAGGAATCGGCACAGTCTTTAGAGTGGGAGAAGTGTTGATAAGCTTGTCTGTTGTTGATATAAAGGGTAGTTCGGGGGGGGGGGGCGACCGGTGGGGCATGGGATCTAAGTTACCGTATGGCATATACCAATATTATGTTGGGTTGGTTCGTATGAATAATTATTAATGAGTCGCGTCGTCCACGTAGTCAATAGCCAGAACTCATAAAACATTGTTGTGTTGTATTCAAATTCCAGTATTTGATTTAATTACCCAGCCCGTCCGTATTAGTTATTTAAATATATCGGTTTACGAATAACATTAGTCATTTCTCGTAGCGCGAGCGTTTAGTATTGACGTTGTGGTTTAGTATTTTTAATTTTATTCTATTTTTACATTTATATTCGTAAAACGTCGAAAATGGCCAAAATCCCCGCGGGACCGGTTGTAGACATTTTGGGCGACGAAATGACCCGTATTATTTGGGACTTGATCAAAGACAAACTGATCCTGCCATTTTTGGACATTGAATTGCACGTATACGACTTGGGAATGGAAAACCGAGACAAAACCGACGACCAAGTCACTCTGGATTGTGCCGAAGCTGTCAAGAAGTACAATGTCGGTATTAAATGTGCCACAATTACTCCAGATGAAAAACGTGTGGAAGAGTTTAATCTGAAGAAAATGTGGAAAAGTCCAAATGGCACCATTAGAAACGTACTCGGTGGAACAGTCTTCAGAGAAGCCATCGTCTGCAAAAATATACCGAGATTGGTGACCGGATGGGAGAAACCGATTATTATCGGACGTCACGCTCACGCCGATCAATACATGGCCAAGGACTTTGTTGTTCCTGGAGCAGGCAAACTTACATTAACGTGGACCTCCAGTGATGGTAAGTTTCCTTATTAATATAAGTTCAATAAGTATTATTTTTTAACAACATACATTATATATATATATATATATATTTTTTTTTAAAGGCAGTGAAAAAATTGAAGAGGTCATCAACAATTTCAAAGGTGCCGGAGTAGCATTAGGAATGTTTAACACCGATTCTTCTATTATTGATTTTGCACATTCGTCATTAAAGTTTGCTTTATCTAGAGGCCTTCCTATGTATTTAAGCACGAAAAATACTATTTTGAAGAAATACGATGGACGCTTTAAGGATATTTTCCAAGAAATATATGATACCCAGTATAAGTCTCTTTATGAAGCTAAGGGAATTTGGTATGAACATCGACTAATCGATGATATGGTGGCTTATGCAATGAAATCTGAAGGTGGCTTTGTATGGGCATGCAAGAACTATGATGGTGATGTCCAATCAGATTCAGTCGCACAGGGATACGGATCCTTAGGTCTTATGACGTCTGTGTTAATTTGCCCCGATGGTAAGACAGTCGAATCTGAAGCAGCCCATGGTACTGTTACTAGACATTATCGTATGCATCAACAAGGCAAAGAGACTTCCACAAATCCAATTGCATCAATATTTGCTTGGACCCGTGGGTTGTTGCATAGAGCACATTTAGATAATAACCAGCAACTAGAAGATTTCGCCAACAAACTGGAATCAGTTTGCGTTGAAACAATAGAAGCTGGTTTCATGACTAAGGATTTGGCTATATGTATTAAAGGAATGAACGGGGTTCAAAGATCTGATTATCTTAATACTTTTGAGTTTATCGACAAGCTGGCTGAAAATTTAAAACTGAAATTAAAAATTACTTGTAAATAGTAATTAAATACTACGTAGTTATACAACTATTTAATAATCAAATGAATTTTCTTTGTTTTATTCAAATGAACAATAATTTATTATATTTATTTATTTTTAAATAATAGTTTGGATTTATTCCAACTAATTAAGCCATGAATTTTACATATATTTAAAGATTGGTGGTAGATAATTTTGTTTATGTTATTTTAGTTCAATTTATAGTAGGTATAGTTTTGGTAACTAAATTATTATAATTTAACAAGACTGATGAAATGTTCATTTATTTTTTTTGAAAACACCAAAACCATGTTAATTATTTATAAAAGCTAAAACAGTTATATTCTTGGTCTGATTATTTCTTTAAATATGAATCAGTGTGCAAAAAAGATAATAATTTTTTTTATTATTTACATTGAAAGAAACATTTTTTTTTAATATTTTCAAAATAAACTGCATCTTAGAATTATTATAATTTGCTTTTTATTGTTTTTTTTTTTATTAATATAAATTATACAGCTGTTTATAAACACTATACTTGTTTTAATGCTTGCTAAAAATCATTTGGAATGATTTATATCAATGTTAAATACAAGACCTGTACCTATTAGGGTCATGCACGGATGTCTTGCAAATAAAGTAAAAAAATGGTATGAGTTTTATGGTAAAACGCACCGATTTACATTCTACTATTATAAATATGTAGGTACTTGTCAAGTATTGAATTCAGTCAGTTTAATTTATTTTTTTAACTAATATTTTTAATAAAACAGTATATTTTTAAGCAAAATTCTACAAAATTTGATCTTTAAATATCGGAGTTTTCTGCATTTTTCTTACACTTGGTTTCGTTAAGAATAGCTTGCTTGATTTATTTTTAATAATTCGAATTGGTTGACAGTTGTTTAAGTAATATCCAAATATGGGTAGTATTTTTTTTTTTCAGTTACATATTTTATAACTAGGTTAGTGAAAACCTCGAGCAATGATAAAAAAATAACAAGGAGGTCAAAATGTTGTGATATGTAATCTAATCTAAGTATTAGAATTATTTAAGTAGTTAAGTATACTTTAAAAATTAGCTGGGTACGTTTATTATTCTGAGCTGTGTAATTAGGAATATGAGTAATATCTAAGAAATGTTCTCCTAATTACGGTTTGTATTATAGTTAAATATTAAGTAATTTAAAAACTACAGCTCCCGATATTGAACATTGGTAAATGACTTCACAACACGGAAGCGTGTAGTTTTATTTTAAAACAATATAGTAAAAAAAAACTATCAAGATTAAAGTTTCAATAGTGTAAATTATACAGTAAAGCGTTTAAAAAACATATCGAAGTTGTGTTTATAAACATAAATCATACGACCGGTTTCTTCTGTAATATGCATAATATTCAAAACAAAGTCATAAATTATTAATAGCGGTAATATACTTGTACAGTAAGTTATAGGCCGAGTTGGGTTGCTAACCTTGTATTCAGGTTGGTCGAGAATGCATAAAATCTGTTATAATGAGTCGTGATTATTTTCTAATTATCATTCATAATTGTTCAAATTTCACATCCGTACTTTTATTTTTTATCCTACTTATTTATTATGGCGTATTAGCTCTAATTAGTTGCTTAACATGTTAGCTATTTATTGCTTTGCCTATAAGTCGGATAAGCGAATAAATATCTATTCAAAGTCCGTAGATTGATGAATGATATAGATGAAAGAATTTCTATTACAGAAGCATCATACAAATATTGTACGTCTAAAACTAATCTTATAACGCGTGACAAGGGGGGGGCAATAGGGGTAATTGCCCTTCCCGTTCACAAAAAAAGTATCAAATATTCCATTTGTAATTAATTGTGACTAAAATTTTGTTCATGCAAGTTATCGAGAGAGGGTCGTTATTGTATTAACCATGAACATTTAATTATTTAACATTTTCCATTTTTATTTTATTGAAATAGTGATCACGGCATCCGAGGCGCCACATTTTATCTACAACCGGTTATTACTGGGGTTTGACACAGTACAAAGATATATTATGATATTACCTGAAATATTCTACGATTTTGCGATAACACCAGTCACTAATTCGATCTATTTTTAAATTAATATGCCGTACTACAATTGCTTTACCGCTCCGCACTGCTTGCCGTTATTTTTGTATTGACAGTAGTTTAATTTATTTCATAAAACAAATAATATAAAGTTATTATATTATGGTTTAACTTTATTTGACAAGAATTAAAAAAAAAAAGTATTGTAGACCAAGTTATCGCTATATATGTTGGACCCTATCTCACAAGTTTTGTTTTGCGGTGACCAACATAAAATTTTACTGAATCATCTAAATTAAACCAAACCTAAAAAAATCATTAGTTTAATAGTTAATCTAGTGCCTGAGCCCTGAACGAAGCTTTTTTTGAAATTAAACAAAATGGTGACCTCTGACCATTTACTCGTGGATTTTCAAGGAAAAAAGCACTAATTTATTGTTTATAAAAAATATAATTTTTAATAAAAAAAAAAAACCCTCGATCAGGCACTAGTTTTTTATGCTTTTAATAAGCTGTTTAAATTTCATTCAAATCTGTGAAGTGGTTTTTGAATTACAGTGGTCACCGATTTGAACAAATAGTTTCGAGAAAAACTCATTTTAAAAGTTTTATACTCGATTTATGTATAGGAAAATAAATTATTTAATTACTTACATCGAGTCATCTATTCCTTTCATTAACTTGAAATTTTCAGATAATATTTTCGAGACATCATACTTTAGGAAAGTACAAATAAAAAAATAGAATTTTTGGAAATCCTAACTACCCCTAACCCCTAAGTTTTTCATTCAAAATTAAAAGTAGGTGTCTTCTAAAGCAATAAGACTCATCACATTCACCAGTATGACTGATTTCTGTACACAACTAATTTTCATGTCGACTGAATAATAAGACAATTCCTATGCCTAGCGATTTCTATTAATTTGTTTTATTCATTTATATAATATATTGCCCCCCTCGTTTAGGACCTCTGTATCCGCCCTTGACGCGAGACACATTCTGTTATGATTATAAAAGCGACTACTATATAATTTCGTTTGGAAGGATATTTTTCTTCAGATTTGGTATTATTAATTATTTAAGTAACATTTTACATAACAAAAATACATAAATGTACAATTTACTCGAAGATTGTTTGCTTAAAATATAAACTACAATAATGAATTTTATAATTGTTTCAGTATAAACAGCGTGTTTAAATTATTAATGTTACAAGAAATATATAATGTATAAGGCATTAAATAATAAATTAAATGCTATTATGATTGTGCTATTACAATAATTATCAAAAGGTTAACATCACTGTATTAGTGATTAGTGTCTGGTGTTCACGCTATACCTTAATTATTATACATATTTTACTTTATGGGTTATCATTGCAATTTTAATTAATAATTTTACGATTGTATAAACATTTACGTAAATAGACGTCCGTTATATAATAGAACAAAAAAAGTTGATGTATCATCATCAATATACGGATCAAATTATACTGATTAGTTATATACAAAAAAGGTTATAAAAAAGTGTGCATCAGGCCATTTGATTATAAGTATTAGGCAATAAGAATTCTTACTTAATAATATTTTGTTTGCTATAATTACAAAAATAAATCAAATCACTTAAACGTGTTATTTAAACTTTGAACTATCTTAATCATATAATTTAATTAATTTTTTTATTATGTGTACTTATATAAAAACAATTAATTTATATATATATATATATATATATACTTCCTAATAAAATAATTTACCTCCTACCTATAAAGGTAATTTTAAATATATTTTAATGTTTTCTTGCGCTCATAGTCTTACATAGAATCATTAAGTAGTAGTTACAGATTATACATAGATAAGTTGTGTTATCATCTTGAAGTTTGTACTTTCAATTCACAATATTATGATTAAGTTTTAAGATTAAAACAATGACATATTTTTTTTAAAAATTGTTATTTCTCTTATATTATTAGTTTTAAAAACAATTATTTTTTAAACGACATTCATTAGTCTTAAATTTGTAATCCACTCATTATATAATGCATTCAGCAACCCTTAAATTCCTTAAATAAATACTTACCGAGTCAAAAGATAATGATATTTGAAATGGGGAAAAAATCTATTTGAACTGAAAAATCACTTACTGATCATTATTAATAAATTATAGTAAAGATATAAAATCTACTTGAACCCTAAACCATAAAAATTATACACTTCTTGCATACACGTGTTACGACAACGATGTTGAGTCTGTTGTTAGCGCTGAAGATGACAACATCGTTGTCGTAACACGTGTACGCAAGAAGTGTATAATTTTTATGGTTTAAGGTTCAAGTAGATTTTATATCTTTACTATATATTTAACTATAAGTTTGCTTAACAGTTTTTTCTAGTATTAATAAATTAAATGAAAAAAACCGAAAAAATTCTGTATGAAACTCTTCTAAAGTGATGTGTTGCATCATTATTATTTTAATCACAAACGGTCACCAGATTGTCAATCAATATACTTATGTGGCCACATTTCTGAGCAAAACGAAAAATCAAATTGTATAATATTAGTTCAGCATTTATTTTGACACGATCATCATTTTATAAATTTTTTTTTCGATTTAAGTTTTGCAATAAAATACATCAAATTTAGAAAATATTCTTAAATCTACTTAGGGTGACAATAATTTCACGATCATTTTGGCAAAATCTTCTTACATACAAATTGTTACACCAATAAATTTTTTAAATTTCAAAAAAATAAGAATTTTTAAAATGTCAAGCGATATAAATTTCCAAGAGAATTTTGCAGGGAATACCGTCGAATAAATGTAATTTTATTAGACACATGGCTACTGCACGTGTTGTAATAACACTGAATATTCTGTGCTAATAATATCCAATTAAATTATTGTAGTAAAAAAAAATAACTTCTTATTTTCATAGTATTTATTTTTTTTAAATATATTTAATAAATACAGTAGTTAAAATACTTTCAAGTAAATTGAAATTACAATAAAGTCAAATTATAATACAAAGAATAAAAAAGTTTTTAATTAATTATAAATTAAGTATTTATTTTAAAATTATGTGCAATATTCACATTGATATCATAAATATATATATATAAAATAAAATATTTTATTAACTACATGTAGTTTTAAGTAAAATTGAGTTGGCACTAAACATATAAGAGATCAGGGTTTAAAAGCCATAACCTAATTTTATACATATAAGAATTAGAGCCAAGGGTACCACGCTGGGTCCATTCTACATAAATTATCCACTGAAGATGCGGCACTTACAATTGTACTCACTTTATTATCAGTTCCATCAAAATTGGCTAAACTATTCAATCTGTGCATTATTGAATTTACTGCTTTAGTCACCATACTTATTATTATATCACCAGATATATCATCTCTATCTGTTGATAATTCGTCTTCAAGTTTCTATACAAAAAATACAGCGTGTTAGTTAAGGGGAACACAAAGGGCAATTTATTAAGAGGCAAAGGACAGGCAATATTTGTAAAAGTTAGTCTAAAAGCCATTTTAAATATGCCGATTAATTTTTAGGTGAAAAAATATATAGTTTAAAAAGCCTAGGGAGGAAGTTTCTAAACGAATTAGGTATCCGAAATGGGTCATCAGTAGGTTTCTGGAGAGAAGGAAGGTGGTGATAATAAACTTTAACATACTGCCACCACTCATCATTTAATTAGTTAACAGTTAATATTATGGTGTACCTTTTTGTAAGACGTAATCATTTCGTCCCTTAATATCGCTCTAAGAATTGCTTGAACTTTATTATTGGGCTGATTAAAACAACGTGCTGTTGCCATAATACTTGCGGTGAGAGGGCCGTTTTGACCAATATCTGTCATTAGTTCAACAAAATTGGGTGTTAATCTGAAGGGCACTGGACGATTTGAAACTAATTCGCCTATTTTAAAATAAAAACATAATTTTTAATTGGATATTATGACAGTTATTTCAAATTTTATGTAATTCGTACCTTTTTTATCATCAACATCAAACTTAAAGTATGAAGCGTTTAACAAACCAGAATCCTGATGAATATACATCATGTCTGGATTGAGTCTAGTCAGATGTAGTACATACTCTGCTAAACATGATAATGATAACTGAAGTGTGAGCTAAAAGATATGAAAATAAAATTAGTACAGTGTATAAAAGACAAGGTAATTTGATAACTTTTACCATTTTTCTAAACGTCCAATAATCGGTAGGTGAAGCATATGTTAAAGACGCCCAATTTTTTAATGTATCACTTGGACAATAAATCTTTTGTACTTCTAAAAATACATCTAATAGCATTTGGATATTCGCTTGAGTTCCTTGGTTCTAAAAAAGTGAAAAAATAATCACAATATTAAATTGTATATTTTATTTTTAATTAATGTACAAGGTCTCATTACTTGTATATTTGCTAAACGTTGGTAATAATGTTCAATACAATCATCGTACGGTTGGGTGGTGCTCATGGATTTATAAATGTCTAATAATGATAAAGACGATGGATTGTCTTCGACCAAACGTTGTTGAGGTGAAACAGCAACTACTCGTGGTACTGTATAATATAAAAATCGTCGAGACGTTTCCTAAAATAAAAACACAAAGGTTGTAATTTATGAATATAAATTTAGAAAGTAATTATTGTACTTTTTGTTTAGTCAAATAATGATTTAACATCCTCAAAAGTTGCAAAACGCGTTCTTCACGTCTTGTATCGCCTAGTCCTGCGTCGTGCATCACTAGGTAGGAATATAGTTTACCGTTATGACCTCTCATAACTAATCGTCTTGCCGACGTATTATGTTTTTCAACTATTTGTACTCTGGGCATGAAACGTGCTATTTTCACGTAGTAATGGGAATGCTGTGTAAAATAAAATAATAATAATAAATAATCACGGATTGACTATGAAGTAAATGGCCATACTTTTGGAAGAAGAAATTCTCCCGGTATTTCAATTTCAGCAGTCTGAAGACTAAAATTACTTAGGAATCTACATTTTTCTTCAATTAAAAAAGATCTGGGAAAACATAAAAAAATAATATGAATATAATGAAGCAAGTTTAAAAATTATACAAATAATACTTTGGTAGAAGTCTGATTTTTGTTTCTAATATTTTAATCCACTTCTTCATTTTTAAAATCATATTATGTAGTTTCATCGCACCGGGTAATGTGAAATCAAAATCGATTGAAAACTGCTGTTTCATTTTTTGAAAAACTGGGTCTTGTATAGTGGTTTGCGCTCGTTTAGCTAAACTCTCAGACCCAGAGCCTGGGAAAGATCCTTTAGTCGATATTGCTGCACTATTAGCAGCCATATTGTTTGCTAATAATTCTACAAGAAAAACAATTGCCATTGTAATTATTATTAATACACAACATTTTTGTGTGAACTATATGAATTTATGCATAGATATAGTCATTTTATTTGTTAGAACAATATAAGAACTTAAAAAAAACCTTTATTTTATTATTTAAATAATTTTTTTAAATACTATGAAAAAGTCATGTATCTTGGAGTACCTAAGGGTCTGTCTTTAAAGGGTTTAAGTATTTTAAAAACATGATTAATATAATCAAATTACCTATTCCTATTCCAAACGTTGATACTAATTTCTTAATGAAATTTAGCGTATGAGGTGTTATTTGTGCATCAGCAACCGAACCTCGACTGTCAAAAGCTATATTGTAACATTTTGCTAAACCTAGACGAAGTTGTCTCAAAACTTCTTCATACCAATTTTCTCTGAACCATACCATCTATAATAAAATTTAATTTAAATTATTTTAGTTGAGTGATGAGGTAATTTATTTCACAAAGAAATTAAAACATTGTTATTTCACAATCGACATTTTACCTGATCGACTATGCCTTCTAATGTCAGTACAATTGTTGGATGAACTTCACGTTGTTGATGCATCACTTTCGAGAACCTCACCATAGCCGGCGTAGCTCTCAAAGAAGAATCAGTTATGCCAGTATTTTGAGTACTCGTAGAACCTAAAATATATTAAGTTAATTTATTCACAAACAATTCATACATTTAAAAGAATTTTTAAATTAATACTTTGGGTCGTGGGTTCATTCATTTGACCTTGTTTATTGGCTGCTGCTAATAGTTCAGCATTTCTGCAACGTTCTCTGTATTCAATTTTGTGCGTAAAGTATAGTGTTCTTGTCGGAAAATATACAGCTTGTGGGTACAGTCTTCCAACCTAAATATAATATTATGTATTGGTAATAAGAATAAATGGTGTTAACCAAGAAATCCCAAATCAGTTGAGGAGTTTTTTAAACACAAAACACTAGCGTATTAACATTATGCCTCTGATTGGCTTGTGAACATTTGCAGAAAAAGTTCAGTACTCAGTAGTATGTACAAGTGAAAAGCAAGCAAGACTACGGTCCAAAATTGTAAATCAGGATTAGGTAAAGCTGTCTAATGATCTGAATAAGTTATATATTTTTTTCCATATTTATTTTAATAATATATAACTCACTTGAATTAATAAATTTTGTAAAAGCGAACCACCATCACTTGCTAGAGTAGTCAGTAATTGAGGAACCCAAGGTAGCCACAATGCTGGAGGTACTCCACTAAAATGTGTGTCTACAGTACTAAGTAAAGAGTATTCCTTGTCGTCATAAGTTAATAACCACAAAACTTTAGCCAAGTATTTTCGATATTTTGATTCATTCTGTTGTCGACAGGCTTGAAGGAAACAAATAATAGCTGCAACACCAGTCTGCATTGTCTGATTGGGATAACTCTTGGTGAAATATTCTTCCATATATTCACCCCATAAAGCCCACGCTTTTACCATAGAATCGTGAAGTTGAACAGCTGCCGAAAATGCTTTATGCGCTTCTTCAGATTTTCCTGTCAAAGATATCAATTTAATAGCGTTATGTTTTATTTGTTATCGATAAAAAAAGATCTATGCATTTTAGGGCAAGTTCTTTAATATAACAAAAATGTCGATAATAATTAAAAAACAAATTTTTATTTGCTAGTCGAAACTTCTTGCCATTTACTTAAATAGGGCAGCAATTCAACATTTTAGAACAAACAAAACTTCAATCACAGCCAAAAATTAATATTTTATAATGTGGTTTGCACAAAACTTATTTTTATTTAACACTGTATCAATAAAAAAAAAAAATATATTACATTTAAATGTAATGTATGTTTTTTAAAGAGTAAAGAGTTTTTGTATAGGAATGTTGCATTATATCAAACCCACATACCACAAAAGTGCAGTTATGTGTCATAGATTTAGAAATAAAAATTACCAATCTGGCCAAGTAGCATGCCCTTTAGTGCATAAAATTCAGCAGTCATCTCGCTTTGGAAGAATTTTAAATTTGTTCTTTCTATAGCTTCCAAACACTGTAATGAAAATAACAATTAAAATTTTTTACGATTTAAATTATTATTTCTTAAAAAATATTTACATCTTGTATTTCATGTTTATTTGACGATATAGAAGCCATTTGCATATAACATTTTACTTGTTGTCTAATTTTGTGAAAACAGTCCACTACAGGTACATTAGGTATTGTATAGAGACGAGAAAGTGTTTGGAGGCATACACCGGTAAGATTATGTTTTCGACTAACTTTCCCAAAATGAATTATTGCCTATAAAAAAAAAAAAAATGAAATATTAAATACAAAAAAATAAATTTTACCTTTTACCTGAGCAGACGCATGGACACCCAGAACAGCATTGGTGGACTGTTCAGGTCTGGAACAATATTCAATGACAAATTGATAATGATGTTGACGCCACACGAACACATCACTCCAATGGCTTAAATCGTCAGCTACGACTGGTAAACGATTTTTCCATGTCTTTAAGATGGCTTTCATATTGTGTAATGAATTATTTGTATCTTTTTCTTGTAAACCTTGATGAATTTGATAAGCCTCGTGTAATTCCATAATCTAAAATATATAATAGTGCATTGTAATTAAAATAGAAATACATTTTCAAATTTTAGTGCAATAGTAAATATATATTTATTTATATCTAGTACTTATTAGTTTTAAAAAAATTAAAATTAATTGAATTATAATGCATTCTAATTAAATTTTTTAAATATTAATCAACTTTTGAAATGTATAGTACACTCGTAAAAATAGAAGAATATTATCTTTTTAAATGCCTACTGTCCCTAATTATTAAAAAAACTAATAAAAGGGTTTTTTCAGTAGGATTATAACGTTACATAAAACCAAACATTTTAAAAGCAATTGTGTTTTATAAAACATCTTGAACAATTAAATGTATAAAATACATAATTTAATATTGCAGAATATATATTTAATGTTAAAATTGCTAAATTTCCCAGAATTGTAAAACTATAATATATATTTGTGTTAATTCTTGTGTTTTAAACTCTAGACAAAATTCATATTCAAAATTAAACGCCATAATAGTCGGGCTAAAATATGGGTATACTAGACTTGAATACAGAAAAAAAATAAAATCAGTTTTAGGCTATAGGGTCATAACCAAATGGCGGCCGGAGAACTAACTTATTAGACAAGAATAAAAAATGTCTTGCCTTTATTTTATTTGGTAAAATTTAATGTGTACATAACACACTCAGATTTGATGGCTCGCGAAAACTTTCCGATGCAATGTAGAGAAGGTATAACTTTTTTTTTTTAATGTCTGGACCGATTTCTTCAAGTAGCAAGTCTATAGACACAGTAATTGTACCTAAAAGGTCCTTTAATGGGCTAAAAATGTAAAAAGTTAACCCACTCCTTCCCTTTCAAAATCGTGAAAACACTCAAAAAATGTACAAAACTTTCAACTTGAGATTACGGCGCGGCGCTCTATTATTTTTTTAAAAAAATAGTCGAATTATTAGTTTCAAATTTGTATAGAACATTCTTGACATAGAATAAACGATAAACGTTTACAAACCAAAAAAATATCATAAAGTATAAACCCTTTCCCCCAGAGTTAAAACTGGTGAGAACTATATACATTTTTTGCTCTTTTTTGGCGAAGTCCGAAAATAAGGTCGAAGGCAAATTTAGATTCTAGAAAAAAATTTCATTTGTAGAAGAATACAATGGAATAACTCAACTCTCAAGATACATTGTTAATTTTTCCTACTGTCATTAATTGTCGACTGCTGTAGACAGTATAGGTAAACAGAACGGCGTGAATTGGCAACACGGCACCGGCAAAAGTTATCATCTTAATTCTTACAAGCATAGATAATAAATTATCTAAGTTAGCATTGTTAATATTTAAGAAATATAAATCATGACTAATTAATTTTTACACAAGTGAATTCATATTTTTATTACTCTATGACTCAGACTATAACATGGTAGTACCATAGATTAGATTTTGTACAGCCATATAAATTGGAAAGTGGAAACTTATTGTTGTCACTCATATTGGTACTTATTAATTTTCTCATTGAATGGTGAAACATGAAATGCATCTTATTCTTCTTATAACATCAAACATGTAAAATTAAGTTAATATTATTCGAGAAAAATGAGAAACCTGAAAACGGTCCAACAATAATTTTGGAATTCTTCCGTGTTCCATTAGATACATTTGGGAACCCCTGAAATTTCGTAGAGGGGTCGTTCTACTGATAAAATTGTATTCTAAACGATTGTCAGACCTGTTTAAATTTTAAAATCTTATCATTTATTTACCATATGATAACTTAATAAAATGTCAAGAGAGCAAACTTCAGCATAATTTGTCAATTTGTGGACTACGCGAGTAGTTTTACGTTTTGTTTAGTTCAATTAAGTCGTAAAACTATTATTGTTTTCAGTCATCAACAATGCCTTATGCCGGTAACTGTAATCATTATGCTTAATTTAAGCCTTCAAAATTACATCTATAGTTATATAATGCTCCTATAATTACCTACTAATTACAAAAGTTGATAGAATAATGCAAAATGAAATTAATTTTACATTACATAAAAAGAAGAGTATTACTACATTGGCTATTCAAAATATGTGCATTATGTGCGTTTTTAATAGTTGGAATCGTCGCTTATATTGTGTTCTTTCCAGCAATAATTTACATCAAATCCAATGATATACCAAATTATTTAGTCAACACCAACACTGGTGAAAATGAGATGTCGAACATGAGCATTTGTCCAATAGCTCAAATTAACGATCAACTCGAACTTTTACATGTACATGACAATGTTAGTGAAGAACAATTAAACTTGCTGTCACAATCGGTTTCACCTGGTGGAAAATGGGCTCCTAGCAATTGTATATCTCAACATCATACAGCAATTGTGATTTGCTATCGTAATCGAACAGAACAACTCAACATATTCTTATATCATATGCATTCGTTTTTACAAAAACAAAATATACAATATGAAATATTTGTTATTGAACAAACATTTGATGAAGAGTTTAATCGAGGAAAATTATTTAATGTCGGTTATCGTGAAATTACAATGCAATCGTCAGCTGGTTGTTTCATTTTTCATGACGTCGACCTGATGCCAGAAAATATCAATAATATTTATGGCTGTACAATTTACCCCAGACACATGAGCACTAGTATTAACATTTTCAATTATACTTTACCATATCGCACTATATTCGGAGGTGCAATTGCTTTAACACGAAACCAATACTACAATATTAATGGTTTTTCTAACGTGTTCTACGGGTGGGGTGGTGAGGATGATGATATGTTCAATAGAGTTTTTCATGAAGGTTATAAAGTTTGCCGATATCAATCGTACATATCCAGGTATACCATGTTAGCACATAGCAAAGAAACACCAAACGAGAACCGAATGAATCAACTAAGAAAAGGCTACCAACGATTCAAAACGGATGGAGTGAACTCGGTTACGTACAAATTAATATTGAACCAAAAATTACCATTGTACACTAGAATATTAGTAAGCCTATGAAGTCAAAATGTTTATTAATTATTATTACTTGTTTTAGCTTTAATTATATAAATTGTTTTTAAATCGAGAATTGAAAACATTACTAAAAAATACACTGGAACAATATAAAAAGGTTTATTCACCTGGTAAGTTTGGTAACATTTTAAATCCTATTACTCTACTTATGACAAAATTAGATTAAAAGTTAAATTATAAAAGAGAAGTCTGATTATATTTGTAATACATACCATTATATATTATGTTAGCATGTATGATGTATGTGTCTATGGTAAAAATAGTTATTCAGGGTTTAATTATATATGTATTAGAAATAATGTATTTGTGTTCAATTTGTCTATCTTAAATTATTTTTTAAGTTTGTTTTGTTTTGAAACATCTATTGAACAAATTTCATGAATATAAAAAATTATTTTTAAATACTAGATTCATTTTATTAACTTAAAACTTAATAGTAAAGTTTGCTCACTTCCTCATGTTTAAAGTCTGTATTTTCAAGAAAAATGTATGATCTTCACTATGTCTAGCGAGGGAAGACTTCTGCACTGTAACCAAAACTTGTCAAACACTACTGCTTTACTATCACCATACACTCCTCTCATTTGTGACAGTCACAGATAAAAAGTCTTCCCACCGAAGGAATATTTAAATGATTAAACTTTAAACTGATGAGAGTGAACACTATTCCTTTTTTCTATAACAACAAGGTTTCTTACCTGCTGAGCAGCTTGAAGATATGGTATATGAATATGAGATACAATATGTGGTAATCGTCTCCATTCTCTAATCACGTGTATACTAGCCATTTCTACATTACGAACAACTACTGGTAAATTTGGGTCGTCTGGATGACATATTGCCAAAAATCCTCTGTATAAATACATCTAAATACACAAATTCATTTTTTATGAGGTACTGGTAATTTAAATCTGTTATTAGTATTTGCATTACCTTCCATAAAAATTCTTTGGGACAGGTATTGTCAACACAACTTAATGCTTCGCTCATTACGTGCCAATCAGGTATTCGCCAAGCACTATCTAGTATTAAAAATGGATTCAAATGACCATTGAGCTTTGAATACTCCAATAAAATATCCCACTGATTTAGTTCTTTCGAACATCTATTTTGTGTACAAGTAAAAGGCAAACAATATTACAAACATTAGGTAAATTTTACAAACTTATTGATTAACATTATGCAAAAATCTAACATGGTAAAAAAAATTTGGGTCGCCATATTTTTTGTGAAATAAGTTGATATTTAGAGGTGGCACAAAGCGGTTTTGAACTTTTTTTTATTATGACAAATGTAGTATTTTGTACTAGTAATACAACATTGGGCAATAAGGGTATTTTCTGAAAAACTATATCCATTTATCTAATCCAAAAAATGAGGAAAATTGTTGACTTTTTCGAAAAATAGAATGTATTAAAATAAAGTAAGTAGTACCGTTAAAAAATATTTTGAGTATCCTGTAGGGGAAAAAAATTTTTAGTTTTTTGCTTCATCCGTATATGCTTGACGTTCTACTATAACTGTGTTGTTAATTTACTGACCTTATCCATTGCGATTCCCACAAACGTGCTTCACTCAAAGCCATAACTGACGCTGGAGAACTAGAAAATTCATTTTGATACTTTTCAATTAAAGATTCGTAAGTAGACAGTGCTTGTTCAAATAATCCTTGTTGTTCTAAAGCAAGGGCCACTTTGGTCTCGCGATACTGAGCGTGTTTCTGCCATAACCCTGCCCACATATCTTCTTCTTTAAGTTGTTTGTACATTTCGGCTAACGTATCGATTGCATCCTAAAAGAGCAAAAAAAAAATTACATTTAAATGATTTTTTTTTTAAAAATTAATTTACCCTTTGAGGAGATATTTCGGGTTCAAACTCGTAGCAATCTTGTTTGGAAACTTCAAAGTTATTGTCGATCATCATTTTTTCCAAAGATAAAGTAACCCTGTGCCATAAATTATGAGATTTTCCAATATACATCATAACACTTGGTTTAAAATTTATTTTCGGATCACATTGGAATAATGCTTCAAAAAATGTGGAAATCACACTCGGATGAACATCTCTTTGGACAACATGAATGCCACTCACAATAAATTGATTGATTTCAGGAAGGAGTATCTAAAAAAAAAAAATAGTTAATTTGTATTTAATTAAATGATACTTTGAAAAGTGTGTGTATAAATTACAGTTTGTTGTGTGGAATTCAATGACAACCATATAGCCGGAAATAATACGAGCCAGATTTTTTCGGCTAAACTCGAATCCATGTGACATAGTTGAGCAATAGCTGAACAAATATCTCCAATTTTCATGGTATTTAAATTATCCATAAATTTTATATGTCTGCTAATTAATGGTTCTAATTTTCCACCTTCAACAACTTCAATATTATCAGTCACCATCTGATCAGTTTCCATTGCAAATTCTGATTTCACTGCGATATCTTCGTTGGTGTTTAGAATTTCATCCCTAAATGTAACATCACAATTGTTGACCAATTCTCTAATTGTTGGTAATTTGGAAGAAGTTGATGAATTGGCGTCTTCTAAAATAACAGGCAAATCTGTAAAAGGTAAAAAATATAATTGTTTAAATATAATTATTATTTGATAGTTGAAAAATATTCAAAGTATAGTATTTAGATAAAAAAAATTGTTTTTGTTAAATTTTGGTATAATTTACTTGGGTCGACTGTGGCTAAAATAAGTTCAATACACTGCTTAATCCAATAATGTGTCATCATCGGTTCCCAATTTTGAGAGCTTACTATGTACAATAACCTTTCTGGAAGTCTAGTGTTTAGTTGCTGATTGAACAAGGAAAAGAATTTTTCACGAACAGCAGGTTGTGAACAGCGTAAACCACTTAAATACGCAGCTTCTAATTTACTTCCGAGCTCTGAATTGCGTAGTTCTTCATCTCTAAACAATTAATTAAAAATAATAAAAATTATTTATACAATCATAAAACTCCAGCTATGGAACACCCTCGTTACGATTTCAGTAATATTTAACAGACCTCTTAATAAGTCCCTTTTTATGAATAGTCACCTATTTAATTTTTTTACTTTACATAATTAGTACATAAGTATTTATTTAATATTAATTAATAAATTCAAATACATTTTTATTTAAAATAAGAGTTTTTTTGAAACAGTATAATGTATTTCAAATACAAGTTTAATTGATGCAGTAAATATAAATATGAAAAAAGCAACCATATTTTCAAAAATTTATCTTACGGACAGGTCGGTTGGTGTTTTTTTTTTTTTTAATTATTTTAAAAGGACGGTAAGTGTAAAAAAACATACTAGTGGTAGTATCAAATAAAACTTGTGTTTTTAATTATGTTTAAATGACTATTAAGTAATTTTTAAATTTATTAACGTTACTAAAATTACATTTTTCCATGTAGTAGTAGTTATAGAGAAATCATAATATTTATACCTATAAATGTAGATAATAATATCGAGATACTGAGCGTTCAAATCTGGAAATTTCTTTTCGATATGTTGCATTATTTTCACCAAAAGTATAGATTTTTCACGCAAATTTGGTCCTTCTTCAGGTGGGTTATGCATCCATTCTTCTAGCATCTAAAACCATATTTAAGTATAACTCAAGTTCTTCAGTTAAACTATTCAATTTATTAAATGACACATATTTTATTTTAATAACCAAAATATCACCTTTAATATTGTTTTCATTATTCTTGTGTCGTTAGTTTTTTCGATTAGTCCAACAAGAATAGTGCCAATAAATGTTTTACGAGTTTCTATATGCATGTTAGTAACTCTATTCTTCATTAAATCTAAACTTTGTATAACTAACTCGCTGATTCCTAATGAAGATTCGGTGTTAGTCGATTGTGGTTGTTCACGGCACACTTTTTGCAAAACGTGTACAAAACGGGAAGACAGATTATCAATAAACGCTGCATTATTTGCACTAGCCGCTTTTAACATGATGACACACGTTAAAAATCGATTGTAATTTTGCGAGATGTTTTTTTCAAAATTATTTAAACTCTCATCGATCAACTGAAATGTACAAAAAAAAAAATTAATCTATTTTATATATATATATTTTTTTTTATAGTCTTTATTATAAATTTAACAGCTCAACAATTACATAGATTAAAGATAGTATATACAAACTATATTTTATATTTTACAATAATTAATAACATACCACATTTATCAAAATATAAAGTTCTTCCAGTTCATTGAGATATGGTTTTACCATTGGGAAATTAAAAATTAAACGACTAAGGAATGCATGAGCCATTCTGCCAATCTAAAACCAAAAAAGAGCTATACATTAGTAACCATTTGTGAAATTGTTGTACTATTTTTAATTTAATTACTTTCATATTAGTAGTACTAATGCAGTCAAACAATGATTTTTGAAGAGGTTTAATTGTACTCAACAGTTGTTCTTTGGGTAAAATCGTTAAGAAAAATGCTAACAGATCAAACGCTGATGCTATATTTGCAACAGCAACTGCAGTGGCTGGATTACTAGCAGCTGATTCTAAACTAGAAACTGTGCAAAATACTTTTTCCATCCATCCTAATTTCATCAAATCAATACACCTGGACATAATAGCTTCCGACTTCAAAGCTGTCCTCAATAAAGCGATACAGCGCTTTGATAAAAGTTCAGCCATACCTCCGGCTACACCATCATTTACCTAATAAAATTATTGAAAGAAATGTTACAATATTTTATACTAAATGTTAGTTCTTCTAATATGAACTCACTTGACAAGCAATTTTCGCTAAAAAGTTGAAAACTATTCCTAAATCATTTTTGTTTATAGGCACTCCTTTATCAATGTCATCAGACTGCAAAGGAATCGCCGGTTCTAGTTTAATTTTTTTTATGCCCTCTTCCATTGTACTCTATAAATAATTTATAACATACAGTTTACAGTTAATAATAACTATAATTTTTATGTAATACATTTTTTAATATATGACATAATGTCCATGCACTCTCTTTCTCTCTTTTGCCTTACAAAACAGTACAATATCTCAGTTGCTACAAAAACACTAATATTTTTCACTCTTTGCCCTGAAACGCAATAAGTTTGCATTCACACGACCTTTGTTAAGATGAAATGTATGGCGTTTCTTAACACAAATGAAGCATATTAGTTTTTGTAATGGATATCAACAAACATATTTTAGTTTTCACACTTTCAAAAATGAAAATGATTTTAAAAGTTTAGTTTCTTGTGGAACAAGAATGAATTTTTCTTGATCATTTAAAGAAATAAAAATGTTAACCTAATCAAAATGTTTTTAACAAAAAAAAAGATTGTTGCAACTTAGTTTTGTAAAAACTTAAAGTTGTATTATAACAATACAAAAATTACCTCTGGAGCATTGTTTTCATCTCTAATTCTCTGCAGTTCCCATTTTATAATGACTTCGGCCATTTCTACAGCCAATTTTTTATGTTCAAAAGTAGCAGACGACATAAAACCTAATCTCTGCATTGCAGACAGCATGTGCTGAATTAATCGATGTCTGATTGGATAATACACCTAAACAAATATACAATATATTGTTTTATTATCACACCATTTGTTAAAATAAACCATAACATTTTAAGGAAACTGTTTTCTAAATTGTATTATGACTTACTTTATAATGTCTAACCACCAAATGTAGTACGTGGAATAATTGTTGCATTAAATGTGCTTCCTCGACAATGATTTTTTTTGTACACTGGCATAACATTTTGTTGCCGTTATTCATACGAATAGACAACGCTGGAGTTATTAAATCCAAAGCTTGTCGTACGACATTGCGAACTTCGACGTGATAAGCTTTTAGTAGCTCATGGAAGACTAAATATACATTTTATTATTAGATACTTTTCTTGAAAATATTAATTGCGCATGGAAATTATTTTACCTTGTAAAATAATACGGCTATTAACATGATACGAAGCTACTATATAAGAAAGTAATAGGTGTCCGCTGTAACGAGCAGTTGGGTCAACACAAGATTTTTCTAACAAACACGGCCAAGCGTAACTCATTACTCTTTTTAAGTTCTCGCACAACCCATCAGGACTAAATGCACTGTCTTTGTTGACTGGAAAATCATCTACTAACATACAGCCTAACTGTAATAAATGAATCCGTATACTATCTTCACCGATTCCGGATGGTATTTCATGTACAATTAGCTAATAAATAAATATAGTAATTAATAACTACAATGGAATACAAATTTACAATTTATTTATGTTTAAAATATTTGTTTATTATTACTTGGTATATGTAAGAAGTTACTATGTTTCCTGAGGTATCTGACGGATCTGATGTACCATGTATTAGCGCATGTTGTTCGTTTTTTTCATAACTAGTCGACACAGAAGGCAATATAATATATTGGAGAATTTTAGATTTAAAATGGTTGCTCATGTTGTTGTCTTGAAATATTTCTACAAAACGGAAAAATGCTGTTCTTTTCCATAAAGGTGAAAATGTTTTGGCAACCGTGTCCTCCAAGTAAACGCGTAAAAACTAAAAACAAAAATTGTTGAAAATATTAACAATGTTCAATTTAGTATTTACTTTTAAAGATAAATATTTTACTTACTTGGAAATCAGATATGAATCTAAAACAGAATGCTTTTATCAAGTGGAACAGTAGATCTACTTGGTTTGGGTTATGGATGAAATATTGAAGCAATATTTTAGCTAGCATTTTAGGTTCGTTCCAATGGTCAAATTCAAGATAACCAGGATTTAGGAAATGGTCCTAACAAAAAAATTAAAAAAATTAAATTATATAAAAAAAAAATGAAATAAAAATATTAAAAATTACTTGATAGCAGTCCGAGGCCCACAATTCTGATAATGCAATAATTAGATCTGTTTGATTTGCTATCCAAGATTTATCCAGTCTGACAAGAACGTAAATAAGTTTTACTGCTTCATATTGAATCGCTTTAGTTGGATCTATTTACAATAAATTTTAAAAGCAAATCATTTTTTAATATAAAGAAATTATTCAATCATTGTAACAATGATGTTTTTTTTTTGTTTATAAACCCATCATGCTTTTTAGGACGCCACACCGATTTCTTCATTTAGCAAGTCTATAGATCCGAAATCTTACATGTAAGGTACTTTGTAAAGTTAAAAATAGAAAAAGTTTACCATTTTTCCTTAAAAAACTAAAAAAAATAACCATCCAAAATTTACTCATTTTCCAACTTAAAAAAACTTTTTGGGAAATAGTTGAATTTGTGGCATATTCTTTAGAAAAACCTATAATAAAAAAAAACTAAGAAAATATTAACTTTACTTTGGAGGGTCGAAAATATTTTCTATATTGGGTGTAGTTTTAGGAAAAAAGGACTGAAAATTAAGCTGAAGGTAGATTTAGCAAGGCTATATAATGTATACAGTTTTTGAGAAAAAAAAAAAAAAAAAATTAACTCATTAATTATACAATAAACAGTTTATACTTAAATACAATTTTTTCTGAATAGAATAAATTTGTCAAAAATATTTGTTTCAAACTTTTTTTTTATAAATGTGAAAAATAATTATCTGGTTCTGGAAAAAAATTAAATTTTTTAGTATTGAGTAAAATGTGGTTTTTGCTAGGAACTTTATCCAAACCCTTGGTTTTTACCATCTATCTAGTATTTTCTGAAGACCTGTGTCATCCCCATCCTCACTAGGCCAACCTTACTTTGCTAGCTTTTTATTTATTTTAAACTTACCGGAATGGGAAATGGTTATCAATTCATTAAGTCTACGACCACTGTTTTGCAATGCTTCTCTAATCGACTGACACTTGTCGTTGTTTATCATCATGTGTAAATACTTTACCCAATTAGCTTCCTGTATAAATATAAAACATTAAAATTAATATTTTACAATAAGCTGATATTTAATTTTTGTCTTACTTTTATGTGGTTATCTTGTAAAAAGAGTTGTAGAATTTGAGACGGATACTTGAGTAAGCAACCAAGTAATGGCATATGAAATGGAGATAATATGCAAACTTGAAGACTTTTCTCGCTATCTAATACTAGACGACACAAAGACTCGATATGTCTATAATTGGCTACTGGAAGTTGTCTATACATCTCAATGATTATTACCATGATTGATTCATAATTTCCATCTTTACTAATTCCTGAAAATTATTTATCAAAAAAAATACACATGTATTAACAAATTAAGTAGAAAGGTATTTTTTGGGAATCAAAATTACCTTTTTTCATTTGAATCAAAACTTCAAACATTTTTTTCATTATTTCCATTAAATGTGTACAAAACATATCACTAAAACTTGTCGGGAATAATTGAACTAAATACCATAGGCGACGTGTACCACTTAATGTTAAATTTCTATAATCTCCCAAATCGCCTAATTGCTTTTTCATTAACTCGTGAACCTAAAATTAAAAACAATATATCATTGATTAATATTGTTGAAAACAAAGAAAAAAAAGTATTTATTATTTATAGTTATTTTAACAAAACATTTTTTTTTTATAATAATAATAATACAATTTATGTAGGATATTTACAACATAAATTCAAAAACGTAATTAAATCTTTTTTTACCATTGGCATATCAATTTGTGATGTCGATACAAATTTTCGTAAACATTGAAAAGCAGTCTCTTGCAAATCTTGATTGTTTTTATCCAGAGCAGCATATAAAGCATGAAATATTCTACTTTTAACTTCAGGCTGAGGAATATAATAGCACGCGGCAAGCGCTCGCATTCCAGCTTGTCGCAACAATAACATCTGTCCAGGATTCATTGTTTTGTAACCAGGTAATTTAGACATTGCAGAATCACTAGCTTCACATAAATTGGATACTTCATGATAGAATAAATTATGTTCTTTAATGTTTAAATCTAGAGGAAAAAATGAATTATTATACTATTATTTAAAAAAAAAACACATTATTTGTTTAAAAATTAATACTGTTAAAATTGAAGAAAAAAATTCTATAGGAAAACCATTCGAAAAATATTTGGTTTCTTATTGTTTCTTGGTAAAAGATTGTTTGTCAATAAAATCATGGTTAAAATTTGGAAAACTTGATAATTTTAAATGTCTTTTAATTTATATTAATATTAATATCCAAGATCTTTAATGTAAGATTTATGATTAGTAATCCAAATAGTTAGATAGTATTAAACTAAAAAAAAAAAAACCAAACTTTTAAACCTATTTAGCTTAACATCAATAGGTTATTATTATTATTGGCAAGTGTAATAGGAGAAAATGAGATATTTTAATTTAATTTAAAGAATAACCAATTAAGGAATATAAAAAAATATGAACAATTAACAAAATTAAATAGGGCCCAAACTCTCAGGACCTACCGTGCCACCTGCATGTTTGAAACATTGGCAGTCAGGATGATGGCACTAGATGATTTCTCACACAGTAAATGCGGGTTCCTGTGCTAGAGTGTCGAACCGGTGACCAGTGAGCGCTATACACTCGATCAAACATTCCTGTCTTTATTACTAGATGTAGATATTATAAGATGTTAAATAAATATAATATTATGCAGATTATACCTATTGTAAACAATCGTGGTAATAAAGACGTGCAAAAGGTATTTCCTTCCATCATTCCAATTTGGGCTTTAAATCCTTGATGTCGTAGTAAATGTTTTCTCAAGGGTATAATTTCAGACAACCCCTCCTTATGAGGTTCCATGACCTGAGTTATGGTAGTTCCTTGAGCGTTAGCAATTACTCCCAATAAATGAGTTGACTATATAAATCGCAATAAGAAAAGACATTAAACAAAGTTAAAACATGGATCCAACCAAAATAACGAATACAAAAACAAACAACAATGCAATAATAGTGAAAAACTGATACCAGAAATTTAAAATAAGCGATAAATAAATATTGTCAAGTGTGTCTTCCAATATAATTGGAGATAATCTTCAAAATAATGTAGTGTTATTTTTGAAACTTAATAAACTTTTGAAATTCAAATGATAACCGAAACAAACATTTATTCGCTATTTGGGCCTCGATAAAAACATTGTAGATTTAATAATCTATTAGAATACACACATGATTTCTGAGTAGATCATTAGGGCTAGTGACTTGACGAATAAGCTCGTACGTCACTTCGTGTATTGCTTTTTTTTGCAAAGCTTGAAGCTGAGAACCAGCATTTTGATCTAACGGGGATGCAGCTTTTCTCAACATATTTTCCAAATTCTTTTTGGCTTCATCCAAAACTCCATTTGAAACCTATTTATAATAAACAAACGAGTGTATTTTTTTTTTAACTTAATATTTTATTACAACTTACGTCTCCAGATAAATCCATAATGACGAAAAGTTGGGCTTTAACAAACAAGTATAAATGTTCGAAAACCCATTGCAAAGACATACTGCTGTAGAAAAATTGTATGGCGTAACATCCTCCAAATTTAGTGTACCATGCACGATCATAACACAAAGCGCATAATTTGTCTACCATATATTCCATAAAAGGTAATTGACAAGCCTTAAATTACAATAATGTATATTAAATAATTATAATACCATTGAATATTTAACAATATTTGTTTGTAGTTTAATTTACTCGTTCTTTGGAGCCCATAATAATAGTCGCCGTGTTAAGAATAATAGTCAGAGCTAATCGTGCAGGCTTTAGAAGTTCTTTTTCTTGGTAACTCATAACAGTTGCCATTGAATCAATTAAAACTAAAGGATCCATTCCAAATGAACATCTTTCACTTTTTTCACTATTTACTAAAGGTCCCGCTTGCTGTGAAACAGCTACCATGGTATATCTCATTACGATATCTAATAATGTTCCTAGAGCTGTGTCCCTAAGTTCTTTTACAGCTGCACTCACAAAAATACCTAATAAAAACAATTATTTCAGAACCACACACACATACAGCATGATGCAAAAACAGCATGTACCGTAATCAGAGTTGACAATAACCCAAATTTTTTTAAAAAAAAGCTGGACCCAATTAAGTTTTCTTAAATAAGCATAACCTATATTTTTGGGATAATACCAGCTGGTTTTTATTTTTGCCAACTCTGATAGTGTTAAAACGTAATAAATATTCATACCGTTTAACGCCATTACATAAGTATTTCGTACGACTGGATCTGGATATTTGTACACAGTTGATTGAAAATTTGATATTTTCCCTTCTTTAAAACTAAAATTACATAATTTAACAAACAATTGTTATTTAATTTAATTTGTAATAGAACCTTTTTTTTTTTTTACCTAGGATGAGAAAAAAATTTCATTAAAAGCGATTTATCATCATTTGATAAAACAGACGCCGCCAAAAATGATTTAATGACTTCCCAACACTTTTTACGATAATAAGGATCTGTGGAGGACTTAAGAGACTCTGCAGCTGTTTCAATAGCCTTTTAATAAAATACAGATAATAAATACTTATGGTAAATCTAGATATAGATATTTTGCTTAATATTACCATATCGACATTGAGTATTACAGGCTGGGCGTGTTCGATAAAATTAACAATGATAGCTGGCTTTTTTGATTGTTTGTGTATTGAATAATCTAATCGCTGAGGTTCAGTCATCATTTTGCGGTTACCACCACCAAATTTTCCTAATACCCTATAAGTTATGTTATCTTCAATTTAATATATTATAACAATTTATAAATATAGAAGATTTAAACAGTTTATTACCTAAATGCTACGGGATATACATTATCATTTGTATTGTGTAATGAACGCCACAAAGCTTGCATTAAGTCTGCTCTTACCGGTTGAATATGTTCATAAAGAAAATCTGTTTGTAAATTATCAACACATAATTCCAATGTTCTAAGACCCTAAAGTAAAATATAAGTACAACAAATTACTACAAGTTTTCTAATGTATATAAAATTAAAATATATTATTTACTTGTATGATCAGTGATGGCGAGCCATTTAACGCAGAAACCAAAGGGTCCATAAGTAAAGGTAAATGAGGGAGTAGCGAACTTAAACGTACGGGAACGGTTAGACACAGTTCCACAAATAAATCTTTCATATCTTGTTTGTGAAGACCTGACTGAAGACTATTTAAACTCTTAAGTAAGTTTGGTAGAAGAGGTAAAAATTCTTGATACAAAACACCATGGGCCCCTCCGCCAATACAACGAAAAAGCGGACGTAACAACAAAAAATAATAATAAGGATCTTTTGCGGTTAACGCCATTTTCATTGAGCTATGATTAAAACAATGTTACAATAATAAATAAGTATATCATAATATGCAATGATTTTACAGATAAATATTAATTCTTACCTGTTAACAATTTGATTTAAATATGGTTGTAGCGTTTGTTCACTTTCAATTGAATACTGATTTACTGTATCAAAAACTTGTTTGAAAAGTTTCAAGTATAAATTACTACGTTCTGCATTTCCACTGCCCATGTCTTCCATTTTATTGAGTAAATGTTCTAACAGAAGTTTTGCAAATATGGATGCGGTATCTGATGTATTGAGGCTATTATTTAAAAGTGATTCACTAATATACATTAAAGCGTGATTTTTTTCGACTCGTTCAACAAAATATGCAATTCTTGTTGAAAATATTTCTTTAAATGTATTTTGATGTAAAAGAGAAAACTATATAAAACAAACAAACAAAACAATTAATTGTGTTAAAATAGTATATATGTATATTATATATATTGAGTGAGAGCTCGTGGTTGGGTCAACTAAGGAGTGTGATAAAATACGTTACCCTGTGATCAGTTTTGTAAATACATTGTACAATATGTGTGAAAAACAATAATAAAAATATATTTATATTAAGACGGTCTAAATTAATTTGTTTTTGTTCCGTATCTTAATAGTTTGTTCATCATCATGTAGCTTAGCGGGCCTTGAAGGCGCAACGCTGCCCTCATGAAATAATTTCCAGACGTATTCGCTATCAGGGAGGACCCATCAGCCGGTCGCCGGAGAGGAGGATGTCTTTTAAACCAGACGATTTCTCTCCCATTAAACAGATTACCGTGACTGAGGGTCGAACTGGTGATAGTGAGCGCCAAACACAATGACACCTTACCCAATCAGCCACTCCTCCTTCTTAATAATTATCCTTGGAATGTTAATAGTTTAAAAAAAAAATAAACTCTAGTGAATATATAACAAAAATTTAGAGGTCACAAGCATTACTTCAATATGAAAATTCAAATTTGTAGTTTTCATCTATTTTGAAAAAAATGTTTTAGATAAAGTTTGTTGGATCTATGTGAATGCTATTTCTTTTTTAGTTTTCATAGCAATACATTTAAAAAGTTATTTAAATTACTAATATCTGAATTCACAGTAAATCTAAGTAATAATCATTTAAGTAATTTTTTTAAAAGACCTATCAAATGCTTTAAATAAAATAGCATAATGTTGTTATGTGTAGCCTGACAGTAGTTGATATTCCCGACTAATGTATAAGTAAGTAATGGTAGATAAAATAATGTACTCACAATTCCACTTAAATGGTCCATTGCTTCTTTTTCTTCTTTCGATCGGGGTCTCACAACATTGGCATTTGTACTTTGACTATTCAACGGATTAACCATATGTACATCCATTGCTTGCAGAGACCACTTAACAAGCCCTAAATACATTTTAACAATTTGTGGCTTTGCAGGTAGCTTTGGCACATTTCCAGAGTCTTCTTCTTTGGCAGTCTAAAAATTACAAATAACAAAGTTTAAGAAAAAAATTGAAATGATTACATTTAAAACAAATTATTCTTGTTATTCAATTCTATTACAGTTTTTTTACGATAACAATTTTAATGTATTAAAAAGTATAGAAATTGGAAGGTTTAACAAAAAACCAGCATTCAAAGAGGATGACAAATGTCGGCAAGATACTTCAAATAAACCTCAAAAAGTATTTATTTATTACTATTAGTTAACAATTATGTTGTATTTGCTCGGTACTAATATCTTAATATGAATAATTTTATGATTATTATACAAATAATTCAATAAGTTTGGTTTTTTATTTTCTTGAATAAAAAAGCTCTATTTATATAGTTTATCATATATTCTATATTATTTATATTGACTTACCTTTAATGTTGCTAAGCCCCAAGCTGCTGTTTTTATGCCACATATAATGACTTTAACCAATGTTCTACATTCAGGTAAAGTAAATAGGGCAGTTTGTGTTGATGGGAACACATATTTACTTTTTTCATTTAGCTTTGTTTCTACAGGATTATCCAAGTTATCTTTTTGTTCTTTTTTTATATTTTCTTCAATAATTTCACTTTCATTATCGATACTTTGTAACATATCCAATTGCGAAACTTTATTTGAGCTATATACAAAAAGAAAAGTAAGAAATAAATTATCGTTTAACAAAACTACATACCTAACATATCAACTTACTTCTTCGAAAGTATTGCTGGTATATACAATTTTGCTACTACTTTTAGTTTAAGCACATAAACCTGAAGAATACGTATTAACAAATCAAAACTGACAGTCTCTCCCACTGTGAATTTTAAATCAGGAACTTGTTCTCCGTTTCTTTGTCGAATACAATCCACTAAATTCATTAACATTTTGCAACACATTAACTGAATACTAAAAAAAAATATTTATATATTAACAACTTATTATAAATTTAAAAAAAATATGTATGATTTTTGTATATTATTATTATTATTGTTATACCTAGGCGTCAAACTATGATCGTGAACATTTATTGCAAATAAGTTGATAGCTTTCACAATAGTAGGAAGTGATAAATGTACTCGAACATGATGAATAAGATCAGCAATAGTGCTATATGCTAATGGCTTTAAGTTTTCTGTAGTAGTCCACCCACGGCCAAGAAGAGTATCTTCATCTAATAATTTTTCCATATAAGGAATAAATTCTAAAAAAACAATGGATATAATATATCCATTATTCATAATATAATATAAGAAAATAATTTTTGTTGATATTTTTATTCCTTATGAAATGCGTACTTATTCTCAAATCGGTATTCAGAATATGCCTGGATGCAATCAGTAATTCTTTTCTCAGATGTGTTACTTCCATCGGACATGATTCCAGCATTCCAATCATCCCTTCGACCAGTTGTGTCGAATGCAGAGTTACTATGTCCGTAAACGGTTTAATAACAAAAGCTAAGTACGACAATACTTTTATTTGAGCCGATATCAACTCGACTAAGATTTCTTTGCTGTAATTGGGATGAGATCTTAAAAAAATTAAAAATATATACATATAAATTCAAAACAATTAGATTTAGTAGTTAAAGATATTTATTACTTGTAGTGTAAAGACGGTTGCAAAGGTATGATGCGAATAATAGTCGGTATGTATTCACTGAGTTCGCGCTTTACGTTGTCTTTGTAGAGTTGATAAATGAGTACGATTGCTATTGGTAATTCTTGTAGTATTTTTAATGATGATATACTGCGTGGAATAACATTATACTAAAATAATAAATAATAGCAAACAAATTAGGTAATTGTTACTAAAAAATATACTGTAATTAATGATAACAATTAAAAAAAGATTTAACTTTTTCTGATGTAATAATACTCAAAATAAACTATAGGAGACAATAAAAAATTCCAAATTTCCTAGGTTGCAATTGTAATAGTATTGTCCTCAGACACACTCTTCACTTCCTCCAGAAATTAATCTAGCTAATTTTCTTATTACTAAATAAAAAATAGGCCTTTTAGCCCCTATAGAAAAATAGTAAGCTTCACTTAAAAAAAATAAAAATAAAATCTGTCCAATAGATTCGCCAGAAAAGTACTTCTACGAAAGTCATTTTTGATTAAACTTTTGCCATAACTCGGAGAAAAATAACTTTGAAAGTAGTATAACTAGAAAAACTTCAAATTTTTTCACCTTCAAATAGTCGGCATACTAAAAATGGCCACTAGATAAATTTTTGTCAAATATTGCTTATTCTTTGCCCCTTACTAAATAGCGCTTTCCGCCCCCCTTAAACAAAATAGTTAGGTAAAATTAGGAAAAATTGAAACATAAAAGATGATAAATGTAACTGCTACAGAATACAAAAAATGGGAGAAATTTGCCAATGACTTGGAATGATTTAAGTCACTTATAATCAAATAACTTATTTTTAAAATATGTATTTTGTATTTTTAGTATGTTTTATCATACTATTTTCAGCTCAAATACATAATTAAAATATTTTGTCCATCTCTGGATATTTATGTGAGTAAAAATATAAACCTCAAACCCAAATAAATACTAATTTAGAAATAATAGAAATAATAAAAAAAGAAATCTGAAACAATAATATTGTATTTACCGTTTCTATATTATTTTCAGTAGTTTCACAGTTTATGACTATTGTAGAATAGGTATTATCCAATATTTCACTAATATCAACAGTGGATAAATCATTAATACGCAATTTTTGTTGAGTTCTCATGCTGAATATTTTATCCATACTGTCAGGTATATCCCAATAAATTTTTTTGGTTAGTTGTAGGAATTTGCTTATCTATTACAAACAACATTAAAATATATAAAAATTAGCTGTTCATTTAAAAAATACATGAAAATTACTTCTGAATTGTACGGAGGTCTAAAATTTTTTAATAGTTCAACAATTATGCGTATACAAATGATACCATTTTGTTCATTATCGTTTTCAATGAGCTTCATGCATAATGTTACTAGCCGATCGACATATGGTTTTAAATACTCATTACACGGTAGCCTATAAAGCATCTCCAACACTACCTTCCGTACTTGCTGTAAATTAAACAAACACAATGTAAATGAATTTTAAACTAACCTACATTTTTTACTCACAAATATATGATACTCGGCTATAAAATATGGTTCTCCATCTACTAAAATACGAACAAAATTCTTAATCATATGCTCCAAAAACACAGGATAGTTTGGCGAAGATACAATCATCTGAAAATTTTTTTTAGTAAGTTATGTAAATCTATGTAGCGTAATGAATTAGATATTGTTCTAGATTGAAATAGATTGATTTAGAATAAATTTAGTGTATTAGTTACAATTATATTTCAGTAAACAATTAAATTGTTATTACAATAATGTTATGAGTTAAGTAGTCATTCTTTGGTTTAAGAACTGTTTTTAACTATACAAACATATAAGCTGTAGGTAATAGGACAAATAAATTAAAAATAAGACATTTTCTATTGTTCAAATTTGATTTGTAATAATTAATTCTTTAAACTTCATAAATGAAATATATGTATAGTAATAAAGTTAATGTTTTCGTATACAAACTAATACATTTATTCCTTTATTTTAATTTCAAGTTTTATAATATTCTGACTAGCTGCTAAACTTGAAAGTTGATTAAAAACAGTATTAAAATCAAATCTTTGAGTTTTGTTATTATTTTTGTTTACTTCAAAATTTTCATTGAGAGTTTGAACAATCTTCAATTTTTGTTCATCTTCAACATTTGGATCGGCGAGCATAGTTATGTCAGATCGATACTTCTCCATTATTGCAGTTTCATCCAACACTATTTCACTTTTAACAGCTGCCATAATAACTTTTCTGCTGTAATATTTATTTTATAGTATTTTCAACTTGTGTGTATTAAAAAACAAACACATTTCAGCACTGAAAATATTGTTAGTCGGACACAATCATTAGTAACTTTGATTAGTATGAGCATTGTAAATTAAACAAAGTAAAACTGACACTAAAATAATGTGTTGTATTCTTCATTTATTAAAGTAATAAAACTGTTTGATTAACTCTTGAAAAAAATTGAACTAATTTTCAACGCTATGTATTTCAAACAAATTTACTATCAATGTTTAGAGCGGACAAATTCAAACGATAACCTCAATGTTTAACTACATTATCATAATTTAAATTATGATTATGATACAAAATACAAATTGATACATATACTCAATTTATGATAAACAACACCTGAATCTGATTTCTAAAGAAATAGACTACAAACGTACAAATTAAGCACCTACCAAAACGACTACAAATTTTAATTTTACTAGGTAGTTTAATTTTTTTGTGATTTAGTAAGTCTTTTAGCACAAAAAAATTCCGTTGCCAAATTTTATCTGAACCTTAGCTCAAGATATTCTAATTATTTCTTATGAATATGTAACATCATATTATTCGTGTTTGAATTATCCTATGATTTAGATTCAGAAGTGACTGAGGTTCTCTTTAGTTTCACACCTTTTGCCGTACCAGTTATAACCTATTCGACAAATTTAGGTATGCCAATAATGGTTATTTATCTGCGACATGCTTCACTTTTTAGTTTACACCGCTTCGTTTTCTCGAGACCTCTTAACTACTCGACTTAAAAAAATCTCTACAATTCGTGTAACCACTGTCACTAACCCACTTTAACAGAATACGCAATTTGCCATTAGCGATTTTGGGCAGCGGCAGTGGGTCGTTGTCAACCTGCCCTGGGAGGCTGGGTCCGGCAGCCGGCAGCGAAATATAATGTCAAGAGAAGTCAGAAGAAATAATATGTACGACCACGGTTTAAAAACCAAAGAGTAATTTTTACACTATTTGATAACGTTGTTTGGATCATAAACAACAAAAACACAGGTATGTCAGAAGTTTTTGATAACAGCAAAATTAATGCCGGTTTATCTAGACGACAGTACATTTTTTACGAGAGAAAATGAATAACTAAATTGTTAAGAACAGTAACAAGAGTTGCTGATACGCGTTTGTGTTATGATGGTTTTAGTCACGATTAAAGAATATGGTTGCCCAATGGGCAATATTTAAGCGGCCACAAAAGTATACTATAAGGCGCGCTAATATGTCTAAATGATTTGGTAATAGCAAAATTCAACTAACAGAGAGAGCGTCACGAACTGGGCAACCATCATAGATATATATAATAGTATTTATTATATATATCTGTGGCAACCATATATCCTCAACTGCGGTTTTTGTAGATAAGTGAAATATAAATGCTGATAAGACAATGGCGGTTATAATGATAATAAACAATAAACGGCTTTTTTGCATTCAATAAATTTAATTTTTTCATTGATGGATTTTTCTATTTCACTGTTCGCATTCAGCTTATGCTTTAAATATTTGGTATTTCACTAGCTGTACATTGTTTTGCGGGAGTTATAGTATTTGTTTAAAATTGTCCAATACATTACCACAATGGCTTGTAAAGAGTTTTTCATTTATACCGATCGAAATAAATTGCGTACGCCGTCAAACACAGAATATAGAGTTGACAAATTGCTGAAACCAAAAGAACTTAAACCAGCCATAAAATGTAAGTATTTTATTAATTACATGTATTTTTAAATCGTAATAATATTTAATTATTTTATTTCAGCATGTAAAAACGAATTAAATGTAGATGGAGCAGTTTTCGTTTTAAACAATTTCGATAAATTGTTTTCCGTTATTGAATATGTTGATCAGCTTGAATACAGAGATTTACATTATGTTTATGACGAAATACTTGTTAAAAGTAAGTAGTATAATATAATATATAAAAGTGCCAGTTTAACTAAATCATTAACGGTCCCACACGCTGTTGATTAGGTCTGTAAACTTGACTTCTGTTTTTCAAAAATTGTAAGTTCTCAATGCACATTGCTAAAGCACTTAAAACTCATGATTTGGTCCAACAGATTGCCTGTGAATTTAAACTGTTTGTGTCTGAAAATTCTCTACTGTGCCCTTGTCAGATCCTTACTGGAGTTGACTCTTTTGAGTTGATTCTTTATGATTTTATGATCAATAAATGGGTGCAGAGAACATATTTAAGATATGATTTGTTTGTCCTTAAAGTCCCATATCCCCCCACCTACAAGTACATAATCATCAGCCAATTGTTGGACTTATCTAGCTTTGCTGGTGGCCACTTTTTTTTAATAAATATAATATACGGCATATTGTAGACTCTCCTTCCAATGAGGACCCGTCAATAATTTTATTTCCTTAGTTTTTTACTGATAAAAATTACTCACTTCATTATTGTTTATAAATTGGACTATCTAAAAAATACTTTTGTTTACTTATCCCCCTTCCAATTGATATTTGCATATTCAATAAAAAAATTCCTAGAATTTCAGATCCTTAACTTTCAATATTTCCTTATGTTTTTTTTTTCATTTGATTAGCATGGAAAATTTTAATATTTCATTCTAACTTGAAAACTAATCAAACTTTTTACAATTTAAACAAACATTTTCAAAACTGAAGTATGACACTTTAAAATCACTCTCTTGATATTTCACAATAAAATTTGTTAAATAAATTAATAGTTTAAAAAATAAAACTAACTTAAATCATGTTACATATTAATCATAAAAACTTAATAATTACAATAATTACAATAAAAACTATTTTGTTCACTTGGCACCTTTAGTACTGGCCGTTGTATATAATGTCTGGTCATTGTGTATAATTATTCACATGGCTGAACAAAATAGACCATGGTACACACCATGATTAGTGCTTACATTGGCCATTTGTCCACTTGGACCGTAACGAATAATTATATGAAGGGCTGCGGGGAAAAACGATCAATGTCAATTTTTTAACATTCTGAGAAAATCATGTCTTTTAATTTCAAAATGTAATACATTTTGCCTTTATGCCTAAACTTCCGGGGATCGTTACTCTCGACTTATCTGTTTTTTTCCCTGGTTCGAGGGCATAAAAGATACAATACATCAATACAAATAATTTGATACCAAAATTTTATTTTCAAAAAAAATTGACATTGATCTTTTTTTCCCCGCAGCCCTTCATATATAATATAGTTTTTCACATAGGTAATAGCACTTTTTTTTTTGTGTTTTCCTTCAGTTTACTTTTTATAATAGTTAATTTAGTTATATTGTTTTTAAATATTTTTTTTATTAAATTGGGACTAACTGAGGATTTTGATACTAAATAATTTTTAAATATTTCAAAACGGGTTGAAATATTAATCCAATGTGAGTTTTTTTCTTACAAAACAAAATCACTTCATAGAAATGTAGTAATTGATGTCATTTTAAAATTGATTGATATTTATTAGCTTTATTATATTTTTTAAACTACTTGTTGTTTTATATATTTCAGGTTTAAATATTATTGCATCATTTTTATTTAATTATGGAAATATTGAAGACATTCAAACGGATATGAAACAACAATATGTAAACATTATAAAGATGACTGTTTATTTGTTTGTAGAATTTGTGAATAGTTTTAATGCAAAAATTGAAACTGATTACAAATTATTACTGTTGGAAACAAAAGTATGTTTTTAAGTAAAGATATTTTTTAAAAATTATAACACTTATTTAGTTAAAATTTCTCAATGATCTGGAAACCAGTTACTTATTTTATATGTTACCTGAACTACAGTCATATTTATACATTTTGCTTTTTCAAGTGCACACATTTATGATATCTCTCCTCTCTGTCCCTATAAAATTCTTATAGCAAATACAGCTCTCACCTTATTGCTCTTAGATATTATATACTATGTGCCACGAGAGAACGCTTACGGCGGCTGTCCGAAACTCGTTTTTCTCGCGCATGACTTCCCCCTCTACATCATAGTCTTAAGCTGAAATAATTTGTGCCGACTCGAGCGATTTCGGAACTCGTAGGTAGGGACATGACTGGCCGCCGAGCAGCTGACAAATACTGTTGATTCGTGCGTCGCGGTCATTTACGGTACTGACTTGTGTTTTTTACTGAATTCTGAATTATAGTGCTAATTGATTTACCAAAATTATTTCAACTTAAATTTTTATATTTAGGGTCGAAATAAAAAACAAGACATGATTCAAAAACACACTTCTGATTATGATTGGAATTGGGAAGAAGAAATGAGTATTGGATTTAAAGCAATTTTTTCCATTATTACAAATGACATTACTCAATTGTACGACCCTCCATATATAGATCATACATTTGTATCGTAAGTTATAAGAATGATTTTTTATAGTTATTGTTAAAATCTATATTTTGTAAATTTTTATCAGGTATTTAGCTTCCTGTTGCTATTCTCAATTAGAAAATCCAAGCATAGCTTTTGTACGTACCAAACCTCTTAGGGACAGTGTAATGCAGATATTAATTTTACTAATTACAAATTACGATCATTCTCAACATTTTAAAGTCAAAGCAGTTCAAGTAAATAGTATTCAACTTTTGTTTAATGAGGTAATTTTTAATTTCTAATTTAATGTTTATTCTAGTTGTTAAAAATGTATGAACATTTAGCATTGCCTATGGCAAAAGTAGTGTTAGAAGTTGTCGAATCTGGTAATAACCGATCATCTTTAATCGAATTAATTGTAAAAGAAATAGCAGAAACGGGAGTTGTTGAAGGCATCAAAGAAACCAACTCTCAAGAAATAACAGGAGGCAAGTCTTGTTGCGCATTTCTTGTGGAAATCGCCAAACACAGCCCGGAATTACTTTTGTCCAACATTGAACATATGTTGCCATGCTTGGAATCTGATGTAAGTTATGACTCGTTTATATATTTCAGATGTTTATATGGTGTTTTTTTTTAACAGCCCTACACTATGAGAATTTGTGTTCTCAGCGTATTAAAAGAACTCATAATTCATGTTTTGAATAATGACGAATTGGACGAATTAGGACGTAAAACACGAGACGATTATTTATCAATAATACAAGACCATTTACTTGACATCAATGCTTACGTGAGATCCAAGGTAATAAAATTTACTCTTTTAAACAATTGGTTTGTCATTTATATACTAATCAATTGTTTTAGGCTTTACAGCTACTTACGGCCATAATAAATGCTGACTGTTTGCCAAAACAAATGTACAAAGAAATTCTGAATTGTGCAGAAGAAAAACTCAGCGACAAAAGTTCTTATGTTACCAAAAGCGCAATTAATTTGACTAAAACATTAATTCGACTAAATCCTTACAGTTCAGATGTAATAAATAAATTATTATTGTACTTTTAATTTTTCAAAAAAATATGTACCTAACATGATTGATATTGAATATTGATATTTCATTTTGAATTTATAGTTTACAGAAAAAAATTTGATGGAAAAATTAGAAATAGAAAACCATACGTTAGACAAAATGAAAGAAGTACTAGAGGAGAAAACTGATGGCGGACTTTCTAAAGATGAATTGTGGCCAACAATTGAACCCCAGTTGAAAATGTATTTGGAGAAAAAACTTGAAGGTATATAGAAATAAAAAGATAAATATGTCAATATCCATTTTAATTAAAGAAATAAAATTAAAATTTATTTAGGGCGCAATATAAATTCGTTTAAAAGCTTCGAGCCGCTGGAGGATATGCCCTTAAGTGAAGTTTTGATGAGAATTAAAAGTTATATAACCCTTCGAAAATTCAAAGTCGCTTTAAAATTGTTATTACGTGCTAGAGAAACGTTCAAAGATCAACCGCTGTTTAAGTATGTATAATGGTTTTTTTTTTGCATTTCCAGTTTATTCATTCTAGGTATAATATCCCATTGGAAAAAAAAAAGTGTCTGATAAAATTAGTTATATTATATTGGCGACTGTTACAAAGTAATAATCTGTTCCATTAGCCTTTGGAAACAGTGCAATTCAGTTGCTAAGGAAAACTTAATTTTACAGTATATTTCACTGTGGCGTGGTGTGGCGCAGTGGACACCTCAGCTGCCGCGTGGCACCTGAGGTTAAGCTTTGTCCGTTGCTGCTTGATCCCGGATGGGTGACCACCCGGGATTTTTAGCGGCGACCCATACCATTAACCCCCCGCTATGCATGGCAGAAATGCCATGCGGTGATGCGCCCACCCAGGCGACCGAATAGGCATTGTTAGCTATAAAGTCCTAATCCCGGTCAATACACCATATGAATATTTTATTTCAACGTTTACTATGTAATAAATATCAATAGTACCTTATTTATTACTTTCAGTTTTTTGCGAGGCAAATGGAACATTTAATTTTTCGCAATAGGCGTTGATATAATATTAAAAATAATGTATTGAGCTATTAATTAATTTATTGAGTCATGTTATAATTCTACTTAAATATTTCAGATTGCCAAACGATAATAATTCATTTACAGAACAGTTTTTTTTGTGCATGAAAAATATTTGGTGGAATAAAAGTTCAATATCCAATTGTAGTTTTGAAAACTTTGAACAAATGACTCCTGAAGAATTGAGCAGCAAAATATATTCTGCTGAGGCCAAGATCACGTATCTTCATGTAATTCATCATTTTTATTTGTATTTATTAGTGAGCGTGATACTGACGAAAAATCTAAATTGAACCATTTATTTTAAATTAAACTAACTTTAACTTTAAAGTGTCATTAAGTTAAACTTCCCAAAATAAGAAACAGTGAAGACTAGAATAGATATGGATAGGGTTCACTGTATTATTGTTCTTTGATATATTTTTTTTAAACCAAAATCAATTAAATTTCTTATTTATTCATATAAGATAAGAGTGTTACGTACAATGTTTTTCAAAAATGTTGGTGGAAAGTTGCCTTTTATTGGCGAGAGCATTGCAAATTTGTTCACGGTCAGTGTATTTGCATTTTACACTAAAACTACAAAAAGTAAAATTATTTAAGCTGAATATTTAATCTTGAGTAAATCAAGTAATTTTTTTAATAAAAAAAAACTACTTTTTTGTTTAACTAAACTATATTAATTTGACTGATTGGACTTTTGATTTTCAAAATCTTTCCAATTTCAGGACTGTGCAGCATATTTAAGTACCATAAAAAAATCATTGACAACTATCAGTCAATTGATGTTAGGCAATACTACATCCGAATGTTTAGAGGCTATAGATTTCTTTACGACCGCTCATCAGTTTGGCGTACCACACGCTCAGTTAGGGATTGATGCAATGATCACATTGATATATTCAAACGAATCAAATATAAAGGAGGCTATGATGAACTCTTACAAAACAATATACTTAAATATCGAAGAAGATAACGAGACGTCCACTAATCAGCCGCAAATTGTAAGTTTTTAGTGATATTTATTAAAAATAAATACTTTGTTAATACTTTTCTTTAAAAGTGTATTTCTGTTTTTAGATTATGAAAAAACTTTTGAATTTAGTGAAAACTTTAAATGTAACAAATAGAAAAGCATTTAAAATGTTATTGTACGAATGGGTTAAAAATAAAACAATAGACGATGATTGTATCATGCTGTTGTGGGCATGGTTCACTAAGTCCATCTCTATACCTCGGGAAGATCGAGTTGTTGCCGCTCTACTTATTTCTATGTTTGCCAGGTATTAATTAAAGATTGATTTAATTTTAAAAAAAAAAATATGTTTACTGATGTCAATTGATCATTATTATATTTTAGTGCAAAACCTTGTATTGCAAAAGGAAATCTTGAAAATTGCATTCAGTATGGTTTAAACGACAATTATCAGCTATTTATATATACTTGTCAAATTTTAGAAAATATTGGCAAAGAAGAATTCAAAAGGTATTGATGATGATGAAATGAAATAATATATAAGTTAATGTATAAATATTCAACGTTCTACATTGTTCATTTTAGACTACCAAACAATCACGAATTGGTTGTCAAAATATTAAAAGCGTGTCAAAAAAGTTTTACCGATTGCGGCGTGGATTTATTCAACGATGTCGCTTCCAATGCTATTAATATAATATATAAAGTTTGTTTTGTTATTAATATTTTGAAATAATCAATATTAATAATATTATTTTTCAGTTGACCGTAAAACCAGACGTAACATGTAAATTGTTGTTAATTAAATTATATGACATTATGAAAAACCTAAGTCAAGGTATTCAAATTTAATGTTATTATTTTTATTCTACACATTCCTCTCAATTTCCAACATACTTTTCAAAGTTTGTTCAATTTAATTAATTTTCTTTAATTTTTTAGGTCAAGAAGAACAAACTATTGACTTAGATGCCGACTTATTGGCTAAGTATATATTTGTTGTCGGACACACTGCTTTACAGTAAGTAAAATTTTAGTATCTCTGTCTAAATAACACGTATATTGTCAATAATTTGTATGTATTTTTTTACCACTATACTAATGTGATAGGAATGTGACATGGAGGAACCCACATCATTAAATATTTATTGTTAATTATGTAATTATAGGCAGTGTAACCATTTGGAAAATTACGTTTCTAAGGAGTTAATTTGTTGCGTAAGGGTAAAGTATCAATCAAAAAAAACAAAATCTAAAGAAACCAAAGAAGACGAAGTAAAATAATCTTTTAGTTTTTATAAAAAAAAAAATATTTTGAGGTTTTCCAATATATAATGTTTATCATATAGAGTATTCATGATTCGGAAGCGGCCGAAGTTGAAGCTATCAATGAACAAATTCGTCAGATTTGCGATAAACAGCTAATTACAGGGAATGGAATGTTATCTCATTTTTCGTAAGACTTTTAAAAACATTGATTTATAGCTAAATAATATTATATTAATATTGTTTTTTTTTAGAAAACATGTATTAAATGCATGTAATTCAGAACATCAAAATTTAAAGTGTAACTCAATGATAACGCTGATTAAATTTATGTTGGTCTCGGGTTCGTTCTGTCAAAAAAATTTACAGGTACATAATACATTTAAATACAATATTTGTGACGAAAAAATTTTGTCACGATACAACATATATATCCGACATTAAATTATTTACTTTTTGTTCAATAATTATTTCTAACATGCTGTTAGATGTTTATGGATCTCATGGAAAAGTCGGAAGATTCGGCTACACGTATTGACCTTGTCATTGGATTTGGCTCGTTAGTTTTCAAGCATCCTAATTTGATGGAACCTTATACCGATAGGCTTTATGCTCGGTACATACATTTACTAAACATATGAATTCATATTTATAAATAAATATTTAAAGATGTTTCATTTTTATAATTTTGTTAGATTAAAAGACGATTGTGTCAAGGTACGATACACTGCTTTACTTACTATCGTCGATCTAATACGTCAAGAAATGATCAAAGTCAGAGGACAAATTGCTGGTATTGCTAAGTTACTGGTGGATGAAGACGAAAAAATCAAACGTATGTTTTTAATAGTGGTAAAAAAAGTAAATCATTTCATAATACTTGTGTGTAATAATATAATATATATTTAATTCTAGAAATTACAAAACAATTTTTTGGAGTTATATCTGAAAAGGGAAATTCTTTGTATAACGTTTTATCGGACATTATATCAATACTTTCAAATCCAGACGATCTATTACCAGAAAATGATTTTCAAACTATTATGAAGTACGTTCAAGACTTAATACATTTTCCTCATAATTTTTTTTTTATAATTTTTTTCTAGAATTTTACTTCCCTTTATCACTAAGGAACGTCAACTTGAATCATTAGTCGAAAAATTATGCTTGCGACTAAAAGAGTCTACACACGATATCCAAGCTTCTTACTTATCGTTTTGTTTGATGTTTATTAAATATTCAGACAAAAGCTTGACTAAGCTCTTGGACAACATATCTCATTACAGTGAAAAGTTGAAAAATCCTTTGGTTTACAATAATTTTAATATCCTCATCAGCAATAATTCCAGAATGGCAAAACCTACGACCAAAGACATTTTAAACGAACTTTCTGACAAGATTGAAAAAATAGTAATTGACGAAAATATGGTCGTTCCACTATCACAAAAAACACCAGTAAAACGTAATTATATCAATTTAAATACAATATTGTATAATATAAACTGCATAAATGTTTACAAAACATTTTAAGAAAATTGTATTAAAATTAAATAACTTAATAAATTTTATAATCTAAAATATAAATTTTACAATATTTATTTGATGTATATTTTTTATTTAAAAAAATAGGTTGTAATACAGTTAAAAAGAATCCAATAAAGAATCGTACTAATCTGGAAACGGATGTCGAAGAACCTTCTCAAACTGTGACTAAACGAAGTGCTAGATGTCGGACTACAGTCAAAAGACGCCTTATGGTCGACAACAGTGAAGAAGAAGAAAAAGAGAAAGATGATGTTGGAAGCAATGAAGAAGAGGAACCAGCTCGTACAACTAGAAATAGTACTATAAAAAGAGTCCTCAAATCTAAAATGAACGAAGACAGTGAAAGTGATGAAGTGGAAGTTTTTAAGCGAACAACACGACAAAACAAAAGCGTTAGTAAAAAAAAATTACAATACCAAAAATGAGGTTCCACATTTTTTTAAAAAATTAACTTCAGATTTTGAAATTTTATTTTATGACAAAATAGCACACACTTTGTTTTATTCAGAATGTTTTGGTACATATAGATTTTTTTTTGTACCTGTAAAATTAATGCCTTGTACCTGCATATATTTTGTTTTTGATCATTTATATTTATTATTATTTTTAAAGGTTTAATAACTAAAATCTATGCTAATCCTTAATAAATCATATATGTATATTTATTTATGTTTACAGATAAAAAGTTATTTTTTTTTAGTTGCTAAGAAGATACTGTTTTACAATGATTTTTTTTGTTTTTTTTGTGAACTAACAATATTGTTTAAACCACTAGTTCAATTTTTTCATGTAACAAGTCTATGATCAGAAATATTACATAAAAGATAATTTTTTATACCAAAAATGGAAAAACTTTAACACTTTTTTTTTATTAAAATCCAGAAGTGTTCTTCTGAAAATAAATTTTATTTTTTGGGTCGTTGACTTTTATTGAGTTGCATTGTAAAACAATTTGTTAGATCTAAATATTTAGACATTTGGACCATTCTAATTTAAAGTTTTGCAACTCTGGTGTATAATACTTAAATCTCTGATAAATTGTAATAGTCAACGGAAAACAATGCAAAAATTAACGGGCCTGACCGGGATTTGAACCCGGGACCTCTCGCACCCGAAGCGAGAATCATACCCCTAGACCATCAGGCCGTATGTCGTTGCAAGAGAAATGTTACTTATTTAATGTGATTACATGGAAAAATGAAGATAAGAATGTAAACAGCTATTATTGATAAAAAAAATCTTCACAACAGTCCACTCAGCCAAACCTAAAAGTGTAGCTACTAGCTATAACTTTTACCTTGTCATCGCATATTACAAGTAAAATAAAAATATAATAAGAGGAATTTATAGAATATTACAATACGTTTTGATTTGATTTTTTAAACATAAACTGTCATCCGAGTTCTAATGAAGAACTTTTTCGACGATCGTCGAGTATTGATGTATTTATTCAATAGATATAATGTCACAGTTGGTTGAAACTTTTAATTTCAATTCTGCCGTATTGATGACAGCGTCGGTTCTTGTCGTTGCATTTGTTTGGACGTACTTGAGAGCATCCAGTAAATGGAAAATGATCGATTTGGTTAACGAGAAACATAGAGTTTTGCTGATTACAGCACATCCCGATGACGAGTGTATGTTTTTCGGACCTACTATACAAAAATTGTCGAAAATCGACGGTGTACGATTGTACTTGATGTGCCTGTCTGTCGGTAAGTAGATATTCGTTTAAGAATGAACTCAAGCTAATTATAATGTAAAACCCGACCAAGACAGATCCTGAATAAACCGGAAAACTGTGCAAGACAAAATGTGTATATGGTCTCATTAAACAGTTTCTTCAGGATCTATGCTAGACAGGTTTCATTGTATATTTTACTTTTTTATGGATTTTTATATTATTACCATTATACTGTTGTATAAAACAGTAATTAACATTAATAACATTAATAAAAACTAATGTTTTAACTTGTTATTTTAACCATAATACTATTTTCTTTTACTTATATTTTTTTGGATTTTGATCTCGTCCTTTCAACACCGCCATTACCCGGACTAATTACAGAGAACGCTTTAGGATCCTAATAGAGGTTTAATAAATACATATTCTTGACTATAAAATTGATAACCGTTGCTCACTTAAGTTTTATTTTTAAAAAAAATTTACTTTACCGCATGCCTTTTTTTTTGCCGTATCATAGTGTTTTTTTACACTGATTACGAGTCTGAATTCAGAAATTAGCGGACTCACCTCTTTTAAAAGTTGCAGCTACTAAGAATATTGTTGCGCAAAACGACCGTAGCCCCCCTTAGCGGCAGGCTTTGGAAAAGGTCAGCGACCTAATTTAACCATATCTAGGCCTCAACTTACCCCTCAAAAAAGGGCCGAAGAAAAATGGACCACGCATTGTCGCTTTAGCCACTAGCTGTTGCCGCCACATGGCACGGCCGCCCTGCCCATTGCCTACTGTTATATGGGGAAAACTTCAAAGTTAGAGCTCAAATAGCTCTAACTTTTGAACTAGAAAAGTCCGCCTGATTCTGACTCGTAATCAGCGTAAAAAACACTATAATATGGAGGGGGAAAAAACGATATCCAGTAAAGTAAATGTATGATCGCCTGTTAAGCTTTTCAGGCAATATATTAAATTTCAAAATGATCCTTTAGAGTTATTAAAGGTAGCTTTTTCAAGTGATCGGAAATTATTTAACTGAACGGATGGCCTAGTCGTTAGAATCCACTAATTAAACTAATCACGGTCGCTTCAGCCTAGCCAACAGTCCTATTCAGATTTCCACTGATGTTTCAGAATAATTGCAGAGTTTATGTTCAAAATGTTGCTGTCTTCTTGCTGCAATCATATATATTCCTAGCTCTTCAGACTCTGCAATAGTTCTAAACAAATAAACAACAATTATTAATTATTTAGATATTACAGATTAAGTACTTAATCTGTGCCAACGTGTACACAAAGTGTTCATTCATTTTTGTTTATAAATAGAAAAATAAAAATACAAAAGTTGTAATTACATTTTTTTTCATTATTAGGCGATTACGAAGGTCAAGGTCAAGTCCGCAAAACAGAACTTTACAAAAGTTGTGAGATTCTCGGAATAAACGAAGGAAATATTGTCCTTTGCAAGTAAATATTTTACAATACATATTTTTACTTCATAAGTATTTATAGCGTAACTTGTATTGACGGTGTCTACTATAGAAATAGTCAATTTTTGGATGACCCAAATGCTTATTGGGAAACAAGCATTTTATCTGATAAGATTGCTGAACACGTAGAACAATTAGATATTAATATCATATTAACGTTTGATAACTACGGTGTGAGCGGTCATCGTAATCACGTATCTATTTACATGGCAATTATTCATTTAATGTGCCACAATATGCTTCCAAGTTGTAAGTATATGACTAGTTTAACTCAAATATTTATAATAGTTTAACAATAATTATTAATTTATTTTGTTTGTTCATTAAATAATCAATAAACAGACTGTCGTTCGTACACGTTAGATTCAGTTAATATAGTTCGCAAGTATGTTAAATGTATCGACCGATTATTCAGTAGGACTTCTGATATGAAGTATATACTAACAGCAGCGGAACAAGATTGCGTCAACGTCAGTATTAAAATATATAATACAAATTGTATGTTATTTTTACTTGTTAAAATACATTATGTTTTTATTTATTGCAGAGAGCAATGCAAGCTCATACTTCTCAGTACATTTGGTTTAGAAAACTTTATATGCAATTTTCCAGGTACAAAATTATAAATACTTATACCGCTATTTCGGCTGAATGTTAAGATGTATAATTTATATTTTTTAAATGTGCAATAAGTTTATGACTGTGATAATTTATAGACTTTGTATGATTATGATTATTTAATTGTTTTTTTTAAGTATATTTATTTTATGTCTTCCAAACAATGTTTATTATTATAATTATATAATACCACAACTTTTTATGTTAACGCTTTTTGTTTTAATACACTTAATTGACAGGTTAGGATTTTTAATTTTATTTACATTCTTAATTTCTGTATTCCGTTTTTTTATGTATAAATTATTAAATGTTTTTATTTTAAAAATTATAAACAAAACCAATTGGTTTTATAATACACAGATTAGCAGTGCCATACACAAGACCAGTAACCAATTTTATGTGGGGTACCCACCTCAACGGTCATAGTTTACCATCCGCCAGTCCATAAACTATAGCAATAGTACCTATTTTTACAATAGACATCCCACATAAAATCTGTAGTCATTCTTGTGCACAGCAGTCAGCACCGTTTATCTGTATATTTTAAGATCAATGAGTAATGACAAAAAAATCTTCGTTTTTAATAATATCATGAAGAACCATATATATTATTAAAAATTGTACATAAGTAAAAAAAAAAAATCAAAATTAATATTTGTAAATAGAGTTTATGATTAGAACTCAACTAAAACGTGTTTGTATGTTTTTGGCGTTACTGACTAAAATACTTATAATAATAAACCATTTATAGATAGTTAATAGTATGTATATAATTTATATCTACAATAATTGTGTCCTAATGTTGTTTAACCTTACTAAATTGGAGAAATATGTATAGACTGAAATACAGTTACGCAAATGTGTTTTCAAATAAACGAGGCTTAAAGAGAACGACACAACATAGTTAATTGATTTTTACCTTCCATTCTTAAATGTCTGTGTAACTTTTAATAATATGGATAAATCATTAGATTTAAACCATAATAACCAAATAAGTCGCTTACATAACATGAATGAAAACCATTATTGTGTTTGTATAAACTATAGTTAATTTAAAAAAAAAAAAGGTACCAAATCGTAATGGAATGAAAAAAACTAGCAACTAAACGATTGATTTCAAAAATCTAAATGGTATTCCGTATTAGAAATAAAATATAAATACTAGAAAATCTAAACAGTTAACTGTTATTTGTAAACATTAAGGTTAAGTTAGGCAAATATGACTTACATCACTAATAGTGATGTGTGGGTACCTAAGGAAACCGACAGTTGGTTATAAGTTATACGTACTAACGATGGGTGAAAACATCACATTTCATAAATTTGTTTACAAAATTACGAAGATATCTTCTTAGGCCGTGATTCTCATTTTACCATAGGCGTAAAATTTGCATTGTAAATCGTTTGTTGTAATCCGTCACTTTTAATACCGACCGGCGACCGGATCAAATGCAACTTATGCACTTCTAGCTTTTAATTTGAATCACGTAGATTATTTAATGAATTTTTGTTTTAAGTTATTTACTAAATATTGAAACCATCAGGACTGTAGTACTGAACGCAAGCAACTATAATGATCAATTAAGAGGGTGTCACACCACTTTTTTTCGGCGCGTAAAACATGTCTCAGGATATGCGATTTTCTAGGAAACCGAGTGGGTTTAGCGTATACTTGCTAATGAACAAAATTAAAGATTAAGAGTTTATCTACATAATAACAGAGGTTTTTTTCGATTATGTTACTAGGAACCGAGTTATAGATCTTTGAAGTTTTCATTTTTCAATAGCGTATATCTTCGTTTTAAAACATTTTATCGAAAAAAACCTATGTTAATATGTAGATAAACTCTTCATCTTTAATTTTGTTAATAGGCAAGTATGCGCTAAAACCACTCAGTTTCTCAGAAATTTGCATATTCTGAGACATGTTTTAGTCAAATTTTAGTAGTTATTAGTGCCAGTTTGTGGCGATCCTAGCGGCGACTTTAAAACACATGCGGTGTGACGCGGCGGCGGCAGTGGTGGCGGCAACTGCTCAAATCTTAGTCTGCTTCGGAAAACATTGTGTGAAAACATACAGTCAATTATTTATGTTGCCTCATTGAATGAAACTTAATAATAGTATATCCCTTATGTTTTATAACTTTGAATACTACACATACTTTATATGTGTATTGCTGTGTAGGCATTTAAAATAATGAGAAAACTTCAGGCACATAAGACACATAAAGGCTACATAAAGAGTGTAAGCTAAGAAAAACAAAAAAAATCATGAACTGCTTGATAAAAGCAGCCACTTATTGATCACACTTCTTATTCGTTTTTCGTGTTATGTTTAATTAGTTAACATAGGTTTACTTTGAATATTGTACAATAAACAATAAACATTATCCCAACAAATGATATCATTTTAGCTACCATGCAGAGCAGCGAGATGCTATTTTTGTTTTACTTTTGGCGACCAAAGTTTTTAAACGAGCCCATTGGACTGTTAAGTATTTTTCTGAATATTGTCTTGATGCTGTGGTAACAGAATCGGCCAGCAAAAAATTACCTTAAGTAGTAGGGTACGTATAGTAAGGTTAATCAACAGTAAGACACAATTATTATATCACTATTATAGTGAATAGTGATATATTATTATAGTTACCTATACATACTATTAATTATCTATAACATGTTGGATTAAATATTAATGATTTAATACTATATGTAATTTCGTCGATAACATTTAGGAACACATATGCGCGATTTAGTTTAACACAATTCTAATCATAAACTCTATTTACATGTATTAATTTTTACAAATATACTAATAATAACTATACAATTTTTAATGATATTGAAGACGAGGATTTTTTTTCAAATTTGTTATTACACAGAAAGAACATTTATAGATACCTACTTCGTTTATTATCTTATTGCTTAGTTAAGAAGGTTAGGTTTAAAGTTTCGCTGTACTGAACTAGATTCTAAAACCAAAAAACAATATACACTTCACATACAAAATGAGATAAATATTTTTAAATTGTAAGCAGCACAAACTATCTTTGTAATGTAAACAAATGTACTGTTTGTTTTAGTATAGTATTCAACTTCCTTGGTATTTTACTTTAACTTTAAACCCGAAAATTTAAAATGCATTTAGTATTTCCGTTTGAAAAAAAACCTATAAGAAAATATCTAAAATATAAATTTAAAAAGCACCATTTTGTTTTTAAAAGCAATGTTTTTCATTATTATGTCAGTGTCTACAGGTACATAAAAACAATTTAGTAAAAAAATGTAATAATAATAAAATTATGTTAAAAAAATGTTTAATTAAATGTTAAGTTTTGATTCGTTGATTGTTTTGTAATTTAAAAAAAGTTGTGTTTAATGTTTAGATTACTATCCACGTGAATAAAATATCTGATGCTTTTTTAGAAAAATCTATTTTTCATGTTTTATGTGTTAATGGAATCAAGGTTGGTTAACCTCCTAGAGAATCTAAAACATAAAAAAAAAAAATCAAAAACTTGTTTTTTCTATTTTATTTTTATTTTGAAGTACTTATATTGGTATAAGTATTTTTAATTGTTGATCTAAAGCGTTTAACTTTATTCACTACGAATGAGTTTTTAAATAATTTTTCAACTAAACACACAATTTTATTTAATAATATCTCATTAACATAGCAAACTTATTCTTATTTTGAACAATGTAAGGCATTTGTAGCATGTTATACACATTTTAAGCTTTATTGAAAATAATTTTAGTGTCTTAGTAAAGCACCAAAACTGATATTGTCATCCAACTTACAGTCATTCGAAAAACGAATAAGCAAAATGTATACCGACTCAATTTTACTTTTTTTAAAAATAACAAAAAAATCAAGGAATCAAAACTTACCATTTTATTAAAAACAATTTTATTATCATTACATTTTTTCACAAGATTTTTTTTATGCACTTGTAGACACTGACATATTAATAAACAACATTGCTCTTAAAAACAAAATTATGTTTTTTTAATTTATATTTAAGATTTCTTATAGTTTTTTTTTTTATAACGGAAACACTAAATGTATTTTTAATTTTCGTAGGTATTTAAAGTTAAAGTAAAATACCACAGAAGTTGAATATTATACTAAAGCAAATAGTACATTTGCTTGCATTGCAATAAGGTACAGACTACAGTTTGTGCTGCATAAAATTGGAAAATGTTAATCTCATTTTATACTTGGAATGTATATTGCTTATTTTTTTTTATTATTATTGTTTGTAAAAATGTTTGGCCGAATAAAGTTCATTTCGTGTACGATTGTTACGAATAAATCGTGGAAACATCACATGTTTGTATTTTGGTTTTAGAATCTAGTTCAATATAGCGAAACTACCTTTTTTTAGTTTCTCAGCATCTATTATGTATTTAGGTGTTGTATCTGTAACTAAAATATTATAACTTTAAGTAACGTTTATTAAAACAGAAGTAAAAACAACACATGGAAAACGACGAGAACAATTACCGCACAACTGATTATAACTCAGACCGAAAACAATAATATGTTTATCTTACAACAAATGTGTAGTAGTTAGTACAGGACCTAAAGTCTGAAAATAAATATTAAAAGAACATCTGCTGTAAGCCTATGCAGCAACAAATTCTTCAGAAATCGTAGACAATTTTTTTAAACAGATATGCCCTATGTATCATAAAAAAATAATAACGAACAAAAAATAATTGAATATTTTACTTTAAAACGTATGTACATTCTAAACTAAGCAAAAGATAATACGATAAATACAAAATGTGTTGGTTATGATAATTACACCTTAAATATAAAAATACCAATGCAGTGGGGACGGAGAGGTCACAGGTCCTCAAGAATTACTATAACTGAAAGTGATAAAATCACTTAAAATTAACGTTTCGATGCTAATCTATCGACACTGCAACTCACTTAAATACTTTCTTATTGTGCTGGTTTGAGCTTACTATCCACAAATTCGCATCGAAGCGTTTATTTGAAAGTGATTTTATCTACTACTATTAACACTTTTTTTATTTAAAAATGATTTATACGTCCTTATAATTAATACATTGTATTTTTTGTTTTTACTATTGAATCGAAGCGTTTATTTCAAAGTAATTTTATCACTTTCAGTTTTTCAATTTCTAAAGCTTCAATTTCTGTAACCTTGCCACCACATTGCTGGCTTTAAATTATATTGGTGCACAATAATAATATATTGAATTATTACATTCGTATTTTTAATTCTAATAATAATAGGCTATAAGACAAGAGTAGAACAATTTAGGGAAAACATGAAAGAGATAAGTATCGAGGCACTTGACCGTGGTCGGTTGTATTAATAATATTGACCCTTGTCCCTTATCACTTTTAAAATCAAATAACAGCGGCTTGGTGATAACAGTAAATAGATATTATCTTTGATAGTTTGGCAGAGGGGAGCCGGTACTGTCAGATCGAAGTACATGCTTAATTAATTTGTTTTCTATTTATTAAGGCGTCAGTGTGTTATGTTTATTTAAGTTATTCGATTGTTTTTGTTTTGTATCCTTACACAAAAATGTTTAATTCAATAGCAAAACATGCTATTATATGCACCAAACAACTATCTATTTCATCACATATCAGGTGAGGCCGTTACAACAAAAAATATTATGACAATTTAATAACGAAATAAATCTCTATATATATATATATATATATATATATCAACTAAAATATGTTTTTTCGAAAACAAAGGTGTTTCACTCGAAGCACTGTAGTATTAAAAGATTCAGATGCCAACAACAATGAGGGTTGGTTGAAAAAATTACTCGTCAGACGGATAGAACCTACTAAAGAACAACATTCCCGTATGCTGTCTGACAAGGAAGTTGTTTATGAATTACAGACACATAATGTTCGACCAGACTCTGTAGACGGTTATATCAAAAATTAGTAAGGCATGAATTCAACTATTCATGATAATTGATAATACATTAAATATTGATGTTAAATGTTTGAATTATATGAAAAATGATAACTTTTACAGCGAAAAAGTGGTAGAATTATGTAAAAAAACGTCGGGTATAAAATATGAATTAGTCGGTTCGTGGTCGGTTCATGTTGGTGATCTCGATCAATATGTTCATTTGTGGAAGTACAAAGGAGGTTATGCTGCGATAGACAAAACCAAAGAAATTCTTTTTTGTAACAAAGTAAGAAGTTCAGTAGCTTTGAAATTTAGAATTGAGTTTTACGGTTGTTATATTATACTATAATTATAAATAATGTTCTTTAAGGAATTTGAAAAACTACGTAGAGAATGTGGTGGGTATTTACGATCAAGACATTTGCAGTATATGTTAGCTTTCAGTTTTTGGCCTGCGATTGAACTAAAATCTGGCTCCAACATATACGAAATTCGTAGTTACAGTTTAAAACCAGGAACAATGATTGAATGGGGCAATAATTGGGCACGAGCTATAAATCATCGTCGATCAAACGATGAGCCATTTGCTGGCTTTTTTTCTCAAGTTGGCCGACTTTATAATGTTCATCATTTTTGGTGTAAGTATTTTTGAAAAAATTTGTTTTCTATTTAAGTCAAAACGATTTATTTTACAATGTTTTCAGGCTATAAAAATTTAGAAGTTCGTACTCAAACTAGAGAAGCGGCCTGGAGGTCACCTGGATGGGACGAATGCGTCGCTTATACAGTACCGTTAATCAAAGAAATGCAGTCAAAAATATTACATCCTACCCCGTTTTCACCAACTCAGTGATATCACATTATAATATTTATTTCATTTTATATTCTATTAAATTATGTTATTTTATGGTTCATTCAAATCCTAATTCGCTATATTATTGAATACTAGGTCATTTTGGTAAATTATAACATTAAATTATGAATGAGAATATAATTGGTTTTGTACTTATCAGCCACATCCTCTTGTACATTATAAAATTATGGTTATTTAATGGTTAATTTCAACTAATATTGTAGTTGTTATTTACGTATTAGATGACATAATTTATATAGTTTTAAATAACTAAATATGTTATTACGCGTCTTAATTAATGAAAAGAAAAATGTTGATGTTTGAAATCGTACTCGAAAAATTAATTGCAAGTAATGTAATCAGCAATATAATAAACATTTTATAATATTTTGCTAACAGATTATTAACATATTATGTGTATTCACAAAATGAAAACAAAATTTTAATGTTTATGAAATTATTTAACAAGTATTTCCATTTTGGCTTCAAATAGATATATAGACTGCACGAATTAGGTGTATTTATTGATTACGAACATTCGTTTTTTTTTTTGCATTACAATCATAATTTTACTTATAAGAAAAATACCAAATTTTTAAATACGATAATATTTGACCTGTGGCTACAAATATAATATGTCTGTTAATATATGTTAATTTAATTTTATAATTATAATAGTAAACTAATGGTTAACCGTTAATTATGATCAACTGTATAAAGTATATAATTATAATTGTTTAAATTCAATTAAATAACAATTTACATGAAATAATTTATTATGGCTGTTATAAAATGTATAGAATAGATTATCTTATGCATTTATAACACTACTATACTTAAAGTGGTAGCTGGCAAGTAGTCTTTGTGCTCAACACCAATGAATAGTCTATTCGTTGGTTATAAGAGCTTTAAAATTAAAATTAAATGTCTTTAGTTCTTGGATGCTTTTAAAGAAACACTACCCCACATCTACCTTTTTTTTGTTTATTATAACGACTAGGTAATGAGAATTGAGAAGTTTAAAAAAAAAATATTATTGACATGTATAACAAATGTAAATAGTGCGTTTCATAAAAAAATGTATTTTTCGAATTTTAATAATTATTTTTGAAATTTTTAATTGCGATTTTTAGTAGGACAAAATTTCTAAAAATAATTTTCATAAAATATAATTTCTTTATTATTTTACTGGGAAGGTAATTTTTAACTAATCAGTAACTCGGAGAGATCATAGCTGAAGCTTCCGGGAACTATGAGACTGAACAAGGAGTGAGTTGATGTCATTAGTTAAGACAAGTATCGGATGGTTCAAACTTTCCCGAACTTGTTTAATATAATTAAATTCTCACGGGTTAAGGTAAGTTAGGTATAGGTATAAAAAAAGACCACACGTATTAGCAGGTAGGAATAATTAATTTTAAAAAAACTTTGAAAACGGGTTAATTATTTATAAGGAGAGTTGATTTAAAGAGCTTGAAAACATTTTTTTCTCAAGATTGTTACTTTAAGATTATTAATAATTATTGTGAATTTAGTGCATTGCGCGTTAAAATATACATGGGTATTTAAATAACATGAAATTCCAATAATCTTGTACGCATAATGTAAGTAGACTCATAATTATGTTAATGTAGTGTATTCCTATATTGATGGATCGCCATCATATTAGAAGCCCAAAACCTAGTTAGAAGACGGTAGTTTTTTTTCTACATATTATTACCTTTAAGGTGCAACAAAGGAATCACGTTGCCGCTTCAAAAATAACAGTATAAATATATTATAATCTTTTAAATAGAAAAAAAAAACAAGTTAAAAAATAGAATAATAACAATATTATTATTTGTGTGTGTAAATTGGACGGTCTAGAAAATTTGAATAAAATGCAAATTTTTGTGATTTGGATGATTTTTATGGTCGAAAATAGAACGGTCTAGAGCATAGAAAAATAAACTTGTATAAGCTGACAGTACATATTGACCATAATAATGATATTGTGTACGTGTGCATCTTATTATTATGTTGTTGTAAAAAATAGTAACCATCAGAGTCGATGGTTATTACTATACACTTCAGATGTAACGAGTTTCCAACGTCAGTCCTCGTGTCGTTTCCAAATGTTAGGATAACCTTAGAACATAGTATTTTTGTATAATATAAAAATCATACCTATATAATTGTGTTTTTATTCTACCTCCGAATGTAATGCTTTGGCTGAATATATAGGTAGTAGGATACGGTAATTTAGGTACAAGTGACTTCGACTTAACAAAACTTTCTCACCGTCGCTAAAAAAAAAAAAGAGTTTGATATTTACAAATAATACTCTGCTATATTTACAATTATGAACTTGTTTTTTTTCCAATACATTTTTACGAACCAATACGAAATTCGAAATGTTGTGTACCTTTATTTTCTTGACTAACTAGCGTTAGTGTTTTCTATATTGATCACCTCTTATTTTCCTATAATACAAATTAAAAACAATAAAATTACATTTAATAACGGTATAATTAATTCGCTGTGTGTTTGATATGTTTACCATCGTCCACCACATTTGAACGGTACAAGGAAAAACGAGTAAGTGCCTTTTTTTTTTTTTTTTTAAATGGTGATTTGGTGTTGGACATTTTCTTTTTGTCGATTTGACGTGGCTCTTTAATAGGGGTTTATGTCACTTTTTTTAAATTTTTTATCTCGTTCGACTTTCCAATGTATTATGTATGACTTTATTCGTACCAAACCGTTATGTGCATGTTGTCGATTATTACAAAATTTAAGAGCATAATCGACTGGTCGTGACATCGCCCTGTTGGTTAGGTAGCTGGTTTATACTATTTGTTTGGCGAGTGGTCGTTGTAAATTAACGTCTCATTTTCGGAATATGAGCTTAGTGAAGAGTTATACAAACGTAAAGAAGATAAGTCACCCGTCAGTGGGCGCATGTGGGTGTGCAAATAATGTCATAACGATATATACCTACCTACATCACACTAGCTGTGTTATTATCTAAATACGGGCTTAACGGGACTAAAGAGAATAATATACTGGGTTTTTTAATTTTTTTTTATCACACCGGTTGTACGTGGAATTAGTGGCGGATCCCGTGCAGGTGCCGACGAAAAGTCAACCGAAAAGCCGTAATTTGTTATTGTCGCCGGGCAAGGGTTACTGCTGTATAATATAAAAATATATAGCTGTTATGCATAGGAAATGATGGCTTGTTTAATGTCCGTCGACAAACGATATTTGTTTGAGATACTATATTATTTACACAACCTTTTTGGCCATTATGGTTAATAACGCGGTCGGTAACAATGTACCTGAACGCGCAAAGTAGACAAATATGTACATGTGAGGCCTTCTGTCAATTTTAAATAATTCATACTGTTGTATTACAAGTGAAATAGGTTAAAATCAAAGTTTGTTCAAACAAAAAATCCTAATCATAAAAAAAACTGACTAACATTTTTAACTGTTTTATGTAGTTTTTTAAAGTCCAATTCATTCTTTCCAATTTTTTTTTTTACTATTTCCAGTCTTAAAGTCGTATAGATAACTGCACTCTGCAAAAAGTAATAAATAAGACTTTTATTTTAAAAATGCATTGGTGAAAAAGATTTTGTTGCACTGTAAAGGCTTCTTTTAAATAATAATCAGCTTTAACAAGGCCAATCGGATTTTAATAACTAAATTATCTAGGGATCAAAATAACGGTAATTTTCCAGGAAAATTTAAGAATACAAAACTAATTTTCCCTAATTTAAGGAAAAATTCAGATATTTAAATTTATTTTCGTTTTTTCCGAAAAACATTAATTTATAATTGCGTTTTTATTTAAAATAAAAGTAATTAGGTATCAAACATGATTAAATTTAATATTGTGTAAATTAACATATAACTTTATTATTAATACTTATAAAACTAGTCGTTTTTATCATTTTTTTTGAACATTTTGAATTATAAATACTTTTTCCAATTTTTTGGAAAATTACTTTTTTTTTTTACTGTTTTTTTAATGAAATTTGTATTACTACTTATTTCCATAAGTAAAGAACAACATAGGTTCATTATGGAACATATTATACTTTTATAACTATGCATTAATGCATCGAAGCTGATTTAAAATGAATACGGAAAAACTTTATACTTTTGTCAAAAGGTTAAATAAACTAATTATTAGACTTTCATAGGACCCTTTTTTATTTAAATATTAAAATGTTTTTACCAAACTTCATTAGGTATCTATCTGAGATTTTAATAACGAATAAACTCGCCAGAACGTGTGTTGTTGAGAGATACATTTTAATTTTCCTGCATAAAATTATAATTATTCAAATTGTGGTAACTTTAAAACATAATATCGTCGACCGTTATAGTAGTATAATCCATAAATCATAGGTCCAAAGTTTTACTGTGTCTGCTAAACACAACGATATTAGATCTGAGTAAATTCAGGAAGTATTACTAAAACCATAGCTTTCTAGGAGTTTTAGTTTATCAATTAGTGAAGGTATATAATGGTATAATGATAAAGTAAATGAAAGAGTGTTTAGGTAGTATAATAAATGTGACTAGCGTTTTGGCCGTAGTCCGTATGTCGTCTAAATATAAGGGTTATTACTTATCAATAAGTGGTCTAAGATTAAATAATCTTAAAGCTCTTTAAATAAATTGTTTAATAAAGGGTTAACAGATGGAGTAAGAAGTTTAATTTCTTTTACATTTAGTGCACTGTGTAACACAAGTTAAAAAAAAACTTAAATTTCGGTAATTTATTGCCTAAAGAATACAATACATCCTTAAAACAATCTTTCAAGTTTTTGCTTTGAAACAGTTTCATGATTTTCTAGTTCGTTGAGTTAGCACAGATGTTTCCTGTTTAAAAAGTTTACTAATTTCAGTCATTGTATTATGTAATTACATTATAAAAATACTTTTCACAAGACAAATGATTAAAGAATTAAAGTAATGTATTTTATTTGTATTACTTTTTACGAGTAAAAATATGAGCTAGCAATAATAAAACAAATATATATTTATATATATTATCTAATTTATAATAACCTTATAACAATATTAGGTGATCAAATTTTTTTTGAAATGATTAATAATCATTAATCACTTTCCCTTATAAGTTAAAATATGATACAACTTTTCATTAAGAACCCTTTGATGTAAATCTATTTAGCCTGAAAAATTATAATATAAAATTATATACAACCTACCAATATAATTGTACCCGTATAATATTTTTACTAGTAACGCAATGGCATAATTATGGTAATATTAGAAACCACAAATTGCCGTTAAAATTTTTTTTATAAGTGCATTTATTGAAGAGGTGAAAGTTCATAGAAAAGTCATAAAAACGGAAAATTATCTTATTTTTACACATAATTATTTCAACTATATTGATTATTGAGGTCGTTTTCCCCCATTTTTCGATTTTTCATAAAAAATCAAAACATGAAAATTCTTACGTTTTCACCTCTTTTGTTTTTTAAGCGTTTTTATGGAGAACCTAATTTGAAATTTACACATGTTAAGTAAAAAATGTTCTAATAAAAAAAAATCCAAACAAATTTGAAAAAATGTTTTCTATTGTAACAGACATGATCCGACTTTGGTTTACTTTGGACGATTTATCTAGCTCTATCTATTTTATCTTCGATTCGCAGCTGAGAAAATATTGTTATTACAATGATATATTTCTTTTTAATTTTGGACCTATGATGTCTCCTAAATCGCTGAACCGATTTCCATACGTATCAAATCTATAAATCAGAAATCGTACCTAAAAGGCACTTTATTGGATCAAAAATTGAAAAAGATTCATCAAAACTAAATCAAGATAAAAACACCCAAAAAAATGTACACATTTTTCATCTTAAAGTTACAATACATATGACTTTTTAAAAATATTCTGATTACTTTAAAAGTCGCGTGAGTTATTCTCTAGATATAGTACCATCGATGTATACTTGAAACCTAAAAAAATAACATAATCTTTTTCGTTCGAGGAGAACCTTTTTTTACCTATTCTAACCTTCTACCGAGGGGTAGAAACTTTTTCATTGTTTTAGGTGTGGCATTAAAGACTTAAAGCCTGAAAATTTGACCGAGCAGATATACCTACAATTTTTTTTTTATCAAAAACCGGTAGTCAAACTTTTATTTTAGGAAAATACACTTTGATCGTATTAAATTTCCATGTTTTTGTTTATTTACTAAAAATCAAAATTATTATTATTATTTTGTTCGGACGTTGTTGGACTTAACGGCGGGACAATAGATGAAAACCGCTTTAGCCTCTGCCGGCCGCTGTCGTCGGCCAGAGACCGTGGGGGGTTGGAGCAGCAAAAGGCGGGGCTGCCGCCACCGAGGTGGTGCGCGCGTTAACGTGTGCCTGTATATATATACATATATATAATGTATACGCATAACTATATATATACCGACCGGCATTTCGGGTGCCCGCACTTATTCGGCCGCCAACGGTACTGGACAGTCCTGTTCACCGTCTCCTCGCGGCTCATACTAGCACGGTTGCATAGCAATACGGTTCTTTTAAGAAAAACATTTTTTTTCCGCCATAACACAACCCAAAGACTTTGTTGTTGTCGCACGTCGGCGGCCTAACCGTTTGCAATTTTTCCAACACCGTCCACACACACAAGCCATTGGCCAACATCACTTGGAGAAGCAGCAACTGAAGAAGATTACACTATGACGACGGTATACAGCGCGGTCGTAATCGCTACAGCGATCCTTTGCGTAAAAGTCGCGGCCTACCCGACCACGGTAAGATATTTAGTTTTTCAACACCGAAATAATATTACAATGGTGGTAATTTTACACGGGCACACAATTGTCGACCCAGGATTATTGTCGTGTACTCCAACTGGTCTAAAGTCTCACTGCGTTTTGCTATATACGTATATAATAACAATAAGTTCTTAGTAAATTCAGCAAGCACCCATAGTACTAAAAACCATAGCTTTCCACGGGCTTAGTTGTACCAATTAGTATTGACAGCGATACCTACTAGAAATAGTGCGCTCGGTGGTGCAATGAATGTAATCTTTTGACCGTGTAAATGTTACTACAAAGTCCAGAGGGTATTCTGTTTCTACAATGATGGGTTTTTACTTTTGTGTCTGGACCATAGGTCAGAAATCACTTCCAAAAAGTTACCTTATTTGGGCCAAAAATGTGAAAAGTTCACTTTTTTGTTGTTTCTAAATTATTTAAATGATTTTACTAGTAGTGCATAAAACGGCTATTATAATATATTGGAACAAATTGTGTAAATTTAAAGCAGCAACCGTATACTGAAAACTTATACATACATAATTATTTTTCCATACAAATATCAAAACTAAATTCGTTTGCTATGTATGATTTTTTTATTACAGTTTTAATGTTATAATAATATTATTGAAAAATATAATTAATTTTTGTCGTGCAAGTCACGAACAAAGCTAAAACGTTTATCTTTAGTATAGAATCTATAACAACTGTACGTTTAGCGAAGAGCCATTAATGAAGATTTAAAGGTTTTACCCCACCCCTCTCTTTACTTGACGGAAGTATTTTATTGATATATACCCCACGGAGCCGGAGGAATAGTGCGTTAAACAAGACACAAGACTTCCCTACTATGTTATCTGAGACGTGATCTAGCAAAATGAATTTAGATTCCCCAGATATGTGTTTGGGGGAACGAGACTTATCGCTTGGAGCAGCACTTTATTTAGCGATGATAGAAGAGTGTACTTTCGGTCATAAATCGGAAAGTTAAAATTGACAATATGAGTCGATACCGATAAATATTATACAATTACACTAAAAATATTTGCCGTTATCTATCTATACTTATTGTCTTTAACTAGTGAAGTTATTATAAATAATAGATGCAATTTATTAGTAAAATGTACTATTTTGAGAAATTGATGTCATACTGCAGACGTATTCATTTTTTTAAACAACATGAGTATTCTGTACTTAGTTTTTATTGTAATTAGTTAAAACGTTATTATTTTCAATAACCTTTTTATTAGGTCAAAAAAAAAAAAAATAAGTTGTTTAGTCTTTGTTGTGGATTTACAATAATAACAAATTAAAAATTTTCAATTATAATTTATATATCACTATGTGTTATAACTTATAAGTATTTATACTTTTGAAATGTACTGTTATAATATATTACCTATTCGAAGAATTTCCGTTAAAAAATGTAAATAAAAAACATTTTTTTAAATTATTGTATTCCTATATGTTCTGAATAACTGATTTTGTCTAGAGCAATAATATTGTTCATAAATTACGTGACATACACTAATTGTATATAAATTCAAATATTATTTTATTTTATTGTGGTTAGGTTAGGTTCACAGTGAACGAGTACATACCCTGGACACCCTGACTTTGCATTACAAAGTAAAAACCATATATTTTACAATATAAATTATAGGTTGGTGATTTTTTTTTTTAATATATAATAACTTGGTTTTGGCCAAATCATAAATGCATTTATTATTGTAGTTTTTAATAAAAACTTAAAATAGTAAAAATACTGAAGAACGTCGTTAGTGTGACGCTAATAACATAAACAACTACTTTCAGTTTGCATGTTAAGTACTTATTAAAAACTCATTTGAACTTTTATTTTTACAACTTTGGTGTCATTAACACAATAAACCAGTTAATTAATATTGCTTTCAATAACACACTCGTGCACAAATTCATTTTAGTAGTATAAGACACATTATGTAAAATAATTAAATATAATTTAATGATTTTTAATGTTATAAAAAGATAATATTGTTTTTGGTATTGGCTAACTATATATTGTCATTATATAATAAATAATAAAAAATTACACACTCTTATAGCGTTGTACTTATTCTAGCTATAATATTTTTGTAATATTTTTATAATAGGTACATGATACATCAACTAAGGTTTGAGTTTCAAGGTATTATTTTTACCATTAAAACGAATGTCAACTATAAAATGTGTTTTTTATAGGTGTGTATTTTACAGTATAAAAGCTAAGCTTTTTTTGTGCTTTCATTACACTTTAATACATTAATGCGACAAAATCGGTAGTTTATAAAATACCCAATGCCATAGGTTCTGCGTATAAAAGTCAAAAGGTTTAGTAGCTAACGGGTTTCTCCATAAACTATAACGTTATTATAATTTATTGCATTTTAAATAATACTTTGAATACACCGATAAATAGTGTGGTTAAGGTCTGATGGTCTGTATTTCCATAGGTCTCTCAAAGAGCTTCTGACCTGTCTAACCAAGTCTTGTATCTTTTTTTTAAATGCGGTCTGTAATTTTTACACTTGTCATGGTTTAAAAAAATACTCAACTCTGAGAAACTCAACGCATCATGATATCAATATAAAGTTATGGTATTGACATTGTATGTGAAAGGTTGTCCGAACGACGTATGACAACCTATAAACCCATATTAAAATATATAATATTGTTGAATATACTAATGGCTAAATTACTCAGACCCCGGTTTGTATGCTTAAGTCATAATGTGAGTTTCTGTATAAAAACGTCAATAGTGTTTTACTTGGATTGTAGTGTTAATGTCATGTAAAGTACATGTCAAAGTCGCTGCTTTCGCAAGTATACCAATTTCGTGTAATATTTAAAAACCATTCGTTTTGTATTTATTGTAAAAGTTCTGTCCTGGGACAGTAATAATAATAGTAATAACAATAATAACTTTTTTTTTTTAATTACACTAATAGTGTAACCCTTTTAGATAAAAATACATTTTATTACATTCGTGCATTTCTAATGGTGATTAACAATTAATAATTTGATGGTATGGATTTTTGTGAAATACATTTAATTTCGAGCGGTGAACAAAACATGCGTTAAGTTTAGGTAAATAATATTTTTTTTCTATAGAAAAAAAAAACAAAAATGTTCTCCTTTCATTAATTTTTTTGTTGCGCGTTTCAACGTATTTTGATGATTAAAAGTTTCCGACTATTGATTGAAAAAAAGTTTGATTGCTTATAAGTTTTAATAAACATTTGTATTAATATTTTCCCCTTTAGTTAACAGTCACCTGCTACTCCATCTAAAAGGGTATCCGCCGGCTAATCCTAATTTTGTAGTAATAATTTCCGATTTTGTTTTTGTTTTTGCGACTATGTGTTGTGATGAGTCCATGTTTTTGACTGTTTGGTTCCGGAATAAAATTAATGTAAACGCTAAAGGGAGAAACGTACTAAATCGAGGGACAAAATATTATTTGCTACTCGTTCCGGTCAGGCTGGTTTTCGTTCCGGTCTGTCACGTTTTGTTCCGGAAAAATCATTTGACGAAGAGTCTGGACTTTTTCAATCCCTACGATTCAATAACCAGAGTATTATCAGATACAACACAATTATGTTTAATACAATACGCCCCCGACCAATGTTCACTATATATCATATAGATAACCGTTCATAATGTTATAATTACTTGTAAATCCAATATTATTGTCTTGAAATACCTCTTCGGTTTTTCGCATCAGAGTCAAAACGTTTCGTGAACAGCCTTATTAAATTGTATACCCAAATAGCAGCTTTTGTATCCGTACGTATAAGATTTAGATAAAGCGTTATAATGGTATTATATTTGTTGATTGATGGGCCTGGGGGATACATAAAGTTGGAATATATAATAATACCGCAATGAGGACGAACAAACCCTAAGTATGACTTTTCATTATTACAATTATTTTTATTGTGAAATTTCTGTTTAGCGTGGAAACCAACGAGACAGTTTTGGTGTATTTTGGTTTAATGAAGATAATAGTAAAATATAATTATTTCTCTTATACCGGTGAAATCGAATTCGTTAGAGTCAGCTTACATTCTGAAATGTCCTACAATTAAGATAACGCCGTTTAATTAAAAGATCAAAAATTACATTTATATTATTACCTATAGAAGTCTCGGTTATCTTTGCTATTACTTGGGTCGCAAATATACAAATACATATTTGAGTTGATGATACTATAGTTGGTACATCTATATAATATTATGTTGAAAGTACTTTAACTTCGACATTGTTAACAAGATAGTAAAACTATATAAGGAAACTAGCGTACTGCAAACTATACGTTTTGAGTACCTGAATAAAAATAAATGGTCAAATTTTTGTAATGAAAATAATTTAGCACATAATATTAAGATGTAAATCTACCACGACGTGTGGTTTAAAACCAAAATTGTATATAATATTCTTCTTACGCTTCTTATATTTTTTCTTGCATTTAGTTAATTAATTTCCAGAATCTATGGAACTGAGTCAACCGAATTTCTTTTTCTTTCTATACATATCAGATTGGTGATTTTTACAATACTTGGCGGTGTAGATTTTGTCTTCTGAAACCCAAGTATAAGGCGTCAGAGAGAATTTATTGGTATTTTTTTATTATTTGGAATTCTAGCGTAACTCTCACGGGGCCAATTGTATATCAGTTGTTATTGGATGTCTGTGAGCTGAATCGTCTTACATTACATCCTAAAAGATTTAGCACACAGAGACAAAAATATGGCAGACGTGAATTGGTGTACTTTTTGTCCGAGCCTCTGTAAAATAACACAAATACAAATAGTAAAAAAATACAAAACCTGCTGAAAGTCAGATTAACGTTGCGTTTGTCGGTGCCAATTTTCAAGCACCACCAGCAGCTGTACTAACAAAGGTGAAAAAGTACAATAAATAATAAATGAAAAACAATTACATTCAATTCCGACGAACATTTTTTGCCTACA